GACCCTGAGCACCGGGGAAACCTCCACGGGGCCAGCCGTAGGGCCAGCCATCGGTACCGAGGAGGGTGTACTCCTGCTCCAGACCGAACCAGAACTCCTCCTTGGCGTGGGTCTCCATCAGGCGGTTGGCATCGTGGCGGAAGTTGAACTTGTTGGGGCTTCCATCGGCGTCCCAGGTCTCGCAGAGAACGAGGATGTTGTCACCCTGGCGGAAGGGGTCGGGGAAGATAGCGACGGGGCGGAGGTAGACATCGGAGTTGTCACCGGGGGCCTGGCCGGTGGATGAACCATCAAAGTTCCACTCGGGGAGCTCCTCGACGGACTTGACGGGCTTGGAGAGGGTCTAGACGGAGGAACACGCGTGGTGTTAGCGGCAATGTCTTGACAAGGTCTATCATACAAGCCCAAATGCCCCTCGATCGATCTCACGTGATGCGGATGGTTGCAGAAGCATCGCGTGTGGCGATCGAGAAAAAACCCCGTGCGCAGGGCTTATCGCGATGGCCGATACGCACGGGACAACCACATCCCACCATCACCGAGAGATCAGAAATAGGGCATTTCCACGGGACACGCAGACCGAGTGGCCAGTTTCCCGAAGATGGGCGAAAATCAAAACGAAGGACAAGGTGTAGGCATACCTTGGTCTTGGAGCGAGTGCCACCATTGGAATCAATCCAGACGTACTCGGCCATCACACGACCGCGCTGGTCGAGGGACATGTACTTCAAGAGCTGTTCGACCCCATGGGAAGTCAGTATATGTATTTCCTCTCCGGCTCAACGGCCATTGTGGAAATCCAATGCATCGAGAATCAAACGCACATTCTCCGTGTTGGAGACGACAGTTGAATCGGCAGCCTGCAAAGAAGAAACAGAACGGTTAGCACTTGGTCCTTCTGCATAGAGAATCCTCTCGAAAATCCAGTGTTGGTGGGAGTTCCAGCGGCGAACAGTGAGCCACCCGGCAACCGGCCCGGCAACGATTCTCGGTAGAGCAGTTTCAACGTACCATAATGAATGATTATGGGGGGTATGTGTGAGGTTGAAAAACCAGGTGGGCTTGCAAGCAAGCAAAACTTTTCAGAAAAGGATGAAAAGGATGTGGTGTGTGTTCCCGAAGGAAGAGAGTGAAGAACGCGATGGATGGGAAATCCCAAGGGAGGGGAAGAGGGTGAGTTTTTAGATGGTGGGGGAAGAGGGCAGGGGAGGCAAGATAAAGATTTAAATTTAGTCACGACCAGTGAGTCTTTTTTGGATTTTTTTTTGAAAAAGCAAAAGAGGGAAAGAGTGGAGTCCCGACTGGGAGAAAAGGGAAAAAAGGGTAATACTGGGAGAGGAAATACAAAAAGGGAATTTCGGGAAAAAGAAAATGAGGAAGCTGCGGATCAGCCACGCCCGTTGTGGTTTAGCGGTATGTATATTACAGAATGATTACCGGCCAGTGTATTCTGTCGTATGCGAAAAGTGCCTCATATGTAGTTTCAACTTCACATTCTCATGCCCGACACCGGGGTCGTTGCGGAAACAACTTCTTCTTGTCGAGAAAAATCACGCAAACATTCCTTTTTTCCCCCCTCGTGAATTGCATTACTTTTCCTTCTATATACCAACCATCCCATTCCTCGAAACGATGCACCCGAGTCAAGCGCTGGTCCGGAAAAACTAACGAACCCTCCCATCTACCGAGCGTTCATGTCCATGTTCATGTCCAACGCCACCCAAAGTGCCCTCCCATGTCATCATCACCGCATCATACAAGGACTAGGCCTGCGAATCCGGTCAGTTTACCGAGACTTTTCAACGCTCCGTCACCGATCTCCCCCTCGACTACGGTCTAGTAGTGCGGATAGGCTCTGCACATGTCTAGGTTTCATTCTATTATTCATACCCGCACTTGGTATTAGGTAGTGATGCTTCATCGATGCTAAACGACGGCCATCACATTCTAAAGTTCCTAGTCACCCGATCGACCCTCCGCATTCTTCCATAACTCGGCCACTCTATTACCAACTTGGTATGGATTCCGTATACACCACCAACAAGAACAAGTTATATGTATTATCGATACCAGATCGCCACCCGCAACCTCATCACGAGGTTCACGATCAATCAGTTTAGTTCTCCGTCTTCTTTTCTTCTTTTTCTAAACCGTTTCGATTTCCTTTTCGTGATAACCGCCTCTCATTCTCCGTGGCCCAATCAGCCATCGGGGTTTCTGTAATAGGCCTCACTAATATGATCAATCTCTCTTCTCCCGTTGGGCCGATAAGCTGAGAGGAGCGCCCGCCTGCCACCCTTCAAATCAACTCATATCAATTGGATAAACGACCAATCCTCGTAGTTAGTTCCCCTCCATAAACGCTTCGACCTCCTAGGTCTGGCTTCACATCTCGTCGCTCTCGTCGACCATACCATTCCTTCGTGGTCCATTCTTTCCCCGGTCGCTGCCAGACCCTCCCCGAGAGCGGGAAAAGTCCGGGGGAGGGATCTCCCCGCGACACCTCCGTCCACGCCCGTATCAGATGTCAAAAATGGAGAAACCGTCCGCCCTGAAATGAGTACCCTAGTCCCCCGGTGCAAGGTCAAGGGGAATAATGTACGAATACACATGTATAGATAGCGGGTAAGGAATTGAGTTGCTAATTCTTCTTACCAACCACACACCAGGAATCTATCCTAGTCCAGGTGCATATCAGCTGCAAGGCCCGGGGTAGATAGTCCACCCACATGTCCACCAATCTGACAAAACTCTCGACGGGCCTCAGTTCTAGAACTGCCTCTGCGCCAAACTATGCAACCGCCCCTGCAAGACAGACAGAGAGAAAACAAGATATCTCTAAATAGCATAATTGAAAATGGGGTTCCCATCTTTCATATTTTCACCGGGGGCCGGGTTATCCCCAGACAAAAAAATCAGGAGAATTGATCCCATACCCGGAGATGTGTGCGACATGATCGAACTCCTCCGCACTCCATCGGGTACCTGAGATGGGAAACCCCCAATAAACCTGCAAATCGTCCTTGCGCGATTCGTTATCGGAGCCCTTTTCCCCCTGGCACGGCGCTATTGTCCGCGTGGCATGCGTGGCCGATACTCTCTCCCTTATCGAAGGTCTCGACCTCTATCAGCCGGTGGCATGGCCGTTAATGTGTCGCTAGGAAGGGCCAACAAAAAAGCGGATTCGACCTGTGTACCTGCAGCAAAAGAGAAGTATCCATCAATACGTACATGATGGTGATCCATTAACCTCGGTGCATATAGATCCGTATACAAAGACGCACAGTCTACACGTAGATCATACTGCGTAGAATACAGTATACAGTAGACACGTTACAGCCCACCGCACGCGACGAACCGGTAAACGGTACAATACACAGTGTAAAGTAACGATCCGCTCGCTGGAGACACTTCTGGAGACCATCTGGAGACGGTGGAGGAGGTCTGGAGGAGCCCCAGCCACCGTCTCGAGACGACTGACCCGCGAAACTCGCCGATGGCCAAGGTGGAGCGTGGCAAAACATTCTCGAAGCCGAGTCCGGCCGTCCAATCATACCGTCTCCCGTCTGGCCTCGCCGCTGGAACCGCCCCCGACACCGGCCCTAGACCTAGGGCTGGCGTCGGGGCTTTTTCAGTACGACGGTGTATGATCGGTCACGATTAGTCGCGTGAAGGGTTAGGATTTTCAATGACTTCCCGTTTGGGACTTCTTTTTGTGTGCGTTATCTTTTGGAGGGGGCCATGTGGAGGGTTCTTTTGTTATCCGTGTGGTGGTTTTTGTTTTACTCGGCTATGTAAGATTGAGGAAATCGCGCACATAGATTGTATTGCGCAGAATGGGTTATAGAAGAGTTGATCAAAAACGTCGATTTCCAGCATTGGCATGACTCTCAGGCGTTACTCTGGGGAACAGGGATTCTCCAGAAAATCGACCAACAGGAAATAAAAAAGTGGCGACGAGATCTGCCTCCCCCGGCTTTTCTTCGAGGAGATGGTCAAAAAGTCGGGGGTTTTAGGAATCGGGCTACGACTGGGTGGCTGAGGAAGGGGACACACATGAGACTCCGATCTTCAGCCCTGTCGAGGAATAATACGGAGGACGTAGTACGATTCAATGATACTAATTATATACCGCAACGAACTACTCCGTATATGATGTTGTATACTACTAATAGTTCCGTTCTTGACTATACCAAGTACCCCCCAGCCAATGTTCTCTCGGCAGGCATCTCCGAAGTAGCACAGCCCGATGGCTATTTCTGCACACACAAGGAGTACTCCGGACGGCGGAGAGCGAGAGCCGCGACACAGAAATAGCAAGCGACCAGTGAAACATGATTCATGGCGGGGCCGTTAGTCATCGTGAGTTTCAGCCGTAGTTAGTTAGTCGAGACTGGGCCCTAGGTCGGACGGGGCTTACGTTCTTCCGGATACTAACAAGTACCTGTAGTCATAGAGATTCAGCCCCGATCAAGTGGAAAAGAAAACCTCATCGGTCAAATGACCGAGCATGTATTCAAAACGGTACATGAATCTAACAACCTGATTTATGACCGGACGAAGACCCAGAGGAAAAATCAGTCAAACCAAAGGACGCCAAATGGTAATGGGTCAATCACGAAAGGTCCGCGGCGGCGATCGACAGCGCCCGAAGTTCTTATCATTGCACTCTGATTGGTGGAGAACAGCCTTGACACACTGCGCTGACTAGAAACTGATTGCCCTTTCTCAAACGAGAACCTCCGTACTGTACCTACATCCGGCGGTACGAATGTATGTAATAAATCGTCGTCAGTGCCAACTCTATTCTGATGCACGTCGGACACCAGTGCATGCTTGCTAATATCGCCCATTCCAGCTCTCAGCCCTCAATTTCCTAGGCCTTTTTTTTTTTCTTTTTAGCCGCGTGAACGAGGCATTTGCATACCCCCTACCACATCGCCAGCGTTGAAATTCATATTTCAAGACTACAAAATGCCTCACCGGAATTGGGGAAAGAGGGGCTATCGTTTCCCAGGCACCGCTCTGCTGCGGAGTCCCGCTGATAACAGGAACAGGCTAACGATGTCATCCGACGCGGGCCCCCCCGCCAGCGGCTATCACAAAAGCCTCGTTTTAGTGCGGGTCAGACTCGACTGGCCCTTGATAGTGCCTCGTAGTCTGGTCGGTAATTCGTAATGAGAACCTCGGTCGGTCGGTCGACAAATCACTCTGGAGTAATTTATTATTCATGCGCGTCAGGCGAGTTGGGGGTTCATGCGGTAGGTGGTATCTAGAATATACCTCACACCAGACAGAAGTACGGGTAATGTTGGGTCCTGGTATCCTTGTAGATTCAAGAACTCTCCCGGTGATCGTCTTGTCTCGGCTGCTCTACAGATGCAAGGGGACGACGTAATGGCACTGACAGGAGAGAAACGGCGGTTATTCTGATGAACTGGTCTACATGACGATAATGATGCCATATGATGTCGTCGCCACTCGAGGGTAGAAAGATCTACGGGGATTGAGAACAAGGATTAAGGTCCCTGAAACGAGGTACTCAGGCCTTGAGGGAAGGTTATCACGTTGCCTATTCCCAGTCGTGGGGTTTGAACTGGTATTACTACGTCATGGGTGATCAACGAACGGTTTACTCCGGTCTTTGGAGCCCAGATTGGCGGTGGGAGGGGCCGCTTGTATTTTCATTGTCATCATTTCATAGATCGCAAATATACCGTATCTCTCGAGCCAGCATCCTCGTCATTGACCCCTGCATTACTCGAATTTAGGAGTACTGCATTGCAAGCCGCGGGGGTTCGTATATGACATGGCATAACCGATACGTGGTGGGCGAACCCTCCCGCTGGGCGCTGCAGGAGGGAGAATACCGCCGGAGACTGATAAGAAAAGGTAGGTATACCTCGATCTTCACAATGATTCGAAGTATCCAATGAGGGTATGTACGCTCTGTCATCTGGAGTGATACGTCTCGCCTTGTTCTCGACTCGAGCATGACTAGATTTTTCATGCAGATAGGATATTTCGCTCCATGCTGAGAGTCTCGGCAGCGGCTACTCGTAGCTCCAGCGCAACTCAGCTCTGCAATAACTGAGAACCTCAGAGACGGTCAAGAAACAGCATGGGTAGCTAGCTCCAGACTTAAACAGCCTCCAGTCTCGGAATCCTCGGCTGGTCAGCCTCACCCGCTGCCGGGCCGTTGCCGCAGCCAACGCAGGACCCACTCGACGAGGATCCCCAAGTCCTGCGAGATCTCCAGAACCCTGGCGATCTTCTCATGCATCTCCTGCAGCTTTGGCCCGGCAGCATCTGTCCCTTGCATCTCCGCATCGCCACTATCGCCGCTTTGTCCAGTCAGCTCGGCCACGTCAACGACCGTTATACGTCCGTTGAGGCCGACTTCGACACAGATCGATAATTGGACTGGCTTGACCACGGCTTCTTCGGCGTTAGTGCTAGAGTCCGTGACAAGCAGCATTAGAGCCGGCGATTGGCCAATTTGCGTTCGCAGGGTTACGTCCACCCTGACGTCGTCGGGATCTTCTTCGCTGTGGAATGAAGGAGCGACAGTTGTGAAGGCGGCTGAAAACCCATCGCTAAGCAGGGCACTCAACTTCTCCTCATTGGGGTCGTCATTGCTCAGTGTGATGATATCACTTTGACCAGCAAAGGATAGCTTTTGGCTGGCAGAAGCCGAATCGCCGACTGATGCACCTTTCGAAGGCTCTCGTTTCCCATCCTTGCTCTTGGTAGAGCCACCGGTAATATTTCGGATCAGATTCGCCAACAAGGCATATTGACGGAACACCTAATTGTAGTCAGTATTGTAGATAGACTGAAACATGAAAGCATGCATACTGGAAGGATATCGGCGAGTTGTCGAGGATGCGAGAATGGAAGATCACGGATAGTCCGACCAGCAACTGACTCAAATGCTTGGAAGGTGTAGTTATGATGATTCGTACAGGCTGCGCCGGTTGAGTCAAAACCCTGTACCGACATCCGGCGCTTCCTCCGACTAGGCTGCGGAGTAACGTCCAATTGTGACCCTTCCGAGATTAGAAGATTGTCATATGTGACCATCTTGAACTCTTGTGGTAGCTGCATTCCTAAGTGGCGGTAAATTTCGGATGCTGCAAGGATCGGAAGCTCCAGAGGGGGGTCAAGCTTCGCAACGAAACGACGGTTTGGAGGTGTCGATTCGAGCATGCTAGAATCCAGAGCCATGGGGTCATGATCACCGTGAGACAGTCGCATGGTTTGGGGAGGTTCAAGCCAGTTCACCGTCTCTGTAGGGCCACCGCTGGGTGCCGACTCGCTATTTTGGCCGGTCGTAAAGATTTCGATTCCCACCCACTCCTTCGAGATGCGAAGAGATGGATATCCTTCTTCGCATTCGATCATGACAGTCCATAACTTTTGCTGCCCATCCAGCTCGTTGTTCTGGTCTTGATCGACTACCATCGCATCGGGCGAGATTTTCTGCCGCTTGGCGTCCAAGACCTTGGCCTGTTCAACCCAGTATTCTAGGCCGAGACCGATTCGGGATCCCTTGTGCATACTTGGGCGTCCAATGACTCCATTGCAGAGGTGCTCGTATTCGCCGTCGTATTTCCCACGCTTTCCTTCCTCGGCCCAGACTCGGTTGAGATTCTCCTCCAATCCCTCTAGAGCTTCGAAACAGTTGACCTCTTGACTAAGCTTGTCGAGCTTTGCGAGCCAGTGTAAATTTTCTTGAAACCCTTGGAGGCACCTCCATCTCCCATGCTCGACGTCCTCGAGCGGCTGCACCAGATTCCGCTTTAGAACCGCAGACGCTTCATCTCGTCGTTCACCTTCTGTAAACTCAGGTGTCGCATAGCGCAGACTGACATTTTTGACAACGTCGTAACCGGGATAGAACTCGATTTCCAGGTCGACGAAATTCCCGGCAATGTTGATGTCATTATCTTGCCATATTGATTCAAACCCCTCTAGTCGGCTGAGTCGTTCGATGCCTTCCCGTGATACACCTCTGCCTGCAACGCGCGCTCGAAGACACTGCACCACTTCCTGAATCCGGTGCTTCTGCTCCTCTTCGCTATCGCGCGGCACCCCACCAAGCTTGATACCCTGCATCCCCAAGGTCTGGATATCGTTTTCATTCATGCTGGGTCCGACAAGGCTTTCGTGCGCTACAGGCAATGGGCTGATGCCAGTGTAGCCACCGAGTGCAAGAAGTGCTGACGGGGAGCTGAAAACGACCGGGTCGTCGACGGCGCTTGTCGCTGCAAGAGGTGTGGCGTATTGGTGTGAGGATACACTAATATGTGGTGCATGGCCAGGTCCCGAAGCTGACGGAGTTCGAGTTGAGGGCGATTTATGAGCGATTGATCGAAGGGGTGCGGAGGGGTGTGGAGAAGTGGTGAGATGAGTTGGCGTTGCGCCAGGTTTGGCTGAAGGAGTTGCCATGGTTGAAGTAGCGGTGCAGGGACAGAGAACGCCAATGTCTAAATCAAGGTATCGAAACTTTAAGTATACCTATAACTCCAGGGTGAAATGTGCAATTGAACCTGGGTATCCTTGGAAGGCACCAATCAATCATGCGCCAGTGCTAGCTTCGGGAGTACTCCAGGCGAGGATGGTCAGGAAGGCTCGGGAATCGAGCTTTGACTTTGTCCAGCTGCTGCCTCGCTCAGGTCCAACCGTCACTAACACTTGCAATGGATAGCCGCAAAGCTACCTGGAGTTCGCAAGGTTGCCTTGAAAGTTAACTTCCCAACAACAAAAGGACTCTCACGTGAACCGTTTTGGGGGGTCCATGTTCACCGCCTTCCAGGCCGCCTTGATCTGCACGATGACCGAATGACGGAGCTTCGGAGCTCTCCCGACTTCACTTGTTCTTAATTCAAAATTCACGAACTCCCCGAACAAAAAGAGAATGTTCGCAACTAGGTCAATTTGGAGAAATGCCTTGAAATTTTCGAGGTGGCCACAGGCTCGTTTTGTGTCCACACTAGAGGGCAACCCTCACATCGTATGTAAATCCCAGCAAGTATCAACACAACTTTGATTGATGCTGATTTTAAGGCAGTATGTGTTCCCCACTGAAGGACCAAATAACGCTCATATTCTTTCACTCTTGTCTTCTGAGCCTGTCAACCCAGATCTTGCCATTGGAATCACCAACAAGCTACCGCCAACTCCAGACTCACTCATAGAGAACCCCGAGTTCCTCGGCATTCTCCAAGAAGTCTTCGCCAAGCATGCGCATGAAGATCCAGAGGCACAATCCCAAGCCCAGGTCATGGTGTCAACCGCTGGGGCGAACCTCTACACTGGCGGTGTCTTGATGCCCAACCGCGGAAACAGAAGGCGCACTGAAACAGGCGACTCTAGCGGTGGGGCTAGCGGCCAGGGCGGTGCTGGTGGTGCTGGTAAAGGCGGTTGGATTCACATTTCAGACAGCAGACGACCCCCTGAATTTGGAAGAATTGCATGGTATGAAACTCATGTGTCGGCGAGGATAGGCTATCGGCTAATCTTTGTACAGGCCAGAGGATATCTTCGGCAGTCTAGAGGTGGATGGAAATGGTCAATTTGTTGGTGGTGACGGCAATTATCAAACCAGTGGTATGTCGTGAACGGATTCTGGTGTTATTCAAATATTCTTTTGCAGCTGACTTCATCCATTGCAGGCACATACAGAATGGTCACTCGAGAGGGAATGTAAGTTGCCCTCAGAATAGGCAGAAGGGCCTCTAGCTAATTGAACATCGCTAATTCTCAACATAGCCTGGGGTTGAGCCCATTCCTCCGGGAAAAGCTAGTCCAGCGACTTCAGCAACTGGACAAGCAATAAGCTGACCATACTCGCTTCAAGGAAAGCTTTTTGTACTATAGTGTATTATCCGACTCCTATCCCAATAAACATCATAATTTTGCCACCTCTGCAAAATATCAAAAAAGACATGGGCGCCTAACCTACAAGCCTCCAATTTTTGGTTCAATTGCAGGTTCTAAAATCAAAAACTCTCCATCCAAGTGAAGGTTTGGGAGAAGTGGGGAGGGCAAAGGTATATATCTGCGAGGTCCAGGCCCCAATTTTAGGCTTGCTAGGTAATTTAGCTACACAACCCTCCAGTGGAGTCCTGCCTGAATACAATGGAACATATGGGTAATTTCATCTCAAAAACTAAGCTATGTTCTGCTCATTTCTTGAAAAAGTTCGTTATTCGTTGTGATCCCCCCGGTGGCTTGGATGCCCCAGCCTTCTTCATTGGCTTATTGTGTGTTGCACTGCGCGTTTTGGCCTTTTGCGGCGAGGGCGAGATTGGGCCTTGATGGACCTTTTGTTTCTTGCTTTCGTTACCAGGACTTGTTACTTCTGGCGTATGTTCCCTCTTCGTGCCGTGCGCAGCTATATCCTTGTTCACTTCCTCTTTTTCAACCTTGATACCAGGTTCTTTCTTCGGGGACGCGTCCTTCGCTTTGGCATTAGCGAAAAAGTTGGCAATATTGCTCTTGTTTTCTTTGCTGTTGACGGGAATAATGAAATCTGGCGAGTTGTTGCCCACTCTGCCTACTTCCTTGGAGACGGGGTAGCACTCGAGCTCGCCTTCGTATGGCTTTAAAATGGATTGCAGTTCCTTCGACCAGGTCTTCCGGCTGGGGTCGAGCCATGTTCTCATCTCTTCACTTCCGTAATCCATGATAACAGGCATCCGGTCATGGAGGAATTTCAAATAAGAGTTTGAGGATGTTGTAATCACGGTGTACGTGTAAAGCTTCTCATCCGAGTCTATGGGACACGTATTAGCCTCCACATGCTCAACCAAGATAAGGAAAAATAGTGACTTGGATTTTACCTTCATATTTCACGCAGTCCCATAGTCCAGCAAAGCACATTAAATCACCGTCCTTGCGTCGGACGAAATGCGGGACTCTTTCTTTGCCCCCCGGTCCCTTCTTCAGCCACTCATAGAAGCCTTGACAAATGACGAGACATCGTTTGCGCTGCTTCATAGTCGTCCACATGCCACGATTCTCAATTAACGAGTCATCGCGACAATTGATCGTTCGCATCATGGAACCATAGTCCGGCTGTCGCTTTGTCCAGAAGGGGATGAGGCCCCATTTCATGCTTTGAAGCTTGTATTTAGGCTGGACAGTGGCTGGAGTGTCTCCCGGTTTCTCATCGATCTCTTCCTGTTGCTCTGGAACTTGGTCATTCTCTTCCTGGGGCACCTCCGTGTCCCGCTCGGAGCGAGTCTTCGAGTCAGGGACGTCGGCACGATAGACTGCGCCAAAGCTGCCTGGCGCAAAGTTGTATGTCTCGCGGACTTCATCGTCTTCGGGAGCTTCGTCTACTTGCATGCCTCTCTCTTGCAGCTGCTGTTGAATGTACGCCAAGCGCTGTGGATCATTGGTTAGCTGCGGTCCCCTCTCGATATGGGGCAAGGCTGCCGGCTGGTAAGACTCACCACGCCCAATGCGTAGCGCCCACACATGATGGAAGAGATTAAGATGAACTAAAGTAAATCTAGCGTGACTGATGTATGCCAACGATGTGCAATTGAGAGATGAGTTTTAAGGAGCAATACGAGTAGGCAGCAGGTGAGGGTCACATATCCATCCTAGCGACGTCATTGGGCCAAGTGCCGCAGCGGAAAAACGGAGCGCGGCCATTTCCACCTTCACCATCTTCAACGACCACTCGATAACCCTGCCCACGGACAATCGACCCGCTTATTACTCGTCCATATCGCCAAGCCATATATCCCAATCAATCCAGTTGATATCAACAGCGCCAATGTTTCGCGCAGCCTCGCGGCACGCCAGCGCTCGAGCTCAAAAGCTCGTACCAGCACAGCGCCAGGCCTGGACACGATCAATATACAGCAACAATGGCCGACCAACACTGCGCCCACGATACAACATAATCAATGTCGATCTCTTCACCATCCCCCATACCCGCCACCTCACCGTCGCCCAGAAGATCCGCATGAAATACCGCGAAGCGTCCAAGGGTGTCTTCCGCAAGAACCCCGTCTTGCTTCCATTGGCTATTTTCTCCGTGGTCGGCGGCATCGCCGTTTTCGCATACGTTTCTTACGTGGAAGTCACTCGCGTCCAGCCTCAGTATCACAAGTTTCCCCCGCAAGTCGCTGACCAGCTCCGCACGGCGGTTTACTATACCGAGATCGACCTGAACCCACCCAAGGCTCTGAAGGCGTATAAGGAGGCACTCCGGACCGCTGTGGAGATGGGTATGCATCCATTTTCGGATGAGGTGCTGGGTATTAAGCTGCAGGTCGCGATGATGCTGGAAAAGTCTGGGTTGGTCAAGCCTGCGGTTGAGGTGCTGGAGCGGACCAAGACGGAAGCTTTGAAATGGATTGAGGAAGGTCGCAAGGCTGAGTCTGCGTTGGCTGACAAGTCAAAGGCGGGACGGGTGCCCGTGAAGGCGAATGTTTCGCCGGAAAATGGCCAGACCAACGAAGACAGCGCGCAGGATGCTGAGAAGCAATTGAAGGAGATGCAGGAATTCGAAGCGAAGCAGCGTGACCGTACATTGAAGAAGGTTGTCGGCATCGAGATGAAGCTCGCCGAGTTATACTCAAGCGAGTATATTCAGGACGAGAAGAAGGCCGAGGACGCACAGGTGGCTGCTGTCGAGCTTTGCCTCGAAGAAATGCACCGCCGGCAATCATTGGGCTTGCCCGTCGGTGGAGGGGCAGCTGGCGAAGGCGATAGCGAGGCATGGCTGAACATGACCGAGATTGCCACGGCACTCGTCGAGCTGGCGGACACTTACACCACAAAGGACCGCAGCGAGCTAGCGATGCCCCTGTACCTGCGCGCATTAGAAATGATCCGCGTTGCCGAGGGCGACTCGCCTTCTTGTAAGCAAGTCGTACTGCTGAACAGCGTCGCCAGCGCCATGGTTGGTCAGGCGCAGATTCCAGCCAAACCTCGCTCCCAGGAGAAGCAGACTGTCTCGCGGGAGCAGACCATCGATGCAGCCCGGCAATGGGCCCAGAAGGCCATTGATGTCGCTGCACGTATCCAGCCACCTGTGCGCAACGAGGAGTGTGATATGACTTGTGTCGCCGCTACTTATAACCTGGGAGAGATTGCGGAACTTCAGAATAAGCCGGACGTCGCTCAGCAGCGCTATGCAGAAGCAAAGTCGTTGGCACAGGGCTTGGGCTACGAAGAAGGCATTGCTATGGCTGATGAGGCCTTGAAGAGACTCCAAAAATAAGCGCGGGTGCGCATAGAGGACCGCTCAATGTACATTATGATCATGTAGAATCCTAGCTCAATTTCTATAGATGCGGACATTGAATCGTGTAGATCATTAGACGTAGCAGATAGGGTCCAGAAGAGGCAGGCTTATTGTGTATCTCGGAGTGAATGTCGGACTTCGAATACAAAAGGTGCCAAGTGTTGGGCAGAGGCCGTCTATCGCTTCCTGGGGTAAGTAGGCATAACAAGTTGTCACACGGTTAAAAGGAATAGTGGACCTTACGAGGGCGATACGACGGCGAACTACATCCATTCACACCCAATCTACGGAATAGCAACACGGGTGAAGAAAAAATAGGAAACATTTTGATGCCTTATGTGGTATTAGAACATCACATGCCGTCACGAGATTCCAGACATTCGATTTTAATGGTGAATCAAGCTAGGCATGTCAGAAAACTTCTCGGGCCGAAAATTTCCCTCGACCGCGAGGAGTGCTTCATTGCTCGTGGCTCATACATCCCAAACCAAACCAATGCCCATCTTGTTCTGGTTTTGAACTTTTTTTTGATTCCCTTTGGCGATAAATCAAAAAGAGGCCTCCTCCCTTCTCCGCGATTCGCTCACAATCCAATCAACAACCCATTTACGCCCGCGACATAACACCCCAGGCACGGATCTTGTTGTCAGTGTAACCGGCGAACAGGGTCTGGCCATCGGCGGACCAGGCCAGGGAGATACACTCGGGGTCACGGCTCTTCTTGCCCTTCTCAACGTACTCGGGCTTGAGCTCATCAACCTTGCTCTTCTTCTCGAGGTCGAAGATGGTGATGGAGCTGCTGGTGGCAGCGCACAGCCAGTAGCGGTTGGGGGAGAAGACGAGAGCGTGGATCTCATCGCCGGCGTGGAGGGAGTAGAGGTGCTTGGACTCGTTCAGGTCCCAGAGCATGGTGGTACCGTCCTTGCCACCGGAGGCGCAAAGGGATCCATCGGGGGAGATGGTGACGGTGTTGATGTAGCCGGTGTGACCGATGTGGTCGGTCTGCAGGCGGCAGGAGGCGAGCTCCCAAACCTAGATTCGTGAAAGCACAGTCAGCGATCACTGAAACTCGTCCAAATCGATGTGATATTAAGTCAAGAAAATTTTTTTCTTGTCATCCTTCAAACTCAAGACCATAAAAACAGGCATTGAATTTGGGATTTCCATCAGGCATTGGGTGAATGGTTGTCTCATAGCCGGCAAGGGCTCTGAAGTAGCAAATACGTAGAATATGCAAACATCATGTGGGGGAGTAGAATGATAATAGCGGGAGGGGGTTTTCAGAAACCGAAAAGGCGAATTGGATATATAGCGTACCTTGACGAGCTTGTCCCAGCCAGCGGAGACGATGACGGGGTTCTGGGGGTTGGGGCTGAAGCGGACGCAGGAAACCCACTCGGTGTGGCCCTTGTCGGTGATGGTGAACTTGCAGTCACCAAGGGTGTTCCACAGCTTGATGGTGCGGTCACGGGAACCGGAGACGATCTGGCGGTTGTCGGCGGAGAACGAGACGGACAGAACATCGTTGGTGTGGCCGACGAAGGTGCGGGTGGTGTTGCCGGTAGCGAGCTCCCACAGGCGGAGGGACTTGTCCCAGGAAGCGGACAGAGCGTAGGCACCGTCGGAGGAGATCACCTATATTGCGATAAAAAGGACCCGCGGTCAGCCAGAGCGCTCCGAAACGTGTTTCCCAATTCTTCACGCCAGATTCGTTGTTGTTCCACCTTCCAATGGGCTCTTCAATATGCTCGGCGTCATCGAGAGGAGGGGGTAAGATTCGTAAGACATACACAGTCGGAGACGATGTGGGAGTGGCCCTCCAGGCTGCGCTTGGGGTAGCCGTAAGCCTGCTCATCGCGGGTAAGGTTCCAGATGATCAGGGTCTTGTCGCGAGAGCCCGACAGCAGCATGTTGGGGCTAAAAGCCAATGTCAAAAGTCAGATGGTGAATTCTCGATGCGGAAAAAATTCGAGGCAATTTGGCTCTTACTTCTCCAGAGAGGTGGCGAGGGAGGTAACCCAGCCATTGTGGCCCTCGAGGGTGCCGCGAAGAACCAGCTGCTCAGCCATGTTGGGAGTGAGACGATGAAGGAGAGAGGATTGGCGGAGTAGGTCGTTGACGCTGGGGAGATAAAATCGCAGAGTGAGGAGGTTGGCTGCGTGCCCGCTCAAGCCCTAAGCCCGGTTGGCTGCCACCTTGTGTGGTTCCGCCGTGCCCTAACCATAAGCGAAGGTCATGTGATGGATGACGGTTCCCCCATCATGTTTGTATACTTCGGGGAATGGGTTAGCCATACACGATGGATGCTTATATTATTCAATATGCTAATAATTTATGGCTCTTGTTGATTACAGACGATATGTGATTCGGCTGGCTTTGAAACTCTCAGCTTCAAATTACCGTCATTCTCGGCCGATCATCACTCATTGACAACCTTGAGCTTGTCTGGGACAAAACGCCTGCTCAGATAGATCTAATGAACCAATTCTGACATCGTTCTGGATTGACATTCCCAAATTACTTCTATCAAACCTCTATGCAGATGGGGTTCTTCCACAACATAGATATGACTGTCTGGAATGCATTGATTCCATTCATGTTGATACAATCCATTTCACCCGACCAACTATACACGGGCAGATACACTCCACCCATAGGCACTCTATCATATCGTACACGGCTCCATCAACCATCTCTCTCGCAAGCCTTCCTCTAGTTAAACACCTGGACATTGGGCATCCGTCCCAACCCACCACCACCACCAGCCTTCTTATTCTTAGCAGACTCAAAGCCTGTCGCACTCTTATCACGGACATGCTCCCTCAACAATCGCAGCACCTCCGAGTCCGTCCACCGCGACGGCACAGGCCGATAAGCGGCCTTGAACGCGCCAATAGTCTGCGCCCACTCACCGCTCTTGGCGCCGGTGTTCTTCCACGTCTCCGTGACGGTGTCTTCCTTGGGAGGCTGAGCGGCTTCGGGGATATCGGAGGGCGGGTCTTGGGTTGCCCAGTAGTAGATGTCCCAATCGTTCTCGTCGAGGAAGCTGTCGTATTCTTGTAGCTGGGCGTGGCTCATGGTGCGAAGGTAGACATCCGCAAATGTGGAGAGGAGAAGGTCAGATTCGAGGATACCGCGCTTGCGGCTTTGGTCTGATTTGTGTCATTGTTAGCTTTAATTCACACGGAGTATGCATTGCAAAGTATAAATGAAGGAATCTGGGGCGACGAACATAGTAGCCGGGCTCGCATGGTTGTAGTATCCTCGCCAGATCTCTTCAAGGGCTCCACCTTGAAAGTGATACCCTCCATCTCTCCGACTTCCAACTCGGGCTTCTGAGGCCCCTGATCCTGACGACCACCAGTAAAGTGCTCAAGCTTGCCAGTGTATGCATCCTCGGGGCTCTTGAAGCGCAGGCCGGTCGTGCCGAATGAACGGGTGATTGCCGAAGCCGAGCGCGCGTTGAATGCAGCTGGCATAGGCCGCAGGACGCGGCTGAGAATTCGCGGTGCAGACATTATGTCGATCCTCTATCCCTTATGCTTTGATAGGCAGTTTGAGTCTGGTCAAGCGTAAAGTGAAGAGTCGATAAGCTTATAAGTTATCAATACGGATTTGACATCATCTGGAGAAACGACCCGAAAAAAGATACCCGAGGCCTGCATGTCCCGATGTTTGCAGTGTTTGTTGGTCGGCCGCTCCACCGGATCGCTGGCGATTACACAGCGGCCTCGGGATGCGTGGGTGATGTATGTAGCGGATCCACCAAGGGTCCCTAGACAGCGGAGAAAATAATCAGTGGGTGAGCATCGAATTGAATGTAGGTTATCGATATTGGAGATTGGCCACTCAATCCTAGCTCCAGGTAAGGTGAAGATCAACTAAGAAATTATTTAGTACATCACAACAATCTACTTAAGACCGGGGACAAAGATGATGATTAACCCTCCGCGGAAGCAGGGCATGTATTTTATATCATTGAGATCATGACTACTGGAACAAAAATGCCTAAAGACAAGGGAGAAGCCATAAAGAGCCAGCACAGCGAAACCCCCCAATGCAACAGCACCTCAAATCCAAGATCGAACAAGTAGAAAAGGCGGAAACCATCTGAATCATGTATGCAACTCGTCAATTCCCCTTCACGCAAGCTAAGACAGCAGAAAAATATAAGAAGCACCAGTCCGTTTTTTTCTCTCTCTCTAAATGAGATGCTTAGACCGGAAGTAGGCCCGCAGGTAGACAACCTGCCAAGCACCCAGGCCAACGAGCATACCCATCGTGCCGAACGCGAACCACTTCACACGCTCGTTGGTGCTCTCATTAGTATCACGGAGGCGCTGCTCACGAGCGCGGAGATAATCCATCTCCGTGACGATGTCAGCGACCATCTCCTCGATGCGGCGGAGGTCGGTCTCGACGGGCTTGAGCTTCTCTTGCGCCTGGATGGAGGACCAGTCGCGGGCGTCGGCGCCAATCTCGACATCGAGATCGATTTCGCGGGAGGGGTTGGCGATGGCGTCTAGATATAACAATGGCATTAGTTATCTGGCGGCGAGGAGCGCGTATGCAGGGCACCTCGCCTGCCGATGGGGGGAACTTACTGCGACCGACGAGCTGGTTCTCGAGACACACGTCGAATGCAGTGTCAGCAGTCGAAGTGAAAGCCTGGCGCACCTCGCCAACGATATCCTTAGGACGACCGTGGTCATTGCCCATCGCATCCTTGATCTGCATCGCGCCGGAGCCGTTAGCCAAAGATGTCCCGCACGTCACAACATCACCAATTCCCAATTCGCCTTCTTCATATCATAACATTAATCCTCAGGACTCTCCAAAAAATATGGTACGTACGTGCATGTTGACTTTCTGGCCATCACCCTTTTGGCCGCTCACAATGGCCGTCACTACGACCAGCTGGTCCTTCGAGACAAAGTTGCGGATGCATCGCTCATTCTTGCCCGAGTTGGCGGGGAGATCGAACTTGAGGGCGCAGGCGAGTTGTACCACAAGTAGGAACAGAGTGAGGATCGACCTCATGGTGAATGGAGAGGAACCCATGGTTGGCGGGATGGTCGGTGATAAACAGGAGAGCTGTTGATGCCAGCTGGTAAGGGGACTTGGCGGGATCAACAATGTTCCGGGCTCAGGTACACCACGCGGGAAGTATACGACCATATAATAATCAAGTACACTATTTACCATTGATCTCGAGCGAGTTGATAGCAGCTGATAATTGAAAATAAGTCTTGAAATTTTATTTTTATTTGCTTTGAAAGCTGATATCATTATGAGCTTAAAATATTGTTTGAAAATACGTCGTGCGCAGAGATGTTGGAGTATACGCTGCGGCTGGGCAGCGTGCAGCCATTCGACTATTAGTCCAAGTGGAGAGCTTGAGATCTGAAAGCAATCCATCATTGCAGAGGGCAGTCAGGTATACGCGATGATAAGACGCAGAATTTCAAACTGCGGAATACGAAGTTCCCACAATAAGATTGAATGGGGCTGTCAATGGGACTTGGACAGTGATACCTCGGTCACACGTAGTAGAAGGATGCAAATCTGTCCCAGAATGTAGTATGTTTAAAACAATAGATCCAGGTTGATTAATCTATAATTTTACGCTCTACAGATTATATGGAGGATCAATTAGAGAAAAAAAAAATAAGGTATGATTTCCGAAGCGTCAAAGTTTTGCGTACAGGCACACAAGTTCTTCAAACATGGTATCTCGCAAGGATTCACAAAAAAAAGAAAGACCAAAGGCATCCGTCATTCCCAAACAGAAGCCAATCTCAAGAGAAGAAGAGCGAAAAAGAAAGTTCAAGGAAAATTATGGGTCCGTCGTAGTCGTTCAGTCCGGAAGCGAGTATCGAAATATTCAACCAAAGATGGAAACAATGAAGAGGTGGGTTGAAGTTCAGTTCATATCGAGAAGAGACCAGAACACAAAAGGAAATAAGAGATGAAGACTTCCATAAATGACATTACGGAAAGAGAAAAGGCCCACCAGACCATAATCGGAGAACACAAGTAAGAAGAAGAGAGCAAAAAAAAGAAATTGTCACAAGATGTGAAGCTCTATACAAGGAAGGGGGTAGCATCAAAGGGTGGAAGGTTGAGAAAGGTGGGAGATGAAAATAATGATAAGACAAAACGATGGACATGAGAGTATATATGGATCGTTAGATTAAGCTGAAACGCTCAGAGCATGACATCGAATTTGCAAGTGAATGACTTGAGATTATGAGGGGGTCGGGGTATGTGGAAGAGAACGCGCTTTGGCGCTTCATAATTAAGCTTCGAGCTTCTTGCGACGAACGAAGAAGCGTGAGAATCCGCCCTCCTTGCCCTTGGCACCCAGATCACGCCCCGCAGGGATTTCGGGGGGACCGGTGTTGCGGAGGAAGTCCGCCAGGGCAGACGTCTCCGTTTGTCGGTTGGTTGTGGATGGGATTATACCCGGGTTGCGTGCCATGCCAACCTTGTGGGAGTAGTTGGAGGACTGCTGATGTTGAGAGTTGAGGGTGCTCTGAGAGCGGAGGGAGCTGATAGACATTTTTGAGGAGGGAATTCTGTCAGCGGTGGTGGAGCTGCGCATGAGTCGGGACTTCATGCCAGTGCCGTTGGGCCTAGCGGACGGAACGGCGACATTCAACGGCTGGGGTTGTTGTTGCTCAAAGTCTGGTGGAGGCGCGCTACGCAGGAAGTCGAGTAGACTTTCTTCCTCACGTTTGGGTGGCTTGGCGTTGATGAGCTCTTCCAGGAGATCGTCATCATCGTCGTCGTCAATGGCATACGGATCTGGGGCGCGGCCTGGGATGCGACGTTGCTTGCGAACAGGAATGGGGCGGTCATCATCTTCCATCGCAATACTCGTTGGCGCAGCCTTGGCCTGGCCAGTTGTGCGGTTACTTGAATCCAGCAGGCCGATCCGCGAACCAAGCGAAGTCACGGATTTGTTAGGAGAAGAGCCACTAGCGAAAGAGTTGCCGTGGTCCTTATCGGTTGCAGAGTCGAAATGAATATCATCCGAGTCGATAGTGTTGCGGAATGGCGCAACGGTTCGAGGGATACGGTGCGCACCGGGCTGCGGTGGCCCCTCGCGGATGAAATCGATCAGTTCTGAGGTCTGTGAGCCTCGAGTCTCTGCGGGACGTGCCTGGAGACGGGGACGATTCGGATTTGAGCGACTCGTGTTGTTGGTATTGGTAGAGAAGCTGGAGGGAGGGCGAACGGGGGAGCCAGCCTGCGACACAGGGGCACTGGTAGGACTGGAGATTCTCGTGGTCTCGGCCATGTCACGAACTGAGGTTGGGGTACCTGCAGTACGGGCAACCTCGCGGGCAGGAGACTTTGGCGGCAGAGTCATTCGAGAAGCGAGGGGAATATGTTTGGGAGACTCGATCGACTTGGTGCGTCCGAGAGCATTCACGTCGCCGGTGTTTCTCGAAGACACGGAAGTTCGCAGCCGAGGCTCCTCTCCAGGCGGCCCAGTATTCTTGATAAAGTCGGCAAGGTGAGTCGTATCCGTGGTGTCTGACCGCGGGATCTGTCGAGGAATATCAGGGAAATGCATCTCTCGCACACTCCGGGGAGTCAGAGTGAAATGGATAGTCTCGTCGCTGTTGATCAACTTGTCGAGATCCGTAGCATCGTTTTCGACAGAGCCCGCGCTACCAGATGCCCGGCTAGTCTCGGACGAGCTACGGAGACGCAGCGACGGAGATTCGCCTTGAGGACGATTCATGAGACCTTTGAGTTTGCTGGATACTTGAGATGTGCTAGAGCCAGCGGTGAGCGGACGCTTATCGCTCACACTGTCTGAGCGACGAGTTTGGGTCTGAACTGTAGATGAAACCGAGTTATTTGGACGAGGCATGCGCTGGACAGCAGCTCGTTGCTCAAGTTTCGGGGACGTGCGGTTGGTTGGTGTGACCACGAGCGGACTGGGCTTGTGGCGTCGGGACCGTTGCGATCGCTCGCTCCCCGTCGCAGATGCCGGGCGTGGAGACTCGGGGACGGTTGCTGGCTCTTGAACAGAAGACTCTTCAATCGCAGACTCGGTGGATTCGGTAGGGTTGACTGGTTCTTCGACAATCGTCTCGCTGAGCTTCTCACGCATTAATTTGTCGTTGACGGAGGCGGTTGCAGGCGTGGAAGTCATGACTGATATATGCTGATCGCGATCTTCGACATCAATTTCATCGCGAGGAGAATCGATAGCCTCGATTGTGGCGCCAGATGGTGTGGGCGTGGACTTAACCCCTTGCGTGGCTGGCGGCGTGTCAACGACGGAATTCACGTCGGGCTCACTAGTCTCTGCAATGATCGGCTTTGCATTAAGAAGGACAGGATCCTTGCTGGGCTTTCGTCTTGGTCGGTGAATTGTCGACGTCAATTTGGGCTTCTCACACAATCCCTGTCCCTCAATCACTTCCGTATCCTTGGCAGGTTGATCATCTAGGGATGCAGCAGAAACGCGCGCGCTGTGATCGGTCGCAGCCTCCTCGTCGTCCTCCCAAGATCGCAAGGACGCGACAGTCTCGTTGACGGGAGGACCTGCGGCAGATGCTGCAGCTGGAGCCGGTCGCTCCTCTTCCTCCTCCTCCTCCTGTACCACGGGCATTCTGTCTTTCGCTGCAGATTCTGCCGTCGACTGCTCTAGGACCTCCTCGTGTGACGTGGTGATCGCGGTGCCGGGGGCAGTCTCTGCAGCGTCCACAAACTCCGCCGATTCGTCATCCTCATACATGGTCTCGAGTTGCTTCTTCTCCTCGGACGTCCGAGGGGACGGCTGATCGGCAGTCGCAGCATATTCGGTCTTCTGGGAAGTCTGCCGCGGTGGGCTGGCCGCCGCATTTGGCAAGGACTTGGTGCGGACATGGCGGAGACTCTTTGCGTTGTCAATGGCGCCAGCGCTCACGGGTGAACCAGTTGAACCTGGGGACCTGGGTACTAGGGATGGAGAGGAGAAGACCATGAGACTACGCGGTCGCACCTTGTGCGCCACCACAGCCTCCATAGTCTGCACTTCACCCTCTAACTCGGCGGAGAATCCGGGGACTTCGATTTCTTGAACGTCCCAATCGCCAATGGGTAGGGGGACGGTAGCGGGGTCAACCAAGGCGGGAAGCTCTTCAGCTAGCGGTTCCTGAGGAGTCATGGGCTCCTCGATGGTCACAACGCTGCTCTTCCGGCTGTTCGCCAAGTTCTGCGTGTACCCGCGGCGGCGGAAAGATTCGCGGGACAAGGTTCGCGAAAGAGTGGTGTTGCGTCTACGCTTCCTCCATGTGCGCCACAATCGTCCGAGAGTCGCATTCAGAGCCAGTTTCTCCATATCCAAATCTTCCACCACCAGCCGGTCGATTCGCTTGCGATCCTCATCCTCATCCGCCTCGTCGTCTTGCCCGTCGTTCAATTTCGCGGAGAGTCTGGACCGCGCCGTCTCGCCCGCAATAACGAGGGCTCGCTCGCCAATGTGTTCGATGATCGATGTCAGGAAGATGGCGGCCGCGGGCGTAATGTTGTCGACATGACTCGTGAATCTGCGGGGTGCTCCATCGGTTTCTCCCAGCCCCTCTTGCGCAATAAATTCGTCTTCGTCCTCCTCTTCCATGTCACCCAGCCGGGTGTACACCATACAACGCAGACGCGTCAACTTCCATGAGCGTACGAGATCAAAGTCACCGCCGGGTTCGTGACCTCCTCGAAACTCGGTCTGCTCGTCGTCTCCGCCTCCCATATATTCGCTCAACTCCTCGTCGGCAGTAGCTACGACTTCCGAGGCCAGTCGGGGCTTCAGCACATCGGCAAGGGCGGGTCGGATACAGGCGAGCTGGGTCGATTTGGATCCAGCTAGAATATTGAACAAGAGATTGTCGAGGAATCCATTCAGCAAAGAGAGCGCGGCGGGCGTGACTAGGGCATTTGCGCCGGCACCCGTCTCCTCATTCTCGGGAGCAAAATCGGCGGCGTTGAATTCTTGGTCGGAAGTGATGATCTCCGAGGCAGCGGAGGATGAGATGAAAGCCGGCGCAGGACGAACGGAGGGAGGCGACATGAGGTTGACTCGGGGGTGTTGCGAGTCACTGGAGAGACTGGTACTGCGAGAGCGAGACAGGGTCCCTGCCTCCAGGAAATCGGATCCTTTGTAAGATTGCATCGCGGGGGAAACGGACACCCTGGTCCCGGAGGGCGATGTCTGTTCGATAATCGGACTAGTACTCATTCGACCGTCGATCGAGGTTTCTTGGGTAATCTTTTCTTTTTCTTTGTTCTTCTTTCTTCTCGGGACTTCGGGACTTGGTATTCCCTCGGTCTCAATGGGTTTAGAGCGGAGTCGCAGAAGCAGCACTGGGTTGGATCAAAATCTCTAAATCATCCTGTACTTCCAAGCGCAAGGTCAGCCTGACACATATTCTCCTGTCGTGAAAGCTGACATTTTGTTTTCAGAAATAGAAAAGAGGGGGGGGGGAGGCGGTTGATCATTCGGGGGCCTTGCGGCCATTGCGGCCCCTTTGGCTCGTCATTTTTTTTTGGGAATTTGGGGCAGTTGGCATCGTTGCCTTTGCCCGAGCTCGTACAAGGCCCATTGGGGGCGTCATGCAGGTTGGAGCGTGTCAAGTAAGGAAGGCGTGGTTTTCTCACGTACCCATATGGACCGGCGCAAAAGCGAGTGATCATGCCGTCCGCGTGTTTAGCATCCCTGGAAACGAGTGTCGTAGAAGTGGGCGGGTAGGGATGAGTAGTGAGATGCTGGCTGAAGATTTGCAAAGAAGGGAAGAAAGAGGGAGAGAGAGAGAGAAAGAGAGAGACTGGGATCAGGAGTCCAGATGGAAATGGAAACCAAGTCGAGTTTAATGGCGTCAAAGGGAGAAGAATAAAATCCCCCCAAAATAATAATAATAATGGAGTTCAGTTCCAAATTCCGTTCTGACTACAGTCTCCGTACTTGTCTGACTACTTGACTCAAGTGGAGACTCACAGGCTGATTCGGGGATTGACTACCGAAGAATAATTTATGGAGCTGGCAGAAGGAAGATCAGATACCCAAAGGAACATCATACACAATGTACTGGATGAATGGATTGGAACTTAATCGAGATATTTTGTTTTTCTCCGATTCCCATCCACTCTATTAAGATATACAAAGAAGGAACCGAGTGCTATACAGTAACCGTATCGACATTTAGGCCCACGAGGATACTGTAACTACAGAGTGCCTTGTACAGTGTAGTACACAACTTTAAGGAGTTCACGTTCCCCCTGAGGCGGGGAGGCGTGCAGCCCGCACGAGGCGGCCACTCCGACTTTTTTCCTGCCACGATCGGCACTACATGTACATCTACTCCCTTTCTTGTTCTCTCTCCCTACCTCTATACTTTCAACTGGAAAATCACTGTACTATTCTTACTTCTTCATTCCTCTCAGGTACCGTGCCTGAATGAATCCCTTCTTATCTCCCAACCTACCGACTACAACCACGGTCCTGCCCTCAAGCGGACGCGACCCGAATGGCCTATGGCGATGAAGAAACAGGGGGGGACAAGAGTTGAACCGATCGACGGGCCCCGAGAGCGCACTAGTCGGCTCCACTTGAACAGTGTATTGTCTGGGTCAACGGGGCCCATCGATACTACCAATCACGCATCTCACGGGCGTCAGATCTGGGGCCTGGCAATGGTTAGTCTTCCACGCTTTACCCATTGAGATCGCTCTATTGGATTCTGGCTTTCCCGACTCGGCTCTCGCGCTGAAACGGTCCAGCACTTGGCCCCTCTCCCAAACTCGGGCGATGATGCTAACAGGCTCGGACGTTCTCACCCCTGGCCCTGTTCACTCATGATTTGATTTTGGTGGGCTTATTTCGTCCATATCTCCGGGCCCTCCACGGCTTCGATCATGGTTCTATGCCTTCCACCCTTCCACACCCATGCAGGGCACCCTCTCCCCCGGGCGCAACCAGTCTGCCACCCAATGCCACCATTAGCCTTCTAAACCTTCTTGCCCCTCCTGTCCCGAGGGTGGAGCCTATCAATATCATCTCATAGGCTCTGCATGACTTTCCGGTCTCCGTCGGTGCCATTAAATACGAACAACACGTTCCTGAAGCTTCGTCCTGCGTTCCATGGAACCCTCCCAAGAAAGGAAATGCCCACGAGGAAACGAGGGTAGGAAACGAGGATGGCAGGATGCAGCTTTGCACGATCGTGCTGTGGCTGAGGCTTAGGCTGCTTTAGTCCTTGGGTTTTCCGACATAATCATAAGATCCCGTTGTGCGACAACGTGGTCTGGGCCTGGTCCCGTTTGACACAGGCTGAACTGAGGTATGGAGCACGGAGTCTCCGTACTTCATTAATTGAGATCTTTCTTGATCTCGTCAGCCACTCACGCCCGATTTTTCATACATTTTGTCTCGGGCCCATCGCGGGCGGGTATCGTTTGCGTGTCCCCCTCCCAATATCAACCCAATGTGGACGGATTCTGGTCGCACGGTCGCTTCTCCCCGAACCACCTCCGGTCGGGTCCAAAATGACGGCACCCAGGTCTCTTGTTCTTCCCTTTGGAAGTCCATCCGTGGTACCTGACAGATCGACTTGACCCTGTAGTATGATATCTTGGGTTCCGCGGCAGCTACTCACGCTGCGATGACCTACGAGAGGAATCAGGGACTTGGCATTCCCAGAACGGACAGAATATGGATTCAGACTACTGCATGTACTCCGTAATCCGTACTCTGTCGATCGCAACGATCATCCTACATGGGACCCTCCAATCATCCCCCCGTTCCACCCTTCCCCAAATCTCAAACTGAATTGCGGGATTATAAGCTACGGTTGAATTCTTTTCCTTCCCATGACAGAGACGAATGGTTTGGAACAACCATTGATTCCAGAAAATCCAACATGCCTCAATTTTGGATCCAGCGTGTTTCAACGACGTCGGGTAGACCACGATGGAGACTAGGCTTGACGGAGGAACCCGGCCGGGTTTCGTGCTAGAAACCTCGTGGTAGGATGATACGCTCATATTCATCATCGCGGAGCAACGCGGTTTATTCTCCTATACTATCTTACTATTCTTGCTGGCCTGCGCGTTCTTTGGCGTCGCGCCCCCAACCCATTTCTCATGTGGACCCTCCGGCCGAGATTCGAGGAGGCGGTCAACCAGTCAGTTCGGCCGTGTCGACTCGCAAAGCAATAATAAAGATCACCAATCCCCCCCCCCCCCCTTGAAATCCTAGGCTCCCGAGTACCTGGAAAACAGCAAGAACCTGAATCATGCACATGAGAGAGCCATTGTATTACTTGTAAGTTACTCTCTTCACCACTTCGAGGGCTTCGCTCGGGTGTTTCTAGTGTGCGCCACATCGGGTTCTCCGTACGGAGTACGAAGTATGTACTCCGTGCTACCTTAGCTACTGCACTTGATGGCCGTAGCTCATTTGACTTTATGTGCTACTTGATCAGTGTGCTTTTTGGTCTCCGTGGCTATCTGCTACGGAGACTACGACGGTGTGCCGCTTCACCTGTACGGCAACGCAGGGACAAGCGATCGCTATAGTATTATTGTCATTATCTGGGTTGATGGAGTTTCCGCTCTCATACTTCGTACATAGACAGTACCTACTTCCCACCCTTCTGACCTTGTACTGATTGGTAGGTATGACATACCTCGAGTTCATTGCCCCCTCTTTCTCAAACATTATTGCTTTTTTTTCTTCATAAGTAAGGTTTAGGGCTGGAGGATTCAAATCATGGGTGGTGCAGGGTGATTGCTATGATGCAAGATGCGGCTGTGGTCGAGCAGTATGGTAGTGTGACTGACGCGATATATCATATCACATCCCTCTCGTCGCCCATCACGGTGCATGTCCTTAATACCTGCCATTGGGTCAACCACAAAATATATTCCCTGCACCTCAATCTGCAAAATAGATTTTATAGGCTTGGGAGCAAAGTAAACGGCGCAGGGATTATTGGCTATCGCGGAGAACTCGCGGTGATGGGGCCGGACAAGGTTGTGGATGATGCTGCAGCCCGTTAGCCGCTCAATATTTGACTATCTCATCTCATCTCATCTCATAGTCCCTTCCCCCAGGCCAATCATACTTGAACCACTCACGATCTAGGATAAATTTCCGGTCAGTAGTGCCCACCATAAGTCAATAGTACCCATACACTCCCTTTAAACCGCAGAGTACAAAAATGTCGTCCGCCCAATAGACAACTCCAACCGCTCTGCAGAGAAGAGAAAGTGGATGCTGATCGCCCAATAAATCCGGGTTACAGCCACCATTACCGGCAAATCCCGCCCGCGATTTTCCAGCGCGGCATCAATGTACCTGCACTAGGAGAATAGGGAAATAAGGATGGCCAGTGTTCCCCGCAACCACTGGTCTAAACTCCGACGAATGGCAATAGTGGGTGGGAACGCGGTCCACTTCACCCACTCGCGGAGGCTGTCAGAATTTGGATTTTCTTCATGTCAATCCTGTCCGGGGGCTCCACACGGGGTGCAAAGCCAAGACGTGCATGGCCTTGTTCGTGACGGGGAGATAGGGAATAGATTTTAGACTATTGTGAACGGATGGAGTAAGGTGTGAGTGATAGTGGCTGGTAATGTGTGAGTCGGTGATGGGCATTTGCATGTGTGATTGATCGATATGCTATGTTATGGACAGTGGCGTTCTGTTGAAGATATTCAACTTTCAGTTTTGTGGATAGATGCCAGTCGTATAAGGTTTATGCTGTACCGTAAGGTACCAGAGATCAAAAAGCTACCTTCTCGTTCATCTCTCCGCTCACCGCATCGTGTGCTCAAACACCGAGGAGGTAGTGGATGTATCCGACAACGTTGTTGGTACCCTGTCCGTGCTCCTCTCGCCGTTGAGTGATCGACACCACCAAAGATGGCAACTGGATACCTCCCAACTTCCCCTCCTCAAGCCTCTGTCCTACCTGACCCGTCATAAGCGAGAAAAGTCACGCGATAACTCTGCATAAGCGGTGCAGGAATGTGTTTTGAGGGGTTTGATGCATTCGAGTTGCGCGCGAGTATGAGGAAGAGTCTGCACCCGGTTTTTGACGGTCCAGTACAATCCAAGCAACGTATCGTAGAAGACGCCCACTCACTAGGTGGTCGGGATAGAAATGGTCTTCTCATCACGGCACTTCTCCTTGCATAACTCCACCGATAGTCGCGTCTCCGCCTGAAGGCATTCTCGTTTGCAGGAAATATATACTCCTCACCCGACGACCACGCCGTATGTCTCGACCTTTCATTTCACACATAACCCGGAGGAGTATACGTATAGCACGCAATCATTTCCTACAGCCGACCAAGTAAGGTAGTGACAGATAAAAAGAAGGCAACACAATAGCCAAGAATATCGCTGGACTCGTCTCCAACGCATAGACCACAAGCCCACTCACCACACCAGCCCATCCCTACCGGTTAGGGAAGGAACCAGAGAGAATTCGCCGAGGCCTTGACATCCACTAGTGATATCCTAGCCACCGGGTTTCCCGGGTTTCGTGTCCGTCGAGAGTCAAGTTTCACGTACACACACGAGAGAAGGAGGGGCAGGTGTCGAGACTTGTCGCTCCGGACTGGAGGAAGCTAGCTTAAGCCTTCCGTGCCGTTGTTCGGGAGGGAAGTGGGGCGTGGCAACGAGAGTTGTTCGTAGCGGAGATTGGGGGTCACGACCTGAAACAACGAGGGTGTGTCTTTTGCCGATGCTGTCAGGGTCCGGGTCGATTGAAGGTAGAGGCTGGCCCGTGTGGTGAGATTCTAGACCGTTCCTTGGAGATTCCCGTTGTTGGAATACATGCTTGGGAGGGATTCGGAGTTTTTGTGGACATGTTGGGATGTACGCAGTAGGCAACGGCAGTTGCTATTGGTGAGATGGCCATTCTACGAATACATATATACCAGGGTGGTTGTTGACCATCGTATCTTTCATCCGCTTTGGTGAGGCTAGGAGGGGCTCCTAGTAGTGGAAGGCAAAGAAAGCTTTGAATTTCCAGGCGGCTGCTATTATTGACTTTGCTTATGGTGCACCTTCTAGGTCAACAGTATTCTTAAATAAGAAACCTACCTATTCACCCTAGTGGCTGCTGCTGGTAGACGGCGATATCCTCCCCTTACGAAAATTATCAGTCGGAAGCATGTCCCGTCATAGATCCCACTTTCTACCAGCTCGGATGGTCATTCTGGATTAAAGGTATCCGGCCATTCGCGGACGCAGCAGGTGAACCGGACGACTGGCAAAGAGCCGAGGAGTTAGTTTGAGACCTAGGCAAGACGGTGATTAAACACATGGCCCGGGGATCCTGGTGGAAGAAGTAAGAATTCAGTGTCCTGACTGATACCGGCATTTCGTCTGACAATTTCCACGGGGTTACTGGGTCTGGAGACCTTGTCCTCTTACGACACTACTGAAACCATCAGGTGAAGTTGAAGATTCTTAGAAATTTCAAGTGCTAGCTAGGCAAAGTACATGGTGTAAAACCATGGCCCGCGCTGTTTTCTGTTTTCAAAACCCGAATACTTTTCCTTTTCATGGTTGTTGTGAACCATTGAAGACACGTTCGCCCGTGGCGAATTCCGAAATAACCCATTTTCATAATCGTAAACTCGTAGCTCTGTTTGTTTGTTTTTTTGCAAGACCCTGAGCTGAATGGGGTCTAGGTAGAGGCAGGAAGGTCCTGCGTACCGAGTGCTTGCACGATTCCACCGGCAAGGAAGCTCATCTCGTCAGGACAGACGTCGACTCGACCGTTGGCCAGACGATCAAGGAGGAAGTGTTCGACCTTGTCCAGAAGGACTTGATGATGATTTTGGGTCAGGCCGACAGACTTGGAGCCGGTCTGATCGGCGGCGACCTCTTGCTTGCGGAGTCCGACGAGGTCGTCCAGCTCAGCCACGGAGAGGAGGTTACGGAAGACTCCAATAACATGATTCTGAATCGAATCCAGATACATGCAAGGTGCGTCGTCTGGATGCATAGACTCGGTTTCGTGACCAAGTCTGATGTTGTCTGCCTGGGTGTGAATGTATGTTTTGTACTTGGCGTCGGCAATTCCGTGAATGCCGTTCATGTACGCAACGAATAGCTGGCGATCGACATCAACTGCATCGCGAGTAAAGTCTTCGGGATGATTGGTACAAGTGCGGATAAACTCGTGGTGGGGGTGGTCCTCATCGTCACTATCTTCCTCGGAATGGAACGAAGAGTTCGCGGACCCGGATTGAAGGGCGAGCATCATCATCTCATGGCATGTCATCTGACTATCAGAGGGTTCGTCGTACTCTTCGAGACCGGGATTGTCAATGTATTCGATGTCGGCAGCAAACCGAACGGAGGACTCGGACTCGAAACTGATGAAAACATCATCAAAAGTGTCGGTACGGTCTTCCCGGGTCTCAGGGACATCGGCTAATGTCTCCTCCCAGATAGAAAAATCGGACATGTCGTCATCATCGTCCTCATCTTCATCATCCTCTGAGAGGGCATCGTAATCGAACTCAATATCATCGGAGCCGTATCCGGACTCAGACTCAGTATCATCGACTTCATCGCGTATGTCGGAAGTGGAGTTTTTCAGGATCGACTTCAAGAACGGGTGGATAGTGGTGGCGCGCTTGTCGATACAGGTCTCGACACTGGACTGCAGGGGAGCAGGATTGTTGGATGAGACAGACACCTCGTCAGAACCGTAGCAACTGTCCTGGGAGAGGGACACTTCAAGGTGGGCGAAGGTGGAGGAAAGAGAATCCCATGACTCTCGGTGGGAGGCGTGAGTGGCGGCCATCTTGGGCGCTGATTGGTCTGCGAAGTAGTGAAACGACGAAGTTTCCTGGCAAGTTTCGAGTCCAGCTATAGCCAGGTTCGTCGCAATCGGGAGAGGAATGTTTGGAATTTAGTTATAGATTGAGTAAATGGAGTGGCGAGGAAAGCCTCGATTGCACGGAGAGAGATCCATGGTGAAAGGCACACGGTGATCGTGTGATCGCTTAAGGGAACTTGACGAGGCAGCCCTCAGCAAGAATAGTGTGCGAATACATGGTGTGCGGGTGTCGTTTTGTTTCGGTGGGTTGGTTTCGACGAGGTCTTTCCTCTTGTGATCCGAGTGATTTTTCGCTCGGAGGGTGGACACAGAAGCGATTGAAGCGGTAGATCGCGTCGGAGATGGGACGGGTAGAGGGGAGAGAGTCCTCTCGGAGTCAGTCGTGTTGTGGCTGTGGTGAGAAGGAGGATGTGAAGGCCAAGGAGGTCGTGGTATTTTCGCGACGCGATGCAAGCGGCACCGGAATGTTAAAGGGTGCGGCGGGGCCTTCACGCTAGTTGATGATCGTGATACGACCTGCGAGAAGACTTTGGAAGGGGTTGAATAAGATAGTAAGGCGGAGAATGGGTTGAACAGGTGAAGAGTGTGGGACAGTGAGGAGAAGTCGAGATGACCGAGGTGAGAACCCACGTTCCGCGGGGTTCGTCCTCAGAGGGGTCGTTGAGTCACCGGCAAATCGTCTTGGGGGAATTTGTGGCAACCGTCGGATAGGCGAAGGGCACCGGCAGAAGGTAGTCTCAGCAGGGCGGAAGAGCGAAGTGAGTGTAGATAATAGTCATGAGGAGGTTAGAGAAACAAGCAAAAAGACTACAAAAGCAAAGGAGGATGATTATTCTTTCAGCTGACCCTGTTTCTTCGCCGTTCGGTGGTCGCCTCGTAGGTTTTCGTCATTCTGAGTCAGCCGCCGCTCCGATCGATTACTCCGATCCGCGGCTCAATTGCCGCCTTGACTGTTCAATACCGTCCGAGTCAGGGGAATCTACTGGCAAATGCAAGGAGCTGGTCTATTGATTCCCTCGGCAGCTACAGTACATATTTTTTCTGATTTCTTCAAAATGTACAAAGGTCGAGAGGCCTTGGAGAAGGCGTTGACCAACGCTCCGATAGAGGTTCGACGATCTTCTAGAAGGGGACCGGCCGGGGTTATGATTACCATTTCTCCAGGAAGATCACCTCGCCAGTCGACTACTTTTACAAGATCGCTCACGCGTTACAGCATCTGAAATGACACAATGGAATGTTTTGGAGGCGCTATGCTTTGTCTTTTTCCAGAGATTCTCCACCCAACGTGGCTGAGACGAGGGTCGTGCCCAAGGACCGCCTGGTTGTTTACCAAGTCCAGTTGATAATGATACCACCTGCGCAAGTGCATCCGACGAGTATTTGAATATCCAAACACACGTCAAGGGCCTCATGCTAGCCTCAATGTACGCGTTGGCTGAGGCGCTGAGGTGCCGACATTGAAGATTTGTTGGCGACCAGATTGGCTAAAGAGATGTGCCTTTTCATCGCACCATTGATCTCCCAGGAATATTCAGACCAGCGACTTTCTCTACACGGCTTACGTGCATCAAGATATTTCAAACAAGAGACTAGAATACTGCCGACTCCTTTCACACACTAGTCGGCGTGTATCAGTGACGCCGTGTCATCGCGCGCCCAAAGACGCGGTCCTCGAACAAAGAACCTCTCCTGTTTTCGATGGTTTGTCTCCAAAATAGCATCCAGCCAAGACTCGGCGATGCTTGTCCGCATCTGGCTAACGGTGGTCTCAGAAAACAAAGATACCCAAGGAACTGACAGCTTCCCCTGTCGCAATGCCCGGGACTGCGATTTGACTCGCGATCTTATGCCGCGTTTCAAAAAAGGTTCCTTTGAGACATGGCTTGGATAATGAGAGACTGACGTTTTCGATCATTTCTTCAGTGATCATCAGCCACGATGATCTGAATGGGTGGATAATTATAGAAATGAGCTTCAATCTGAGAAGAGCCAACCACAGGGCCGTCCTGGATGATGATCTCCTGCAGATCGGGGATTTCTTTTTTCTGCACTATACTTGGTCCTAAGCTTCCAACCGCCCAACTACCTTCTCGAATTGCCAAAGGATTGTTCGTTGCATTATTGGAGCGGGCGGATGTGACATTCCACTCAGCCTTCAAACATGCCCGGTCCACATTCCAGTCTTATCTGCGCCCTGGCATTGGGCAACGCTACAACGGTCTCTTCAGTGTCTCTACGGGAAGAGCGCTGAGCCCTCACAAATAATCGAACGGACAAGAGTGGGAGGATAAGATCGTGTCAAGATCGTGTCAAGTGCAGCAGATCCGCTCGGTACGCTTAGGCAGCCGAAGTTGAGCCATTGACGATTATCTCACCACTGTCATGACGCATACACTGCGAGAGGGGGGAGCGATTCGTGGTGACCCACCCGACCAAATGTATGGGCAGTGGGTTCCTCCTGGGCGGCTCGGCGAGTCCCCCGACCCATTGCTTTACACTCTGATCTGCCACCCTAGGAGGACGATTTTAATGGAGGGTGTTGATTTGACATGCCTAGTCCCTCTATTTTACCCCACACCCGCCACGATGACTTATTCAAGTCCCTGCTTCTGGCTTAGTGAGGTAGGGTTGCATTCCCACGGGTGGCTATCCGAACGAACATCCACTATGGGGGTGGAACACCGTTTGGGAGGTGCCCGTAGCCCGTCAGACATCTGGGCCTTACGATTGGTCTCTCTTGTTTGAGGGAGCCCTCTGGCATTCCTCTGGAGACTGGTGGAGCCGATGATGGGCCAACCGGGTCATTCGCAGCGCATTCTTGACACTTCTTGGCCAGTTCTTGGGAATGTATGCAGAAAGTCCGAGGGCTGGGGACTGTCGCCAGGCCTTCAAATAGTCGCCTCGAGCTGTTTGTTTGCTTTGCTTTCTTTGCATACTCAGCAGTGTTTTCATCAGTTGTCAAACAGTCAAACAACGGTATTTTCGGTTTGCACTTTTGCTTCTTTGCATTTGCACCCTTTGCATTCGATCGTTCTTGCATCGCATACTACCCGGGCGATCTCCGCAGATCTCCGATTTCTCCGCCTCTCGCCAGCCCTAATCAAATCAGGACGTCCTTCCCGCTCAGCCGCGGTTCGTTCGATTTCTTTGGTTGCCAATCATCGTCTGTCCTGCTGCTCACCTGCCGTCGCCGCAAACGGAAATTCAAAGCAAGATGTTCGCTCAGCCATTCGATCACTCTTTCAATGATCTATTCAACCAATACGTCAATATGGATACTTCAGCCCCCGATTGCAAAGATCCCATGCTCTCGAGTCATTTTGACCAGCTCTTCCCGCTGGACTCTCTATCAAGTGATTGTGGCGATCTCTCCCCCACCGTCTCCACTTTGAAACGCCATCGTCAGTCGCCGCAACCTTGGACTCAAGACTGGTCCCTGCAGGACGACAGCTCGGCGGGTGATCAGTTCGTCTTTCAAGACACCGTTCACCCCTCTGCCATCTCAGAGTTGAGCTTGAACAACTTTGAAGCCTCGTCCCGTCCTGCTGTTCCTACCCGCATTCCTGCTGCTTCTCCCTCTACTCCTCCGGCTACTCCTCAGCGCAAGGCAAACAAGAGTGCTCTCGTTACCCCCAAGTCTATCCGCCATCGTGATCCGAATGAGCGTCGTGCGCTCCTGCGCAAGCAAAGTTTCTCCCCTAGCTTGATGCGATCTTCTATCCAAAAAGGAAGAATGGCGTATCCAGAGGCCTGGGCCCAGAGAATCCAAAACTTCACCCTGACTGGCTCTGATGATCGCCTTCCTTTGTCTCCCCCGCCTTCCGATGTTCTGATCCAACACGAGAACTTGTCTGGCGAGACCACCACAATGAATCACCCTCGAAACTCTGCAGAGATGGCTGCGCAATATGATGCCCGCCTCTTCCACCAATCTCCAGCGGTCTCTATGCCGTCTCCTTCGGCTAGCGCCCTTGCCCGTCATCAGCAACAGTATATAAATCACCATGGCTCCTCGGCTTTGACCAATTCGAGCCCTCCTTCTGCAGATGAAATCTTCTCTTCATCGCACTCCTCAGATCCCCACTCTCTCTCCTCATGGCAATCAGACTCCCTCGCCACCTCTCTCTCCTTCACTCCCGATCTCCAGAGCCACGACGCACAATGGTGGTCTCCCATGCCCTCTCGGGTCGCTCAACAACAGACCAACTACCAGACTATGGTCACATCACCCGCACCTCAACGCTCTTTGCAAACCGTTGCGGCTCCCAATGACATGATGCAAGGAGGACTGATGATCCAAATGGATCCCTCTTTTGACATGCCCGGTGAATCCTCCATGCTACCCATGAACAATCAGAAGTTCATGACTCCTTTCACCGCTCCCCAAGTACACAACATCTCCCGCTCCCCATCACTCTCCCCTACGGCTCGCTCTTCACCAAAGGATATTCGCAATGGTGTCAAGGGGAATCACAGCCGCAAGCACAGTCGCAAACTCTCGGGTCAAAGTATGACTGCACCCAAGCCTGCAAAGAGCTCCACCAGCCCCCGTGGAGCAAACAAGTCTGTCAGTGTATCATTTGTCAACTTCACCGCCCATGACAGCAAAAAGATCCTCACCGGTGTCGCTCCCTCTGGTAGCTCCAAGACGAAAGCTCGTCGGGAGCAGGAGGCTAAGGACCGACGCCGCAAATTGAGTGAGGCTGCCCTTCGTGCCGTTCGCAATGCCGGCGGTGACGTCGAGGCCTTGGAAGCGGTGTTGTGTTGAACTGCATATTTCTTTTCCTTTACATTTTTGATTGTTTTAAACCGCCTTGATATCTCTGTACGTTATAGCCGGTGTTTTTGTGGGATCTTTTGTATCATTGGGAATATATTTTTTTGAAGGTCCGGTTTGGTGTTCGGTTTATTTCTCACTGTGTTTTCAGCTTTGGTCTTTGGGTTACACCCCCAAATGTTAGATTAACTCTATATAATGTTTACACACATTCATTCGATGTCTAATATCAAAAGATTCTGAACTCCAAGTCCCCTCTGCTATTGTGTACATATTGTGATAAGTTCAGACTTGACATGCTAAATATTCTTCTAGTGCCAAACTTGCCCTAAACTTGACCGGACTCTTTTTTCCAGGGGCCTCGACTCGCCAGCTTGCCAACGGTGCATAGCAGTGCCCAGTACTGATACTTTTTCCCATATCAAATCAGTTGATCGTTAACTTTTCTCGAAATTTACCACCATCCTTCCTTCTTCTTCCTTTTATACCACACACACTATTACACACACATATATATACAAAGCTCACACATAAGTTTTTAGGCGTGGCTGTCTTGGGCCTTATCAAGGTATGTCAATCTCTACCAGTTGATCATCATCTTGTTATCTACGTCTCATATCCTATATACTGCGGTTTGTCAAATTACATCATCCAAATTACTTGGGACGTTTCCTATACCCCTGGTTCTCCCAATATCTGGTCAATACGGCCGGTCTCCGTAACCAAGTGCGGCTGCTATTGCCTCCGTGTGTGCTTTTATCCCTATGTCCACCAAGCCCTAACTACACAATTCCATCTCCCACATTTGCCCTAGCATCCCGGAACTTGCTCAATTGCTTCCGTTGCTATCCAATCCCTTCTGGCAACCACTTTTCCATGGTTATTTGCTACCATTGAATATCAACAACACGTTCTGGCTATATCATTATTTGCTTTGGTGCCTTGACAGCATTTCGTTTGCTGTTTGAGGGATGCTTCCGGGGCGAACTGGCTGACAATGATCTCAGACATGAATACTTTGACTTGACTCAAGTCCTCCTCTTTTCCTCTCTCTTTCATACATCTTCATCCCACTTACTTCCTTCCTTCGACTCTTCCACCCTAAGGATCTCACACTGGGGCATCAAGGTCCTAGACTTGTGACGGATCCTTACTCACTCAAAGCACCTTCCCTTTCCGTCTTCGCGACATTCATTTGTCTCCTTCCAGGTTCCACTTCCACATTTATCCGACAAACCCCCTTTCCCATCCTTCGTTACCTCAGACTAGTGCACTCACATCACAATGTCTGGCTCCTATCGTGGTTCTTCGGGTCGCGGTGGCTCGGGTCGCGGTGACTTGCCCTACCGAGGTGGTCGAGGCGATGGACCTCGCCAAGGTGGTCCTCAAGGTGGTAGTGGAGGTTACTCCGGCCCTCCTTCTGGGTCCGGGTAAGTAGTGCACAATCATTCGAATCCTTTTCTGATGAACATCTCTAACATATTTATACAGTAAAATGCTACAGGGCGATGCGAAAATCGAGGATAAGGTGCAACAATTCGAGGACAAATGGATTGCCGCTGCTAAGGCGCCATCCCGACCCAAGGCCGGCGAGATGGCTACACGTCCTGGCTATGGTACCAAGGGAAAACCCCTAGTTGTGCGCGCCAACTACTTCGATCTGGAACTGAAACCAACGATCAAGTTCCACTCGTACATTGCTAAAATCTCACCCGAGCCGAAGCCCAAGCGGCACTTGCTCCAGATCTGGGACCATGTCCTTGCAATTTCGAAGATTGCCCAAGCTGGTGCTGCATCAGACAGGGCCACTGAATTGGTGACTTTGAATGACCTTGGAGACGTGCCTACCCTAACAGTCAATATCCCTGACGGTGATCGTGATCAGAAGGTTTACACGGTCAAACTGACTGCAAACGCCGTGATCGACCACCAAGCAATTATCACCCGCCTCCGCAATCTAAATGAGCGGGGCGCCATTCCCGATGAGGCTGTTATGGTGCGGCTCTTGAACATCCTTATGGCTGCCCATCCCGGTAAAGATGATGGTATCACTACGCTTGGCAAGGGTGGTAACAACAAGTTTTACTGGATTGACCACCGGAAACAGTTTCAAAGTCTCCCGGGTGGTCTGGAGTGCCTGCGTGGTTACTATGCTAGCGTGCGTCTTGCTGCCGGCCGTGTCCTCCTCAACTTGAGTGTCAACCACAGCGCGTTCTACCGTGCTGGTCCATTGGTAGAGCTGTGGGACGCGTTTGTGGCCATCTATGGTGCCGATTGTCCGCTCTTCGGTAGATACGTCAAGACCCTTAGAGTTCAGTGCACTCACCTCAAGGACGACCTCGACAAGAAGGGAAAGGTCCCTCGTGTCAAGACCATCTGGGGTGTTGCGGAAAAGGATGATGGACGGGACGAAGTTCTGAAGCCCGAGGTTCCCGAAACCGGGGCCGACGCTTACAACGTCAAGTTCTACTTGGATAAGAGAAAAATAAGCGTCGCCCAGTACTTCAAGGAGAGTAAGTCTACTGCCTTCAAACCGCTTCCTCTGAAATATGACTATGCTAACAAGGCTCGGTAGAGTACAACCTGACTTTGAAACACGGCGACAAGCCAGTGTTGAACGTCGGCAACAAAGGTAAACCTGTCTATCTCCCCATGGATGTCTTGGTTATCCCCGAAGGTCGAGTCTTCCGCGGCGAATTGAGTACTACTCAGCGCCAGGGTATCATCGGGTTCAGTTGCCGAGCACCCTCACAGAATTACGACTCGATCATCGATCACGGCCTGGAGATCGTTGGAGCCAAGGGTGACCACACAAAGCAGTACGGAATCAGGGTCTTGCCGAACATGCTTGCTGTGCCTGCTCGAATTCTAAGTCCTCCTACCTTGAAATACTCAGGTAGCAAGCAGGCACCTGCGGATGGCCAATGGAATCTGCGGGGGAAGATCTTTACCACCGGTGCCAGAGTGGATCTTTGGGCTGGTGTCGTGATGTCGACTGGTCCTCCTCCTCGCGGTGATGCTCTGGTAGATTTCCGGAAATTCGAAAACATGATGAACCAGTGCGGCATGAAGGTCAATGGCCTCATTCAGAACGTTTTCCACATCCGGCTTGACATGAGAAACCAAAGGGACAATCTCGCCAAGGTCGATGATATGTTCGCCAAGTTGAAGCAAAAAAGGGTCGACCTTGCTGTCATTGTCATGCCCCTGGGGATGGAGCGGGTCTTTGACCATATCAAGTGGCGTGGAGATACCATGGAGGGTGTTGTGACTCACTGCTTCAATACTAAGAAGTTCTTTGTGGACAAGGACAATTCTCAGTACTGGGCCAACAATGCCATGAAGGTCAATCTTCGCTTGGGAGGTGTTAATCAGGTCCTCGACATGCCTGCGTCATCTCCACTAATTGCGGCAGGGAAGACTATGGTTGTCGGTCTTGACGTGACCCACCCTTCTCCTACTGATCCCGATACGTTCCCCAGCATTGCTTCCATCGTCGCTAGCACCAATGCGACCATGGGTCAGTGGCCCGGCCAAGTGAAGATCCAGCAGCGCCGCATGGAGAATGTTGTTGACTTGGCTGAGCTGTTGAAGACCCGTCTTCACCGTTGGAAGAAAGAGAACAAAAATGCATTGCCTGAGAACATATTGATCTTCCGTGATGGTGTCAGCGAAGGACAGTACGACATGGTTCTGACGGATGAGCTGGTCAAAGTCAAGAAAGGTTGCCAGGCACTCTATCCTTCTGAAAAACAACCTAACATCACGATCTTGGTTGGTGGAAAGCGTCACAATACACGATTCTTCCCGACCAAGATCGCCGATATGGATAGAAAAGCGAACTGCCGTAACGGCCTTGTGGTTGATCGAGTCATCACCCGCCCTCACCTTTGGGATTTCTACCTCCAGGCGCAGGCGCCGTTGCAGGGCTCGGCTCGATCAGCTCACTATGTCGTTATTTGGGACGAGATCTTTGTCAACCCCGGCATGCGCTCTGTAATTGGCAATAACCCTACGGATGCCATTCAAGAGCTGACCCACATCATCTGTTACATGATGGGTCGCTGCACTCGTTCGATTAGCTACAGCACTCCTGCTTTCCTGGCCGATCGGTTCGCTGATCGTGCTCGCAAGTATGTCCGTGCCTACTACTTCGAGCACCAGGCTGTCCGTGGAAATTTCCGCCCGGCTGCTCCTCAGGATTCAGTCACTCGTTTGGCGCCCGACCTCTCGGAAACTATGGTCTACATCTAAAGCATGCATTGCCAAGCTTTTATCTTCTCTTTGCGCTTGATCATCAGTTTACCTTGCATCAGCTTATCTTGACGAAGCTCAAGTTGCACCATGGATATTGGAATTTCGGGACTCAAGCATATGCTCCTTGATTGGCTTTACCACTGGGGAAACGCCAAAAAAGCGGATATGATCTGGGAAGAGGGATTTGCTTCGAACGTGGAAAAAACACAAACCTCAAAACATACGGAAAAGGTGGAAAACTTACAAAAAAAGCGGATGGTGCTGATTCTTGTGTTTGATTGCATGTTTTGCTGATTTCAGGTTTTCAGATTGATGTCTTGATGCGTTGATAAAACTACAAAATACAAAAAAAAAGGCCTTCGGGCCCCCCAAATCCTGTGCAGTTCCACTTTGTAGGCAATGGTAGATCAGGATTTTTGAACTGTATCCATCAAGAGTACTGGTGATTCGAAACCGAAGAGTTTATTTGGGGGATAAATCTTGTGTATAAGATATGTAGAAAGTTCAATTATTTTACAATGGCCCGACTATCGACCTTTGAAATCTTACATAGTCCAAGAGAGGGAGTGTGTGACTTGAGGAGTGATCATGACGCTGCAGCGCGATGGCAGACACTCATCCACAGTAGTTCAACTGGCTGCCTCATACCCTCAGTATTCATCACCAATGCGACCAACCCGTCATCCATGATAGGATCATAACGACGGCTTTCACTGGCAGTATTTTGATAATAGAAGCCCCTCATTTGCAAAGGTTCAATGACTGCGCGTGGCTTGCAGCCAGTCTTCTTAAAGAACCCCCATAAATGATTTATTTCTGTAAAGGCATCCAGTTTCGAAAATGATGACCACGTCAATTCTCCGGGAATCCTCTTCGAATCACTGCGAATGGACCCAGAGAGTATGCCGGAATTGTCGTCATATGTCGTTACCCAAAAGCCTCACTCAAGAACAATCCTTTTCACCCATATAGGTGCTGGATCCTGTTTCCGAGTCATAGTTCACCGCTTCGATGAAGGAGTCCATGACTCGGGCTGCCAAGTATCTCCTGGATTGCCGGGGTTCGCCTTTGCCCACGGATCTTCTTTCGCGGGCTTTGGTTTGGCAGATGCAGGTTTGGGGGTAGGGGTCGAGGAAGCGGTTGCCGACGCTTCTTGAAGAGACTCGGCGGTCTGATTCACTGAGGTTTCACTGGATTCCGTGGGTGGCGGTGGTTGTTGGGTTTTTGGTTTGTCAAGGAAGGACGGCTTGCTGGCCCAGCGTTCATCTGCAAGTCGAGCGAGTTGCTTGATCTGCGCCTGGCGAACCAAGTCCTGTTGCTGTTCTTCAAGACTCGGCGGATGTTCTCGAACGTATCGTAGCCATTGATGCCATTGTGCTATCGAGTCAAAAAGCAGTCAGCGATATCTCTTGTGGCAGAGGTTTGGAGGTTTGGAGCTAGAGGCGTGATCGTGGCAAACCACGGACCTCCCGGGATGCGACAGAACTCACGTGTGACTTGGACATCTCCATAATGTGTTTTGGGATCAAACTTCACAATACGGCGGTATCTACTGGCATTCACAACGTCCTTGAACTCCCAGAAAGTATTTCCGGCGAGGTCGTGACCTAGAAGGGGAATGGTCAGCAAGATCGGCGACTTTCCATGAGCAATGCGCATCCAGTAGGAAGACAAGGAAGCGAATGAAAGCGACTCACCGACCAGAAAGGATCGCCGCCAAGGTAGCCGAAGGCTCTTCCACTTGAACCAGAGACTGTTCACCATTGTGTTGTTGCGATGCGGCGCTAGGTAAGGAGGAGGCGGCGTGGAGAAAATGTGGACTGCGGGTAAAAAGAAGCAGAGCGTCAGGAACGTCATCGGCGGAGCCGAAATAAACAGCCCCGAGCATTCCATTCCACTTACTTCCCCTTAACTCTCTCTTTCTCTTCCCTCCGAGCCATTTTTTTTTCCCGGAGTTCTTTTGTGACTTGGACTTTTGAATTGACTTTTGAATTCTTCCGCACCTGAACTTCTTGAACTACTTCCCCCTTTACTCTCCTCTGCTACCCAACCCCAACTCCCCACCCTTGGGGTCGATTAGGCACATTCGCGCATAGGGATACAGAGTCAGACCAGAACGACAACTTGTCTCCTCACTACAACACAACGGTATCTGGTCGCAGACCGATGACTCAAATTTCATCATGGCTTCTGTGACTTCCTTAGACAAGGATCTACGCAATTTGCGACTATCCCGCTATACCCCGCAGGCAGCCGCGGAGGTACGGGACTGGATCGAGGAGGCACTACGGGAGAAACTGCCATCCAGCGACCTGCTGGAAGGGTTGAAGGATGGCGTGGCCCTTTGCAAGTGAGTGTGAATTGTCGAATTTTCCACCCTATTGTACGGATCTCCAGAAGTGGAACCTTGACTGACGCCCCTTTCCTCCCAAGGCTAGTCAATCTGGCTGTGTCACCAGGCGTGAAGTATAAGCAGTCAGGAATGCCATTCGTACAGATGGAGAACATCTCACATTTCCTGCGCGCATGCCAAATGGCCCCTTTGAACCTCCCTCCCCATGACGTCTTCCTCACAGTCGATCTCTACGAATCCAAGGATCCCGCTCAAGTCCTTCAGTGTTTAGCGGCATTTAGCCGCCGAGCGAATGCCCTCGCGCCTAGCAAGTTTCCCCGGACAGTCGGTCCCCAAAGCAAGCGTGGCGTGATCAGTCCGAATGCTACCGGCTCGTCAGGCACTGGCTCGTATACCCGAAATGGCCGGGCTTCGAGTAATGCTAGCGATTCATATAGCTCCTGGAGTAAGAAAGGCGACGAGGGGGCGACTTCGCCGGCTTGGAACATTCATCAATACGGCTACATGGGTGGCGCCAGCCAGGGCAATCAAGGTATTGCGTTCGGTGCTCGGCGACAGATCACCACACCCAGACCAGCTGTGCCGAGCCTAGCGGAGAAGGAGAAGCGCAGACGGGAGGAGGAAGAGAGAATTCGCCAGGAAAATGCGGACAGAGAGGAAGCCGAACGGATTCACTACCAACAGCAGGAGGAAGAAGAGGCCCGAGCCAAGGCCGAGGAACAACAACGATGGGAAGAAGAGACAGCTCGTTTGAGGGAAAAGGAACGCCAGCAGATGGAAATGGAGAAACAGCGTTGGGATGAGGAAAAGCGCCAGTGGGAGGAAGAGGAGCAACGCCGTGTTGCAGAAGAACAGGCAACCGAGGAGCGTCTCGAGCAAGAGCGACAGCGCCGCCGGGGCGCCAACGATGCTCGTCTCAATGGCCAGTTCCTCAGTCAATATCAGGCTGTTCAACCTCGCAGCGTCAGTGGCGGCAGCGCAGCTGGGGTGCCCGATGAGACCCCCGAAAGCCGCCGTATCAAAGAGCTTGAGCGCGAATTAGCACTCGCCAAAGAGCGCGAGCAGCAATACCAGAGCGAGAGGCAAAGCGTTCAGCCTCAAAGCGGTAATGAGCCTCGGCCTCCCAGCCAGAGCCGCCAACGCCCGGCTCCCGTGCCTCCTAAGCCAAGCTATGATCTCTCTTCGCTGGAACAGGAACGGCGCATGCTTCGTGGAGAATGGCAGAAGCACCAGGAAATGCCAGCAGCTTCTGAAGAATTCGAGACAGCAGAGGATGAACAGGCGCCCCCTCCACCACCTCGTCCACTTCCCGAGCCTGTTGCATCGCCCAAGCCAGCACTTCCTGCCCGCGACCTTCCTGCAGCTCCACGCCCTTTGCCAGATCCGGCAGCATATTCGGCCAATCGTGGTCGTGAGAATCGAGTCGACCGTTTCCTTTCGTCGAACCCGGCACCACAAGCTCCCGCCCCATCCACTCACCGGCCACGGGACTACAGCACCACTTCTGAAGTTGACGCAGAAAACCAACGTCGCATTGAGTCTCAAGAGAAGACTCGTGCTGGTGGATGGGCCTCCAAGTCACTTCTGGAGCGTGAGATGGAGCGCGAACGTGAGCGCCAGCGCGAGTGGGAAGAGAACCAGAAGCAGACTGAAGCTGCCGCGCGTGATCCTCACATGGGCTCTGGCCCCGGCCAAAGCTGGGATGTCCACCAATATGGCTACATGGGCGGTGATAACCAGAATCGTGGCGGCACGGGCTTAGGGATTGGAGGTGCCAGGCGACAAATTATTGGACCTCGACCTCCCCCATAAGCAGCTTCCCATGTCTTGTTTCCTCTCTTTAACCTAGGAAACTATTCTCTTTCTACACCTTTGCTTCGTTTATTTTCTTCTTATTTCTACCTCATATCGCCCAGCTGGTAGCTTTTTCTCCCTTATTTTATTTTGCGTCGGCGACTGGGTGGATTGGTGGATTTTCTTTCTTGTGGTGTGACGAGCACCTTCAGTTTTTGCTTATTTCCCAGTTGTTTGCTGTTAGTGGCTATGGAAGCAATTCTACCTGTAGATAGCATAAAGTATACTTGAACATTGATTATTCCAAACCCACACTTTTCATGCAAGATTGTTCATTTAAATTGGACACTAAACATCGTCAAGAGGCCTAAGAAAAACTAGGACATTACTTACTGAACGGGAAATCCAGTCTCAGACAGATCAATCATCTCGAGCAAATAAAGCTAGTATCTCCTGCTTTTCATGAGCTGCAGCGATATCCAAGGCCGTCTGTCCACTTCTATTCTCCTCCCAAGGACTCAATCCCAACTCCACAAGGGCCGAGAATATCCCTTCACACACATCTGCATCACATGGCCACTCCTCTCTTCGTGCGATAACATGCAACAGCGAGTCTCCAGTGTAGTTGATTTTATGAAAATCGTGTTCCGAGAACATCTTCTTATAGTCTTCAGGGTTTGACAGACGTGGCGGAGGCACATTCGAGCGTATATCAGACTTGGGGCCGCTTGCATAAAAGAATATCGGCGTGTTGCCCTCGTTGTCTCTGGCCTCGCGATCACACCCTGCATCGAGGAACCGCTGATAAAGCTGAGATGCGGTGGCAAAAAGGTCCTCGCCGTTGTCTTGTTCAAGTTGCTGCTGCCGGTCGACGTTGCTGTAGTTCATGAGCATTCCGGCGATGCAGTGGAGGGCTGTTCGTCCGTCTGGGAGAGTGCTCAATGGATCTGCACCTTGATCCAGGAGGAAATTAATCGTTGTGCAGAGTTCCTTTCTATAATGAGATTTTGGGGTTGAATAGCTCTTTAGAGCAGTTGTCAGAGGAGTGAATCCTTCGTTGCTGCGTGCAGATAGAGAAAGTGATTTGTTCAGAAGCGCTCGAACGACCTCGAGGTTTCCCCAACTTGCAGCATAGTGCAGCGCAGAAGACCCAGTATGGTCGACGGCATGAACATTGGCACCGGCTTCGATCAAATCGATTGCTGCTAGGCGAAAGTTCCGCCGCCAGACAGTGTTGGTGGCTCTGATGAGAGGAGTGCATCCTGAGCCATCAGTGACGTCGAGATCTACACTCGACTCCAAAATGAGTTGAATGGGATGATTTCCACAACACAGTTCATGAAAAACAGTGGATGAGCCATCTTCTGTCGGATGGAGAGGATCTGCGCCATACTGAAGGAGCAAGCGCATCGCGGGCTCGGCCGTTTCCCACCGTCTTGCGGCGTTAATGAGGGGAAATTGATCGCCATGACCATTCGGGTTCGCTCCAGCTTGTAACAGTACCTCAAGAACTTCGTGACTTTCGAGACCGATGGCGGTATCTACCAAACTATAGCGATCGATATTAACTTCGGCACCATGGTTGATGAGTCGCTGGATAGTCTCCACATCACATCTGCCCTGAATGGCGGCGGCCAAAGGTGTCCACCATCCTTTCTCTGGAACGCCATTAGGGTCTGCGCCGTGCTTCAGAAGGATATCGATTGTCTCATTTCCCCATTTGTAGCAACGGTTCTTCTCGCTTCCTTCTCCTCGATAGGGTGACAGGGAGATAAGCAGTGGATTGAGCCCACCCGGCAGGGAAACATTGGGATCGGCACCAGCTTCCAGAAGAAGAGACAGAGCACGAGGATGCCACCACCGCATTCCAGCTGAGAATTCGCCCAGTAATGTACCTAGCGAATTTGTATCGTCCTTAGGCAGGTGTTTGATAAGGAGGGTGAGCATCGCGAGGTTACTATGAGACCGCTTCGCCGCGAATTTCAAAAGGGAAGGTACCAACCCTCCCAGATCCTCCGTGTAGGGGAGCAATTTCTCCATCATGGACGTGAAGCCCCAGCGAGCAAGAAGGCACAAAGGAGATTCCTCTTCGTTGTTCAACTTCATCGGCTGGTTGCGAACAAAAGCCTCCGCCAAACGCTCGTTGCCCGTTGAGAAAACCCGTTCGAAGAATAGTGTGCGATCCTCGGGGATTTGAGTTGACTCGAGAAGCTCTCGCACTCTAGACTCGGTGACTGTCAATATTGACTCGCCAATGGGATCCAAAGACTGCAATTTGGTATCCTCCATAGATAGTTTCAATTCATCCACAACTGGTGAACAGCCAAGCATCACCGCCACATCCAAGGGTCGATGGCCATTCGTATCGACTTGATCAGGGCTTGCATTAGCAGCTAGAAGCAATTGAATGACCTCTTGAATGCATCTAGCATCATACTCGTCTGATACAATAAGTTCCATACGCGAGAAAGCATCTCTTGGTTTGCTTGCGGAAAATCCCATGCGAGATTTAGGAGTTGTTGGCTCATCAACGGTAGACTCGGTCTGAGTCTGCATTCTCCTGGCATGTGTTCTGACTTCAAATTCAGCGGCAGCATGCAATGGTGTCCGGCCCAGCCGATCGGCTAGGAAAGCATTTGCGCCGGCCTGGAGGAGAAGTCGAACAGCCTCTGAGTTGCCCGATCGGGCAGCTTGGTGCAAAGCAGATCTTCTCTCAGTGCATTGCTGATCAATGTCAATTGACCGCTGACGATAAATCTCCGTCAGTAGACCAACAACGTTGCTTTCTCCTGCCATGGCAGCGAAATGAAGGGGACTGCGACCGAGGCGGTCTTTGGCCTGCACTTCAGCACCATTCTCGATCAAAATCAGAGAATTTGTGTCGGACACGGCAGACGCGACATGCAACGGAGTGACTCCGTCATTGTCTCTGGCATTCACGTCGAAAGGCATATTTGGCCGAAGAAGGAATTCTAACCGGGTCATGACCTTCGCCGAATTATTGTATCCATGATCATTTCCTATAGCTGCTGCAACATGCAAAGCGGCTCTGCCTTGGGAGTTAGCTTGTTGATAAGGTACACCCATCTCGATTGCCTGGAGGGCGCGCTTCTCCATCCGAGGCCAACTATCATACAAGTTGGTCGGTTGATGGCCGATCATGTCGTGGAAAGTGGTGTTTCCCTCGTGGTCAATTGCCTGTAAATTTGCGCCTGCTTCGATCAGGCAGCGGATTATGTTGACGGATTCATCTTTTGAGGCGTGATTCTTCTGGAATGGCTTGAAAGCATAATGTAGAGCTATAACTTGTTAGCAAACTCGCAGGATCCCACGAATAGGGCGATTGGCAAGACTTACCGGACTTTCCTCGATAATCTACTGCTTGAGCATTTGCGCCGAGCTTGAGCAGCTCTTCGATAAATTGCAAGGAAGTTCCTTTGGTGTCCACCAGTGCAATCAACAATGCCGTACGTCCAAGCCTGTCCTTGCTTTCCAGTGAGACACCACGTTTGACCATTTCAAACAATGGCTGGAGCTCCTTTTTCTTCATGTCGACATACCCACCTTGCCGATACATGAACTCGTGCAATGGCACTCTTCCGAGACTATTTTGTATTTGTAAATTCGAGAAAGATAACCAGGTCTCAAGGTAGCAGTCCTTTCCAGCTGGATTCCTTCTAAAATAGTGGTGGAATGCCGTATTTCCTTCCCAATCCTGAAGGTCAAAATCCGCTTTCAATTCGTGAAATACGGCTGGGTCGGTATGGTTCTGCATCAGGGCAGTGCACATCAAGGCTGTCAAACCATCTTTCTTTCGCTGGGCATTGATATCGACCCCAGCATTGATGAGCAGTCGGAGTGCTTTTTCAAAAGGCCTCGCGTTTAGACTGTGGAGAGGGGTTTGCCCCTCGTCATCGACCACAGTCGCATCGGCACCACGGTCAAGAAGAGCGGCAACAAATTCGCCAGCAGACAGGTCTGCCCAGTGCAGATGAGGCCATCCAAAGAGAGTAGTGCGTCCCCTATAGTCCTTGGCATTGATATCGCAACCTGCCTGAAGTAATAAATCCAAGGCGGGAATCATGTCCTGGCCTTCGAGAAATTCATATTCATCTCGTGGAAACCCGATACACCAACCATGTAAAGGTGTATAGCTTGGAGAAGCTTCAAAGTTGAGGCGAGGGTCCATGCCCGCTGGTGGCTCTGGAGGGCTATTGCGGTTCAGAGATCGAACTGCAACATCAGCACCATGGTCTAGCAAAACTCGGATCGTCGAAGCACTGCGTATGCAGGCTGCCAGATACAGTGGTGTGTTACCATCCGAGTCACGATCATTAATAGTCAATCGGACATGCTCATTTTCCAGCAAAGCTGCAACAGTTTCAGCTTTACCTGCCCTGGCAGCCAAGTGAAGATTGCCTGCACAAAGATTCACGGGGCTAATGTGCTTCATCAGCTCACGGACTGCTTCAACATGTCCGTTTTGACAGGCACACCCAAGAGCCGAGATTTGAAACCGCACACCATAGACCAAGGTCTTCTCAATAATTTCACAGTAGGTAGTTCGTGATGTTCCTAAGTCATTCTCTTTCGCCATTGGATCCACGCCTCCATTGATCAGGGCGCGTACGACCGGAGTATGGTTCAGCTTGCACGCATAGTAAAGTAAGGAGTGCTTCCTAGAGGCATATCTGCCCGTAACGACCTTGTCATGACTAGCGTTGTTTCGCAACAAAATGCTTACAACCTTGTCGTGGTTCTTCATCACAGCATACATCAAGGGCGTGCGACCGTCATCATCCTTTGAACCCGGGTCTGCCCCTTGAGACAGAAGGTACTGAGCCAAGCTGGAGAGCCCAGTATAGGCAGCAACATGGAGAGCCGAGCAGCGCTGAGGTACGTCTTCCCCTTGACCGGCACGCCAAAGGTCATTCCACGCTTCGTAGTCGTGGTTTCCGTCTCGACAAAATTCACCAAGTCTTTCCAGGAGTTCCAGATCATCTCCTGCTTTGGCCACATGCAGTGGCCATTCCAGAGTAGCATATCGAAGAAAGTAAAATTGCAAGTAGAGCGATTGGCGCTCTTTTGGCTCGTAAACTCGATACTTGGTGAGCTTCCACTGCTGGAAGCAGCCACTGGTGAGGTAGTCCATGCACGTGTGTGCAATTTTCCTGTGGACAGCTTGAGAATCAATTATTGCAAATTCCCGGTTTTGATGGTTCATTGCAATGTGCTCGACGTCTCGATTGAGAATAAACTCTGTGAGTGAGTGGTGGATAATCTGAACGACTCCATCCTCGCAAATTTCGAGAAGTGGCCCACAAGAAGTCTTGATTGCAAGTTTCACGTCCGAGCCAAAATAGATGCGTTCCGGCGAGGCTTCAATCATGGCTGCAAGCTCTAAAAGGCGAAGTGGCCTTGCTGAATGAGTAATCCATTCCAGGATCAGCCTCTGCAAGTCGCTAGATATTCCGGAGCTCGCAGCATTCTCGCGAAGGATATCGCTATACATATCACCTAATCCGTGAGGAAGGTTGTGCACACGCGATTGGAGGTCCTCTGGATTTCGCAGCAGTTCATCGAGCATGAGCCTTGCATACAAAAAGAGACCGTTTCCTCTTTCACAGATCGCAGTCATTATCATCTCGGTGTCCCCCGGTGGAAGGTTCAACTGCGAATTTTCTAAGCGCTTCGAGACATATATCGAGATGTCACGATCTACTCGTCGACGATCTAGACGCAGATCAACGAGATGGGTTTTGAACATGTGCTTCTCCACATGAGGAACCTGCCGACTTGTGACGATGGTCTTGATCGATTGAGGGAACTGGCGCCCTAAGTTGAGGAAATTCTCAAGCCATTGGTCATGCCCAAGTTCCATCTCATCCAGTGCATCAACCACGCAGTAAATCTTCTCCATCGCCCGCACAGCTGTTGACAATGCCTCCCATATTTTGTCAAATGGAAGCTCATCTGGGAAGTCTTTTCGCAATTTCTTCAAATTCGCTTGTATTAACGGGGAGTGATCAATCAGTTTGTGGCAAAAGTCCTGCACTAGCGACTGTGGAGATCGATTGGTTTGAATGATTTCTCTGAAGAAGAAGAACAAGACAGGCACTGAAGGAGTGTCAAGGCGTTGAAGACGACTTATTAAGCTAGCAGCAACGACAGACTTGCCGCAGCCAGGAATTCCCCTGATCCAAAGATTACCGACCGTGTCTGACTGGCTCCAATCGCGGTACTGTTGAGTCTCGAAAATCCATTCGCCCGTTCCCGCGGCGTGAGAGTGGAGATGTTTTCTGTATTCACTGGCAGGAGAATCTGAGTCCGTTGGATTCAACCAAACTTTTAATTTGTTCAGAGCTGGGTCTTGCGCATCTATCACATGGTTAGTTTCATTTGCGTGTCATTTTGGGTTTCATAGTAAGCTTACCCTTGCGGTCGACCAAGACAAAGCCTTGAGCGTGTTCACTGGATTCGCTCTCTGACATGGCGAACAGAAGCAGTGGAAGACTCACTCGGTGGTTGACAGATTTGTGAGAGACCCCCCTCGAGGGTATTTATCGTGGAAGTAACTCCACTCAAACTTGCGGGGGCTCCATACCAAATGGGGAAAGAGCGTAATTTATAACTAAGCACGGTTTACGCATCGATTTTACAGTGCCATTTTAAGAAATTTCAATTGATCAGTGAGTCAGAGAAGATGATTCATAGATTCTAAATTAAAGAGATTGTATTGTTGGTTCTAAATTAGGTAGCGCCTAGATGAATGCAGTTAGCTATCGTGGGCCTAATAGAACGCAGGCAATCAGGAAGAATATGAGAAAGAAGGTAGACATCATGAGATATCTGTCTTCCCTATTATAACAGGATTCGCAAAGTGGAGGCAAAGATAGTGCCTCATATTTCAATTTTTCATTCTCAGCCTCGTGTGAACATTGCAGCGGCCTAATCAGCCATTCAGGCATGTCGGGCTCAGCCTCACGAGCGGTGGGACCATCACTCACACCACGCGTCGTTTAATACAGTCACGTATGATCTACCTTGAAGCAGCTGTACTGAGATGACAACTCTGATCGATACGAATGACCTAACTCCTCAGATACAGCTCATGAGTTAGATACATCCCAAATCCCAATCGCGAATTTGGCTGTGTCGTGGGACAATTTTGTGAATGTAATATTGGGACCTGTGATTTACTATATCGGGTTAGTTTTGCCGTTCCCGGCCTAGCGCCCTAATACACCATCACTGGTGACGCCCGCTGTCGCACGCTGTGGCCCTGAAACGAAATGAAAAAGGTGAGGTAGATTTTAGAAATGTTACGAAAGTTAAACGTTCGGCTTAGCTATCGCACTTCTTAGATAGATATGGGCGTAAGCTAAGTTGCGTTGTTTATATAGCGTGAGATGTGATTGTAGGGGCTGGTGCAGAATGTACTCCGTACCTTCAAACACAAGGTTCACATGCATCGGGATGATGTATGTCCGCCCGTTACTTTGGTCTATTAAAGTAAGTACATATCGACTGATAATATACGACAATGTTCCCGCTAACATCGGATCTGATTAATGAGGAGCTACGATGTACGGTGTCCACGGGAAGCTAGGAATCAGACAGGTATTTCATTATTCCGTGTGACTAAGCTTAGAGGGATAACGTAATTCCCAGCTACCCTGGCCACCCGGTTACCCTGGCCACCCCGAAACACCATACTAAATGCCCTTTTTCGCGACCTATATATTTCAACACTCAACACTGATTATCATAGTCATAGGATACCTTGTTGCTTAATATGTCATATTATATATTTACATCAGGTCGAATAACATTTCAAGCCATAACATTATAGGTGTACATATCCACGTCGCTCGATCGGGGCGTAATTTTGGTAATAGCGGTATTTAATTATTTCCTGAATAGATTAATTATGCTACAATGTTCCAAATACTATAAAATGTTATCATGCTTAAAGTTAAGTAGAATTATCTTCTCGTTGTTGACATATTGTGACATGAAATATTGCATTTTGTATGGTGTTTCGGGGTGGCCAGGGTAACCGGGTGGCCAGGGTAGCTGGGAATTACGTTAACTAAACACAAGTAACTAACTATGTATCATTTTCGACGCTATGGTTTTCTCGTAATTGTATAAGACACTTCATCATAATTCTATTAGTAATCCTCCGTAATAACGTATTTCCTGGCCGATCGGGCCACCCGGCCGATCGGGCCACCCCATCTAAAATCGCGTATTTCTAGCTACCTACCAACTTCAACCACCTACCATGCCACCAATTCGACCTAGATCTCGGCAGAAATTAGCCAGCCAAGAGGGCAAGATCCTATTAGCCCTATCTGATTTGCAAGAAGGCCGTGTTAGTTCTATTCGCGCGGCAGCTAAGCTATACGATATACCTCGCACTACACTCCAACACCGCGCCAGCGGCCAGGCCTCACGCGTTGATACGCGCCCATCTGGTCATAAATTGACCCAATTAGAAGAGGATTCGCTTTGCCAATGGATTATCTCTATGGATTCACGTGGAGCAGCGCCTAGGCAAGCTACTGTACGAGAGATGGCTGATATCCTACTAGCTGCACGCGGTAGCCACCCTCCGCCTACTGTCAGCAAGAACTGGCCAACAACCTTTATCAAACGGCGCGAAGAGCTTCGCTCGCGATACTCGAGGAAATACGACTACAAACGCGCATTAAATGAAGACCCGAAAGCCCTACGAGCCTGGTTCGCGACCGTACAACGTATAATTGATGAGAACGGGATCCAACCAGAGGATATATACAACTTTGATGAGACAGGATTTGCAATGGGCCTTGTTTCTACGCAGAAGGTTGTTACGCGGGCAGAAATCTGCGGTCGGCCACGTCTTTTACAATCAGGAAATCGCGAATGTGTTACTACGATTGAGGCAATTAGCGCTGATGGCTATTCGCTTCCGCTATGCGTGATTTTTAAAGCTAAGGTTGCCATCGCTGGTTGGTTTAATAACCTACCAAAAGATTGGCGAATCGAGGTCTCTGCGAATGGCTGGACTACCGATGAGATTGGCCTACGTTTGCTACAAAAGCTCTTTATCCCATCAACGAATTCGCGTGTACGCGGCCGATTTCGGCTGCTAATCCTTGATGGTTATGGTAGCCATCTTACACCTCAATTCGACCGAATCTGCGCAGAAAACGACATTATACCTCTTTGTATGCCTCCGCATGCGTCGCATTTATTACAGCCATTAGATGTTGGCTATTTTGCAGTGGTTAAAAGGGCATACGGTCGCTTCGTAAGCGATCTTATCCGTCAAGGATATAACCATATCGATAAAATCGATTTCTTAATGGACTACCAACACGCGCGGCTAGAGGCCTTCCAAAAGCCATCAACTATTCAAAATAGCTTCGCAGCTGCTGGTTTAGTGCCAATTAATACAGAAAGGGTCCTTTCAAAGCTGAATATCTCTCTGCGAACGCCAACACCACCAGGTAGCCGGCCAAGCACCAGTTCTAGCCAATTCACACCAAAGACGCCTAGAACTATCGTTCAGCTCAATAAGCAATCTTCAATGCTTAAGGATCTACTAAATCAGCGGTCAAATAGCCCTCCTAGCCCAGTAGGGGCTATATTAAATCGGATTATCAAGGGCCACAGCGAAGCGCTTCATCAAACTGCATTACTAGCGCAGGAGGTCTCCAATCTACGCATGGCGAATACGAGGATCGTCAAGAAACGCCAGCGATCAACTAGGCAGATACCCTGCGAAGAGGGCCTATCTATTGAAGAAGGCCTACAGCTAGTTGAGCAGCTAAATCAGCCAGTGGAAGGTGATAGGGTAGGATCGCATGAGCAGGGCGAATTACCTAATCAGGCAATTCAACCACCTACTAGGGCCCCGCCTAGGTGCAGTAGGTGTAGGGAGATTGGCCACAAGATTAATGTATGTAAAAATCGCTATATTTAGTTGAATTAATGGGTGTTAGTAGAGATATCTGATTTTGAAATTTTCTAATAGGGGTGGGTGGCCCGATCGGCCGGGTGGCCCGATCGGCCAGGAAATACGTTAAGGATTTTCCATGGTAGGTAATGTTAACAAGTCAAATAACTAAACAAACTTACTAGCGCTCAGACTCCAACCCTCTTTGATCTTCACCTCAATCCCAGCCTTTCTAAGTCGATAATTCTGACAGACCAAGAGCTCCTAAAGACCCTACTCTGCGCAAACAATCCGGAAGATCTTTTTGGGATCTATAATTCCTAGATTCGATTCTTTCCCGATCATGATTAAGCGCCTTCAAGGCCCTAAGACAGAACGAGAAATGCCTCTTCTTCGCTTTCCTGATGAATTGCTCCTCGTCGTTGCAGACTTTCTAGAGGTCGAAGGAGACATTAACTCAATGGCGAAAACCAATCAGCGGTTTTACTCTCTTCTGAATTCGTACCTATATCGACGGAATTCACTTGAATATGGAAGTTCGGCGCTGTTGTGGGCAGCTCAACAAGGCAGCGACGCAACGGCCCGAAGATGCGTTTCACAAGGAGCGGATGTTATGGCGATTGATAGCGTCGGCCGAACACCGTTAACCTGGGCTGCGCGGAACGGCCACGAGGGGGTAGTGAAGCTGTTGCTGGCAACTGGGCGGGTGGATGTTGACTCAAAGAATAATAACGGTGGAGAGACACCGCTGTGCTGGGCTGCACGGAGCGGCCACGAGGGGGTGGTGAAGCTGTTGCTGGCGACTGGGCGGGCGGATGTCAACTCAAAGACCAGCTTCTCGCAGTATACACCGCTGTCTCTAGCTGCCCAGAGGGGCCACGAGGGGGTAGTGAAGATATTACTAGCGACTAGGCTGGTGGATGTGGACTCAAAGGATAACAATGGAGTGACACCGCTAGCCATAGCTGCGTGGAACGGCCACGGTGGGGTGGTGAGGCTGTTGCTAGCGACTGGGCAGGTGGATATTGACTCAAAGGATAACGGTGGAGAGACACCGCTAGCCATGGCTGCACGGAATGGCAACGAGGGGTTAGTGAAGCTTTTGCTGGCGACTAGGCAGTTGGATGTGGACTCGAAGGACAGCAGAGGAAAGACACCTCTGTCCCACGCGGCGAAACTAGGAAGTGAAGGGGCAGTAAAGCTGTTACTAGCGACTGGGCAGGTGGATGTTGACTCAAAGGATAACGGTGGAGTGACACCGCTAGCCATGGCGGCGTGGAATGGCCACGAGGGGGTGGTAAGGCTGTTATTAGCGACTGGGCAGGTGGATGTGGACTCAAAGGACTTGGATGGTTCCACGCCATTATCTCGGGCTGCACGCAACGGCAAAGAGGAGGTAGTGAAGCTGTTGCTAGCGACCGGGCAAGTGGGTGTCGACTTAAAAGATAATAATGGAAGAACACCACTGTCCGGGGCGGCGCGCTTGGGCCGTGAAAAGGTAGTAAAGCTGTTACTAGCGACTGGGCAGGTGGATGTGGACTCGAAGGACAACAGAGGAAAGACACCGCTGTCCCAGGCGGCGGAACTGGGCCGTGAAGGGGTAGTAAAGCTATTACTAGCTACTGGGCAGTTAGATGTGGACTCAAAGGATAACGATGGAGTGACACCGCTAGCCATAGCTGTGTGGAGGGGCCATAAGGGGGTAGTGAGGCTGTTGCTAGCGACTGGGCAGGTGGATGTGGACTCAAAGGGCCCGGACGGTTATATGCTATTATCTTAGGCTGCTTGAAACGGCCACGAGGGTACTGAAGCTACAAATAGCAAGTAGGAGGGTAAAATCAACTCAAAAGACTATGGTTTACCGTTATATAGGGCTACGGGGTCAAGTCGCGGGGTGGTGGTGAAGCTTTTACGGCTAGGCCGGCGGCTGTGGTAGTGATCTCTCTGCAAAGATAATTACACTCGGTATTTTTGTTCCTAACGCCGCTACACACGTCGCTTAACCCTGTATATTCCAAAAGGAAGAGGCCAGGAACATGATCGAGTTTAACAAAGAGCATAGCGAAGGTCGTACGAAAGAGTAGGAATCGGAATGCGGCAGCCTAAGTAGAGACGCGTTTCAACCAAAGGCGGCAAAGAGGGACACCGCGGGGGTTCGATAGTTGTAGATAGACGAAGGCGGCTACTATAGTTATAACAAAAGCGATGGGCTAATATACTGAAGCTATAACACACACTGAAGGTAGACATTTTATTATTAGAAGTCAAGATTGTCTGATATACGTAGCAGACTAAGAATCGTTAATAGTGTAGACATTACCTGAAGGGGCCGTTTTACACAAAACAAAAATTGTACTAAGCAGAAAGACAGATAGTCAGAAATAAATTCTTAGCAAAGAATCGAGCACAGTAAGCAATTTTTTCGTTCGTGAGGTAATAGTCGGCGATTTCGGGTCTAGCGGGAGTGCGAGGAGGTATATATCTGTGAGGTTATCGGGAACTGCTGTCGGCGAGTTACAGCTGGTGATCATGGGCTGTGAATCTGGCGCGGTCACGCGTTCTTAAGATGCAACGGCTTGGAGTGTAGGAGCTGGTAGGGATTGTCCCTGCTGGGCACTAGGCAAATTACCTCCTATTGGCACACCGTCATCTATCGAAAAAGGACTCTAATTACACTAGAATGGCTAATATGAAGTTCAAATTTCTTCAATTGTTACTCTTGTTATCCCTCTTCCCTCTAGATCATGCGGCTCTGATTACTGGTGAACGGCCTGGAGCTATGGATGCTGACAGCCTTACCCTGAGCAGAGGGCCTCTAAATATTGGAATAATATATTCCGCAATCTCGAACGATCACGAATTCCCCGGAGCAGATCTAAGCAGGTTTACTAGAGCACGGCGCTTCAGATACAGCGGCTATATCTAGATGAAGGTTATTTAGGAAAAAGTCCTGGTTTGTAATGGTGGGGTCTTGTATGAACGGGAACCTGTGGTTCGGATGAACAATGATCCGCAACGCACCCTGGTGAGGTCTCGACCTGAAACCCAATGTTTTGGTTAGGGTGTGTTCAATATGTCGTTCCTGTCTTAAAAAAGGGACAAGAGCCGCGTCCACAGCAAACTCAGTCTCCTCACTTCATGTCAGACAGAACAAGTGAATGCCATCCCTAGTGGGCTCTTACAATGGACGATTACCAGAGCCTCGTCGTGGCTCAATTCTTCGAATCACTGCCAAATCTCTCCAAGGAATCGTGCCACCATTTCGCCTTGCACCACATTGCCCCAATTCTTCATCCTAACACTACCGGCAAAGTAGATATCCAACCCAGCCCTTTCCAGGGAAGCATGAGCTATACTATTATATTACATACTCATTTCACGGACGTAAATCAACGCGTTGCCGTCCAGTTCCGAAGTGATAAGCAAGACCCTTTCGGAGTTACCGAAGCTAGCCACATTTATGGACCTATTGTACCTCTGGTAACATACCAGGGCATGTATGAAGGGCTCTTTGTGTATATATCGTCTTTTGCAGAAGGGACACCTTATATCAGTGTCTTGATGTCTTCCGAGGATTTTCAGCTGCCTCTTCGGAAGAAGATGGTGACTGTCATGAACCTTGCAGACCTCGTCACTCGAGGAGCTAGAACGCACACTGCTATATTTGACACTGCTCTATCCGATCTCACTTCTACCCTTGAGGAAATCCAACATACGGTAAATAATTACAATTTTCGACATACAACCCTCAGAAACAAAATTTTTGCTTGCATCAACAAGCTCTTACTAGAGCTACCCAATCTTACTACCCTCCCCGTCACCCTTGCCCACCAGGATCTTACCCTATTCAATTACCTTATCGACGACTCTACGGGCCGGGTTCAGGCTGTACTAGACTGGGATGGTGCTCTTTACCTCCTAATTGGGTCGAATTTCCATTTTATGGATAGCCTTTTCGGGTTCATGACCCTAAGAGGTTGGCAGGATACAGAAGACCGACAGGACCTAGAGATAGCGTTTTATGATCGGGCTCTGGCTAATCTTGCTGCGCAAGGATTTGAAGGAATAACAAAAGAGCAACTGGAATCCCAAAAGGCGATTGGGTATTTTACTGTACGGTGTGGAGCGGCTTCTCAAGCTCAAAGATGAACGAGCCGAGCACTATCTATATGGGTATCTTCGAGGTTTAACTTTCATGAATGGATTCTTTTAACAGGTCTCACTGTTTTATTATTGGTGTTAGCGATTACTGCTTCTAGGACGGCGGTAAATCTAGTTGATGTTTCTCTCTATACATGTCGACGAGGATACGGCAAAAATGATGCTTGAGTGATGTTGACCAGAATATACGATACCTTTTGGTGACGTGGATAATGACTAACAGTGCTATCTAACCTAGGTGCAAGATAGGGGGCAGTACAATAGAGCTGTCCAAAGTTACGGGTGGAAAGGCGGCCGTTTCTGGCGCCAGAGGTTGTCATTTTCGGCCTCAATTTCACAGGTCCCTATATATATCCTCCGTGTAATTTTATAGAGCGAGTGTTGGGCTGACCAGTAAAACCAGTAATTATATTAACAGTTGCGAAACTCGAGTATGCATCATTAAAGTCATTGCCATCGTATTTATCATGATTCCAGCCAGTTGCCGTGCCGAGAGTTTTACAGTTACTCTTCTGGAAGAAGCTCGATGAGATATCTCAGTCTATCTCCACTTTCCTGCAGCCAGCACCCCTCAAGTGCCTCCTTGTCCCGGCTAGCCTGGCCTCGACGTGATTCTGATTGTGCCCGCTGGACTCGATGTTCGATCCCCGTATCAACCGCCTCTCTCAACGATGGCGTTTGTTTGATCCAGCCTCGGCATGCCAGCAACGTAACCAACGATTCGAGAATCAGGGAGAATTTGGCATTGTCGGCGACACTGGCTGTGGCCGTCCCATAGGGAAGGAAGCATTGTTCCAACTTTGTAACGGTGAGTCGGTCCTCTAATGACGTTGGGGCGCCACTTTGGATCATGTTGAATAGCAAAAACTCGCATAGAGTAGTCTGCGCTTCGTCGTCGAGCTCGGGAAGCACAAGTGGATTTACAAAGGCTTGGAAAATCGGCAGGGGTTGATGCCGGATTTGGTCAACGAAGAGTTGATAGAGATCACCAAGTTCGATGAAATCTTGTGGTAGTTGCTCGGATACTCTCGACAGGATGCCGAGCAATCTCTTACGCAGTGCAAGAGAGTCGAGGCCGCCCATTTGAGACACACCGCCACCATGGTGTGTGAGGTGGGCCTGGCCGGCATCAGCATTTTCTCGAGCTGGCTCTGCACCGGTCGGGTCTGACGCGTTCCGGGTGCCTCGTCTGGTCCGTTTCGAGCGTCGAACACTCGGCGTGTTTTCCAACGGCGTAGATGCACGGGACTGTGACTTGCTCGGACCAGAGGCAGAGTCATCCTCCGAATCCTCATCCAAGTAGTCACCGTATTGGTCTCTATCAATATTGACCTCACGATCTCGCTTCATTGGTTTTGTAGCGTGTTTCTTGGGCTTGGAGATCGCGAGCTCCTTCTCAAAGACCTCGCGAAACTGATTCAAGGAGGCGGTACTCCCGTCTGCAAAGATGGACTTGATAATTCGGCGAGTATTCACATTCCTCGCATCAGCAGCAATATACTGGAAGATCAAACTTTGCCGAAGAATATTCAGATCATCTTCCGGAGTGGTTGCCCCTCGGTTTCCCCCGGGTGAAATATTTTGGGAGCCACTCCTGCGTTGTTCTTGCTTTGCGATGTATTCCTTCTCTCGTTGCGACCAGTCATCTATCAGTACTTCACACATGAACTGCAACCAAATCTGCCAGCGGTCCCAGCGTTCCGGATAAAGCACAGAACAATTGAATGCCCATCCGACGGCATGCCAGAAGTCTTCCGCGCGAGACCACAAGGACTCCGTCGTACCCAATGCCAGGTTCAACGGTTTCGTCTCGTCATGGCGAAGTTCGCTAGTCGGATCATGTTCCTCGTAATATCTTCGTCCTGATCGCGAAAGCTTGGAACGTGTGAAACTAAAAGCAATATTGAGCTTTGCTTCTATAGGGTTAACCTGGGCGCAGAAAAGTCGTAGTAGCCTTAGTGCAACATCCGGCGCATCTTTTTCATTGGTGGTCTGGGCACGAGTGGTTGTAGACGGATGAACGAGAATTGTCGCTGCAACGGCCAGATGCTGTGGCAGGGGGATCAGGACTGTATTTGAAGCGTAGGTCCCCGAGGCGAGGGTGTTGAACAAAATTTCCAAGGCTCGTGTGTCTGCTAGTGGGTTAGCTGGGGTGGGGTTTCTTGAGATGCGCGAATTGGATAGAAAGAGGGTGTTAGGGACGAAGTACGAACAGAGGTGTTCCTCGAAGAAAATGCCAGTATGTTGCACCAATTCGAAAGGCAACGGCTTGGGTGTCCGATGCGGGAAATCACCCAGGGGAGCCATGGCCTGGTCGTGAGGGAGTGACATTCTGTAGTCGATCGCGTCTTTTGGACGCGTGCTTATCGATAAGTGATTAGGTAAGGACGGTGGCTGTGGGAGCGCTTGAAGGTAGACTGAAGACGAAATGGTAAGCAATAGGAGAGACGGGGAGAGAAGAGGAAGAAGTTGGTTTGTTCTGGGAAACCTGGGTTATAAACAATGTTGCATAGAAGAGATCAAAACTTCCGGTGTTAGACTGGCTGTTCCTGGGCGTTTGCGTGTCCTCCGAGATCATCGGCTTGGGTAACACCACCTTTGTAAGCTCTTTCTTTGTTACCATCCTTGAAATTTCAAGCCGTTCTATGTTTATTTCTAGATCACTCGATGAGCATATGCCTAGTTACCTATTTCTAGTCCTACTTCGGTATTACAAGGTATCGTAATGCTCGCTAAAGATGTTTAGTTTCCGATATACTTGACACCTCATGCAGATCAGCGGGAGCCTCAAGTTCTTGTCCTTGCAATTGATATAGAGTTGCAGATATAGTGACTCCCAAGCGAGGACAAAATAACAGGGATAGAAGATTTCTACTTTCCAAAAATACAATCCCTTTCTCGGGTCAGATATAGCTATCTCCATTGCCGCCCTTGATGCTTGCACACTACAATGATGCAATAAGACCCCGCATGGGCCTAGCCAAGACGAACGACTAAACAAATGACTCGCATTAGGTACTTCAGTAGTCTCCAAGCTCCAGACTTCATTCTATGCTAGAACCTCTGATATTTGCAATAGCAGAATGACTAAGTTTACACTCTGACAAAAAAAAAACGAAGGCGCATCAAAGTGGGCGTGTATAAGGTATGCAGGGCTTTCCAAGTTGAGAAAAATCTAGACTACCCAACCCCCAAAACCGAGTAGGAACTAATTGTCCGATTCTGTCATTTTTTTTCCACGGCTCGATGCTTTGCTGCGTTCTTCAATATTTGCCAAAAAAAGAAAAGAAAAGGAGAAAAATTTGCGACAGCCAACGACGGATTCACAACTCCGTGGATCAAAACGCAATGCAAGAACTTCTTTAGAAGGAGTCGGGAGGTTCGGTGGGAGGTGCGACGGGTTTCGAGGAGGAAAGGAAAGGAACACGGGGAGCGAGCTCGTAAGCCAGAAGACGCCGATGTAGCAAAGAAGCGCAGAATCGAAAGAAAATGGAGAAAGTAGATACTATGAGTCGTCTGGTATATCGGAGAAGAGACCTATCCGCAGGCGATGCGACTGGAGACACGAGACATGGTTAGTCAATTTTCGATAAAGAGACGCCAAAGAAGAAGAGAAGAATATCCACATACGAAAGGCAACTTAGGAATGACGACTCCCAGCGTAGCCAGGCAGTTGATGGTAAAGTAAGTCAGATCGTAGTGGGTATAGTGAGTGCTGAGAAGGAAGAGCACGATGGGCACGCAGAGCAAGAACTTCTTGGCCGGAGTATACTGGTCGCCGTTGTCGATTTGCTCCCACATGTTCAGGTTGTCGTAGGCCCCAGCGTTGAACTCGAAAGGGATGCCGCGCACCCAATGGAACATGAGGAACGAGCCGAACATATAACTGATGTTGGTGAGGGTCCATGAGGTCTCCTGCGAGACACCGGGGATGATATCGAAGAGGACCTTCAGTGCGGCAATGAGAACGAAGTGGATGGTCCAGGCACCTAGTTCACGCGATAACATTCCTAGTTAGCCCAGTTCTGCGATATTGATGTTCGTTCTTCTTCCCCGTGAGGGATTCCCGTCCACCGTGTCCGCACCGGTTCGGTCGGGACACTTGATAGGGCAAAGAACGGGTTCATGCAAGCTCGACTCACCCTTGGCATTGACCCAATTAGCATTGAGATTGGGCAATGCAGCCTGGTCACTGATATGTTCCATAGATTCGGCGGGTTCCTGATAAATGATGCTGCTGGACCGCCGGCGGCGGCCCTGCTTCTGGGTGTTGGGAGATAACCGCTGCGGTCCGTCCATCTCGGTAGAAAAAGAGATGGCACGGGGAGCCAGCAGGGAAGACTTGGAAGTGTGGGACGCCAGGTTGACTGCTCGAGCAAGAAAAATAAAGCTCGAGGAACGGGTTGAGGGGGGTTAGAGGAGGGAAAAGGAGCGTGGGGATGAAGGTGGCACACGGCCCAGAACTCCAGAACTGGAGTCGGGCGGATCGGCTTTCGGGGTCACGGGGTTGTCTCGTTTTTTGTCTGCCTGGACCTCTTTGCGGATGCCAGACACTTTGCAAGCCCAGAAATATACTAGAATGCGATCGGGAACTCGGTCATCTAGTGCAGCTATGCACTCGAGATGAAAAAGATGAGAGTCGGGCAAAGGAACTTGAGCTCGGCACGTGCTGTCCCCAACAGGTCGGAGCAGCACAGACGAACTCCTCCTACTATTCGACCAACTACAAACGTACGGAGGACTATACAAGGGGAAATTGACACTAATCACGCGCAACAAAGACACTGTACTGTCTTACTAGTCACATGGGCCCATTGTCTATAGATGGCACGACATAGTAGCAGATATCGGGGTGGCTTCCTATAGTCTCTTGGTTTAGGAGGGCGGACATAAATAGAACAGGTTTTCAGTCTACTTACAATCCTTTGCGTCGGCGTTGGAGATGGCTTCATCGAGGTACACGTGGCGAGTCTAGAGCTCGAAATAAATTCAAACCACGCTGGATATTGCATAACCTTCCAATATGGGCTTCACCATCATACTTTCCATTCTAAATAGTGATCGCTTCAGGCTGAGAAAAAAAAACAAACCCACCATTCTGCACTGTTGGCACATCGCGCCAACCGTAAAATTTGCCTGCCATGCAGTTCTAATCTCCGGAAGGCGAACTCTCCCTGCCTTCAACCCTCCCATTCAAGCAACAGGTCATGTCGGATTCTGGAGACGAGGTCGATTCGCGAACGGCCTCGTTCGGCGCCCAGCGTGCCCGCAAAAATACGCCTTCCTCCCGAGCCCAGTCCAGCGACGACTCGCGTCCCACGAAAAAGCGGCGCCGCAACAGATCCCGCACGGCTAGCGATCTTAGCGATTTTGTGCCTAAGGGTGCTGCCTTCAGCGCCACGACATTGGAGGTTGATCCTGATGATACTTCAAGTTCCGGGTCCGACTCGGATAGTGGTTCGGACAAATCTGATGCGCCAGATGTTACCCCACCCGCCAACCCTCATGCGGGCAGTACTGCGCCGGCGATCAGTTGGAACCAGGGGAGAAAGACGGCCGTGAGGACGACGCTGGGCAAGCGCAAAGCGGGATCGCAAGTCGGTTCCCAACCTACAACCCAGCCTGAGCCGGAGGCGCAACCCCAACCGCAGACCAATGGGAATACCGAGGATAGTACGGCGAATGGAACCTCTCAAAAGCAATTCAAAGCTGTCAACGGTACATACTGGCGCAGTCGTAGTGCCTCTGTGTCATCCGAAGATGAGGATGGCTCCGAAGAAGGCGAGGTGAATTCCGGGAGTGATTCGGATGATTCAGAGCTGGACTCCGAAGCCGACGACTCTCTTATGCTCAACATTGGCACCAAGGCAGATGGGGCGGACGACTATGATCCAGAGTCTCTGCTGAAGGAGAATGGTACCAATGGACAGCCTCATACGGGCGCTGGCGCAGTACAAACCGAGTCCAAGGAGGAGGCCTTCAAACGATTCTCTGAAAAGTATCCGACTGCGCCCGTTTCCCTATTGGACTTGCAGCAGGATGATATGGATATTCAAGCTAAGTTTGTATACTGGGACCGAGACGTGAATGCCATCGATCTGCAGCTTCCAGTTGGGTGTATCGAATGTCTCCATCAGGGCCACATGGCTGAGGTGTGTCCTACTAAGGAGGTATGTTACACTTGAAACACGAACCCAAACCAATCTTGAGATTTGACACCCCAGACAGTGTGTTCATTGTGGAGCATGGAATACCCACCAAAGCACGCAGTGTCCCTCATGGCGAAGATGCCAGCGCTGCCGTGAACGAGGCCACGTCCAAGGCGATTGCCCGTCTGTCCTCAAAAGTTCGGCCGCCGAGGTCCCCTGCGACTATTGTGGCTCCTCGACACACATGGAGTCCGACTGTGACCACCAGTTCAACCTCCCAACGCGGGAAGCTCTTTCCGAGACCGTGACTGTTTCCATTTCTTGCGCCCACTGTACGAGTGGGAACCATCTGATCGGGGACTGCCCCCATCTTCCCCCCGACCTTCAACAAAGAACTGCGTGTTTTACCCTCAAGGAAACCGATCCTGCCAAAGTCACCAACCTGAACGTAACAGGGCCTCCCCGAAAGACCGGCCCTCCCGCGCCGAGTTACCAACGTGGCAAGGGACGTCGCGGCGGCGGGGGTGGTGGTAGTGGTGCTCGCACACCATCATCAACCAGCGAAGAAGACATGATGCCCCGCCAAGGCGCCCGCAGGGGCCCGCCTCCAGCCCGTGGCCGAGGTCGCGGGGCGATCAAGTTTGGTAGCGGCGTTGGTCCTGCCCAGCCACGAAATAAGCCACCGCCATTCACCCGTCCAAAGGGCCCGCCTCCTCGAGGAGGAGGAGGAGGAGGTGGTGGTGGTGGTGGAAACCGCGGTCGTGGCCGTGGACGCGGTGGGAAGCCTCGGGGAGGACGACCTTGAAAAGTCGCTTACGAAAATTAACGCCAGTGTATGTCCGAGTTAACTAGAGTTTGGAGAAGGCACTTGTACATCAACTATACAAAATATACTTTACCTCTTTGTATACAATCAGTCTGTCCATGGTCTTCAAGAGAACCTCTTTGTATAGTTTCCATTCTTCTATGTCGTCCACGGGAGTTGACGTATATGGGCCAGGCTCAGCATCTCAACTTTATCAAGCGGACTTGGCTAATTCTGCTTGTGGACATCATCCTCCTCACGACCGAGGAAACCCCCCTCCAGGATATCGATCAACTCATCCAACCGATTAATGCAAAGATCCGTATGCGCATGCTCGCGGAGATGGATATTCCGCTCATTCACCAGCAACACCGTTGCCGCACCGGCTGCGTGTCCGGATGTCATATCGTCAATGCTATCTCCAACCTGCCAATGGTAAGAGAGGTTAGAGCTGCAAGCATCTTCCAACGGGCTAGCACGCGGTTCGATCAACGTACCATGATCAAGTTCTCCGCACGATTAGTCAACCCCCATTCCCGTGCAATGTGCAGAATACCCGCCGGATCGGGCTTGGGAAGCAAATCTGGCGTATCGCGAGTGATGATGGGAAGAAAGATATGGCTGGGGAGATGGTTCTGGATGAGATATTGGACTGGGGCTCTGCATGCATCCATGGCAATAAGCATACAGCTACTTGGAGGTGAGTGTATTGGCGTGTAAATATAGTCAGACTTACTCGAAATTGCGTGTGCACAATGCTCGTCGGAGACCCCGGGATTTCAGGTAATCCATTAGCTTTGAGAGGCCCGGTTGAGGTTGTTGCTCGAGCATGGCGCGTCGTTCGACGGCCTGAACCTTGGCCACGGCTGCGGCACGGTCTTCGGGCGTGGGAAGGTCGCGGATGTGATGGAGTATGTCCACGGATTTGTCAATGCCGAGAGCCTCTCTAGAATGATTGTCAGAGGATGTTGTGGTTTCATATGTATGGACAACATTTTCGGGGGATAGTTGAATATTGCTTCAGAGGACGGTGCATCCTGGTGGGCTGGAAAAGAGGCACCGCGCGACCATCGATACGGAGCATGACTCACCTCATTTCGGAGAACATGTGGTGCTGTGGCAGACTGAGAAGTAGTCAGCAATCTTGCTAATAATGCATTTAAAGCGAAAGATACATTCCCCGAGGCAGTGTATGTCTTTCCTCGGACAGATGGTATCTGGATCGAACCAGGCAAGAATGTGCATCATATGCGACGAATGAGCCAAACACATCGGAACCTACTCCAATTGTTCCAATTGTAAAAGCTTGTAACGGAATACTTACCATAATGTCCCATCCACATCAAAGACAATACCCTTCAGCACTGGAGCATCGGACGGCTTCCCAGCATCAAGCGGGGCAAAGCGCCGCGGGCGAAGATGAGTACAATCCGCTGCAACGGCAGACATGATGGCAGACTTGGCAGTTCTCAGAGACACGAGACGGCTCGTCATGAATTAGGCTAGGAAAGCTAGCGATGAGGAGATAGGAGCAGGATGGTGGAGGTTGTGGTGGAGTGCAGCCCGCTGAAGAAAGTTGGAGTTGGCGTTCTCAAGGGTCCCACTTTTTCGGTATCTATGGATCGATGGATCGATCGATCTATACTCCGCGGCACGAGGAACGGAAAACGCCTTGATCTCAAATAGACTTCGGAACAGCTTCATGACTACACGCCTACACGTCTAGACGTTACTTGAGGCAACGAAGAACAATGTCACGTCCCAACTTTGCCATCGCGCTTTCCTTCCATCCGTCCCTTCCCCACCTCACCATCAACACTCCCATTCCCTTCAATTCTTCGAAAATGATCACAACACTTCACATACATCCTCTCTCTTATTGACCATCAATATGGTTGTCTACCAAATCCACAGCCCCTTCGCGCGGCCTATCTTCCCCATTTCCTTCCCAACCTTCCTCTCCATCGTCCTCGTTCTGGGCTATCTCCAATTCCTCTACGGCATCTCCTTCATTCTGCGCCCCGTATGGCCCTTACGCTACGGCTCCCGACCCTTCAAAAAGCTCATCCACAATGCTGAAAAGCAAGTCCTCGATCTCATCGTCGGCATCATCCCGCCACCCGTCTATCGCTCACCGGTACCCAGCAGTGCCTTTGCGAATGAGGAAACCACTTTTCCCCGGTACACGAGCGTGCATCATGCCTTGTATGTAGGCTATGATAGTGCTCGTAGCACACTGCCATGTGTAGTCGAGCTTCCCGATCCGCCGCAGGCTTATCCTAGCATTGGGAGAGGTCGTTCATCGCACAACTCGCACCGCGAGAATCAGATGCCGGACAACAGTGCTAAGCACCTTGGACCTTCGCCACTTGCCGAAGTAATGCATGATCACGCTGGATTACACCACCATGGCGCATTGACGGGTTGTCAAAACAACGCATTGGCAACCGAGCAAAACCAGCATCTTGTCTTCGCTCCGTCGACTACGCTCAAAATGCCACACGACCAGGATCAGCAGCGGGAACAGGAGCACCCGGTCATCGATGTAGTGCATGGCATTCACATTGATTCCGTCGAAGTCAATGCCATCGAAGTCAGTGCCGGCGAAGTCAGTCCCCTCCAAACAACCAAGCCAAATCTGAGTTCCCGCCCAACCTCATCCGACGAGCCCAGAATCTCCCTCAGCGTGGTCCCACCCTCCTCGTCGCACTACACTGATGAATCAATTACCCTCAGTCTGTCCACAAACCGCAACACCAAGTGCCGTTCCACGGAGAGCTACCCGGGCAAGTTCCCCGTTAGCGACGGATTGGAGTATAGCTCTCTGGCTACGGCTTTGTCTAATTTTCGTGAGAAGGGGACTACCCACGTGCGTCCTTTTTCGGATTATTAGGGCTTGATGATGGAAACGGGGGGTGGACTTGTTTGATGGAGCCTTGTTTACTGTTTTTGGAGTGTGGGATTGATGTTTATGGTATTGTTCTCTGGAGGGTCGTTGATGGGCGGGTATGGGATCATTCAAGACCCAGATGGACTGGTAGCAAGGTGTGAAGGTTTTCGACAGGCGTTGTCAACTATCCAATTATCCCGTCTTGCTTCTCCCTTGACAAACAATGAAAGTGACAATTCCTAATTTAAATCTATTGTATAATCGAGAAAGTCCTATCCCCCCCTTCTCTACTGCAATTCTACTTAGTTATCATTCTACCAAGATAAAGAACAGATCACGTATCAAATCATGTATCCCTCGTTTACCCCAAGAACGGGCCCGAGTATGGAGTAAGATTGCACCAACGAAAAGACTATGTCCACGCTATCTACAACCAAGTCCCAGAGACCAGCCCTGGCCTCGGGAATGCAATACGCAACAAGGAAGGAAAAGTCACGGGCAGGGCACATAAACCGAACAGGGTACAAGAAATCAAAGCATTTGGCTGGGTAGCTGCCTCATCATGATCGATCGGAAAGGCTATTAACACGGGAGAAACGGGAATGGCGGAATGCACAGGAATAAAGATGATTTTGGTCACGATCGCTCATAGACGGGATGGGGATGATTCAAATAGAACAAAGGCAGATAAGATGTTATGTGATTCAAGTTTTTTTCGAATCCAAATTCAAAGCGCGGTCATCACTGTCGTAAATGGTGTAGTCGTGAGAGATGACGCCGGAAACAGCAGCAGTCATCACATGAGAAACAAGAAAAAAACTAAAGAAACATCACGAGACAAGGGTGGAAAGAGAAAAAAAAAAACACTCGCTAGACACAAATACAAGCCCTGGGGTATCACAATGCGGTCATAACGTCTCAATAATTATCGTCATAGTCGATCTGCATCGGACTGCCGCGGTAGCGCGTACGCTTGATGTTGCTAGGGCTGTAGGCACCGCCGGACGTGAGAGGTCGGGGTCCCGTTGGTTTGCGGGTTGGTGGAGAGCGTATGGCAGAGCTCTACAGGATACAGTGTTAGAACGTGGCTCTTTGTTGTGAAGGAATAGTAGGAGAAGCAAAGCTTGCTCTAGAATGTAACTTACCCTTGAAGCAACGCGATCGCCGCTGTAGTTTTGTGCTACCGTCTCGCTCTCTTCCTCGGGAACCTTGGGCGGCCGCTCGGGGATGAGAGGTCCGTTATCCTTGACCTTGGGAGGGCGAGGCGGACCTGGAGTGCGGGAGCTCGTCTCTGAGTAGCCCGCATCAGAGATAGGAGAGAGACGGCTTCCTGCACTGAAGCGATTTTGGTTGGGGTTCACGGGTGGAAGGCTAGGGTTGGAACCCCATTGTTCGGAGTTGGGAGAGGTGGGAGTGGTGTAGCTCTGCGCCTGACTTTCGAGCTGGTTTTGATACCGGCCGGTGGGGCCCTGGCGAGGCTGAGGGTGCTGAAGATCCAGACTACCGCGATGGGCGCGATACTTGGGCGCTTCAGAAACCTGAGAGGGAACCAGCGGGGATGGGGGTCGGTTCTCCTCTTGCCCTTGGTCAAGGGTGTAGGTAGACCGGATACGGTCGTCGCCCTCGGGGTCATAGTAGTCGCCCGTCTTGTATGTGTCCTGGGCTAGGTCTGAACCAGAACGGGACACTTCAGAGTAAGGGCGCTCCTTGCGGTTGGGTTGGATGCTGTTGCGGATGTTGTCGCCCATCGAGGAGGCAGTCGTCTTGGACCAGCGTGAGAATTTGGGGAAGATTGACGAGCTGCTTGACTTGTGCTTGCGGGCCCTGTCGGCGGAGTTTTTCGGTGTCGTCTCGGAGCTACGAGCTCCCGAGGCTACGGGTTTGCGAGGAGGTGTAGCAACAGGCATGGATCCAGCTCTCTCATGGCGAGCAGGCTCTTGAACAGGAAGATGGGCAGTCACATAAGGATCATCTTCATCGATCTCCAAGTCTTCGTCATCCTCTTCAGGGACAGTGTCGACATGCTTCTCCGCAGTGGCAGGTCGAGGGCTACCCAAATAGGGAGACCGGCTACCCAACCCAGCGCCATTTGAATCATTCGCATCACGGTCGTTCAGGTCAACGCTGGCTCCCCGAGTACCGTTGCGAGGACTAGTAAAGCCTTGTCCTTCACGCAGGGCCTCAACCTCGTCCAGCAACTGCTCCAGCATACCCTCAATCTTGGCAAGGTCATTGCCAGACTTTAGACTGAGACCCTTCAGAGCACGCTTAAAGATGTTCTTCCGCTTGGACTGGAGATCTTCCTCCTCCTCCAGGTTCAACTGGCGGCTCCGAGAGCCACTGGGAGGCAAAGGTCGGGGTCCACCAAGGGCCCTGAGAGTTTGGTTGTGCTGCTTGTCACTGGAATCTTGAAGCATTTCATCCTGCTGAGCGATGAATTTCTTCATCTCTTCAAACGAGGTGCGCATTTCAGCAGCGCTTCGGACCAAAGTGACCAGGATCTCGGTATCTCTGGCGTTGCGTTGAGCATCGCGCACCGTGAGCTGTATAAAGCGTTAGTGAATTATGTCCTTATATCAAATGCAAACGAATCGACTTACATGATCCATTAGGGCGACGATATCCTTGGACTGAATTCTCTCAATTCCACGCCCAGTAGCGCTGTCATATAGCGGTGACGCAACACCATGAGAGTATCCGCTAAAGTGGCGCTGATGATTTGTAGCGAATGGATCATCTGCCTCGGCAGGGCTATCAAACGCACCGACGCCAGCAGCATCGGCACCCAGGCTGCGGCTCGCTTGCTTGGGAGTGCCAATGCTGGGGGACATGGGGTTTGCAGCCGAGACGTAGCCTTCATCCTTGGCGCCAGGAGGCGTACCAAAGAGCTGGTCGTCATGCTGCCCAACGTAGTAGTCATCCCCACCAAAGATATTTCGGGCAGTCTCGTGGTACTCGGCATCGAAGCTGTGCTCGCCTTGGGCAAGATCTTTCGCACCACCGGCCTGAGCAGCCGGGGAGTCGTAGTAAGAGACCGGCGCGGCACCCCAGTGACCCTGATCCACTGGCGCGACGCCACCAATGGGACCTTGAATGATAGAAGGGTTGGTGTTGATTTCCGACTCGGAATCTTGACTGCGCTCCTCGGCATTAGCGAGGGAACCGTTGAGGCCCCGTGCAGCGGCGGCGGCCATGCCAGCTTCCTCGAGCTCTTCGATGGACTGAGCTACACTCTGAGGCGGCGATGTGACACCCATCCGTCGAGGGAAAGAGGTCTCATCGAGACTAGGCGCCTCTTGAACTTGCTTCAAGGGGCTGCCACGCTTCTCGGGGCTTCGGCTACCTGCACGCTCGAATTCGGTCTGAGAGCGATTGCCAGAATGGCCTGACGAATGGGACTCAAGAACGGAGGGATCCATCAAGGAAGCGACAGCAGACTCGACACCTACGGGGTGAACGATCTGGGGATTGGCAGCGGCGCCCTCTGCCACATGCTGGCCCTCCTTGACCCTGTCCAGGAAATCGACTTCGCTGTCATCATATCCCAGCGAGCGTCGGGATTCCTCATCGTGTCCGTATAGATCTTCCTCAGAAGCGTGCCGCGACTGCTCATACCCAAGCTCTGGGCCATCGCGGCCATGCTGGTATTCACCTTGCTGGCTGTGGGGGCTGACGCCGTTTCGCGTAGATCGGGCGAGATCAGTGCTTGGCGCAGAAGACAAAGAATCAATCGAGAGGCGCGGTTCCATCTCATGTTCGACTTCGAGCTGGTGCCGAGCTTGATGCTGGCCGTGAGTCTCGGTTTGATCGCTCGCCACGCTCTGGATAGGGCTCAAAGTTCGGCCAGCCTCATACCGATCCTCATGGACAGGGTGGGCAGCATCAAGCAGGTTGGCGGCGGCAGCAGCGGCAATAGCCCAATCTCCATGATCGGTGCCAGGTGACTGACTCTTGGCACGCAGGTCGCGGTCGGAGGCGCTGTGGACCGAGAGATCACGTTGGGACTGATTGCCATGGCGCATTCCAAGTTCATGTCCTGCACCCAAAGGAGTTCGCGTGGGCGTCCGCGAGGCCGGGGAACCAAGTTGTCGTGGAGACCCGTGAAGCACCTCACCATGGAAGATATTCTGGTTCGGGCCGGGACTCTCAGTGCGGTCAGACAGCAGGGAGGCCCTGGTCAGCTCAGAATCAATCTCGCTGTGCATGGGCATGCGGGGGACGTTGTGCTTCTGGAAAACCAGTTCGGTTTCATTGACGTTGAAATTCTCAACGCTCTTGCGAGAGCCGCTGTCCCTTCGCTCCGATTGGCCAAGGCTAGACTGGGAGTCGTGATGTTTGAGAGACGCCGCTGTCAGAGCGGAGCCTACACGTCCGGCTGCCTGGGCATCTCGAAGACCTTTGCTCTTCTGTCGGCGGAGCTTGTCCTGCTCAGTGAGCTCCGGTCGACCCCACTTCACCCAGGCATTGTCGGAAGTCTCGCTGCTCTTGCTGGATTTGCGTGTCTTGGGAATGTCCCTGGATCGCGGACCCGACTCAGCCAAGACAATGCCCTCATCCTTGCTGTCCTTGTTCAAGACAACTCTGGGCTTGATAATGTCGGGTGCACTCGAGTGCTTGGACAATCGTCGACCCAGCTCATCTCGAGAGCTAGTCGATGAGTAGTTCGTCATCATGTCGCGCTCTCGGTCTCGCTCAAACTTGTTTGTGTTGTTCATGACCTTTTGGTCTTTCTTGAGCTCTTTGAGTTCGGGCAGAATCAATCGTCGAATGGCATCTTCTACCGTCTCCAACAGTTTCGGGTTGTTGATCGAGGATTTGGAGGCACCGGATCGAATGGAATATTGATCGCCAGACTTGCGATTGGATGAGACGGCGGAGGTACTCAGCAAACTGGATTCGGGACTAGGGATGATATCGTCCTCGTGGTGCTTCCGACGGGATAATTTGGGCTCAGCCTCCAGATAATCCTTGCGGGAGCTCTTGCTCCTGTGCTTGTGTCGATGTTTGCCGCTAGACACCTCTTGCGGCCCACTCAGTTTCTCTGCCACCCGATGGGCAAAGCGCTCCTTGCTCAGGCTGCGACTGCGCTGTCGGGACGGCGTCTTCAATAGATCATTGTCATTGCGACTGGAGCCACGCTCGAGACTTTGACTGCGCTTACGCCGGGGACCGGCCGAGGAAGTAGCGTCGAGCATACTGTCGGCGGGCATAGACGAGATGTCGGAAGATGGGAGCACGAATCTGGTATCGCGCGAGACCGTTGAAAGCTCACTCCCGCGGTCACGATTTAGCAATTCAATTTCAACGGGTGGGCGTCTCGATGCAGTTGGACTCTCCTCGTCAGCCGAGTTGCTTTCGCTGAAACTGTGCTCATCCAAGACCGACTCGGAGACTTGCTTGGACTTGGAGCCGGGCGAGGTCAGAGAAATGCGCCGGGTGTATGAGGGCTTGCGACTGCTCGACTCGGTGATCTGGATACGGTCCTTATCCTTGAACTTGCGGGTTCCGGACGGGGTGACTCGAACGCGCACACTAGGTCTAGAGACGACGCCACCAGTTTCCTTCCCGCCTTCGAAATATTCGATGAGCAGGGAGGTTTGCGAATCTCGGTGTGATCGCGACAGTTTGTCGTCCCGGTCCCGATGGCGCCGGGTGGAGACAGTGATGGGGCTCCCGTCGTCCGGGATTGAGTACGACGTCTTGTCTGTACGGCGAGAAAGGTCAGTTGCCAGATCTGTGCCCGTAGTGCTGCCGCCCGTATCGACGAGGGATTCTGTGGGAGCGGGAAGGATGGGTCTGCGGGTGTCGACCCCCATGGTTGAAGGAGGGCAGGCTGAAGAAGGGGAGGGCGCCGGGCAAGCTGTGTTGGGCCTGTCTCTCTTTCTCTATATGATCTGCGCCCGTTTGTTTTTTGTTTCCCTGGTCCTCAGCCCGACAATCGCATAGTCCTATCGAGACGATGGACCCCGGTAGACTGTTGCAAAAAAGGGGAATTGTGGTCACTGGGTGGTGTTCCGTGCTATTGAGGGGGGGGGGGGGAGGCCACGATGGTGGAGATGATGATGATGATGATGATGGTGGTGGTGGTAGTGGGGGAGGCTTGGAGTAGGAATGTCGAGGAAGAGAGGGGATAGAGGGGAGGGGTAGGAAGAGACAAGAATGTCTCGCCAAAAAAAATTAGGAGTATTAGAAGCGTACCAGCGCAAGTCACCACCGCGTGGGAGCAAAGAAGGGGGATTGAAAGGAGAGGAAAAGCAACCGAAAGGTGGTGAGTGTGGTTGCTATGCGGGCTGGAGTTGAACGAGCTTCGTTTCTGCCGATCTCCTCACATGAAAAGGGCCCGGGATGAGGAAGAGAAACGAGTAATGGGGAGGATATGATTATGCGAGGGATGTACCCGGAGGAAACAGGGAGGAAGACAAGGATAGGAAAGGGAGGAATGGAAGAGAGAGAGAAGAAATGCAAAACAGAAGGTTGTCAGCCGGATCGAAGGCAGGGTAAGTACGGAGACGGAGTACGAAGGTGTTTGGTCCCTTTGGTGAAGTAGCCCAGCCTCCGAGAAAAAAACGAATGGCTGGGACCTCCGCGAGTTCTTCCCAGATCGACGGAGGACCTAGAGTTTACTTGACCAGATTGAGAGGAGTAGACTCTACTCCATTAGGAATTATACGACCACGGAGTCTGGAGTCTACTGTCTGCTCTGTCCAGACTCTCTGGATAAACAAACGGAGCCGCGGGTTAGGCTGCGGATCTCATCGGGTGGTCCGCCCTGGTTCCTTGGTTCCTTGGTTCTTGCTTGATACAGGACCTGACTTTGTTTACTTTCCTTCTCGACTCTCGGGTCTGGCATCCTCAGGCCATCTTTTCATACTCTCTCCATCTCCCTCCTCCACCCTCCTCCAAGATCTCTCCCGCCTCCTCCCCCCATCCATCACCCCGGCAATAAACGATGATGCACGGCCGATGATGATTTGACCTGTTCCCTCCGCCTGTCACACAGCACAACACGGGCCAACAAAAAACCTGCGGCCTTCCGTGGGTCCCCACTGGCAATCGCCGAGGATCCGTTGGCCCAACTGCGGAACCAGTTCGACCGTCCAAAAGAAAGATGGGCAAACTGGTCGATGGGGCTGGCCCGTCGCCCTGACGACCGGGGCCCGATCCGCTCCAGCAGAACCACTAAACAGGCTTCAACTTTGATCCAGGTTAATGATAACTGCCCGACCAACAATAATAATCCCACGGCTTCTCATGACCCAGGAATTATTCCGAGGAGGCTCACAGCAGACAAAGTACGAAGTAGGATGGACAGTCCACCAGTCAATGCGTTTCCCCTCATCGACTAAATGGCCCTTAGGCAGCCTGGCAGGGCTGGGGAGGACCCCAGAGACCCTCTGATTGGCCCCGAGGACTGCCAACTCATCCATCTCATCACACCGGAGATCTTGACGGTGTAGCCACCGGACGAGAGGCTGTCCATCATCCAGCCCACGACGCGTAGAATTGGGCGATGCTCGTCGGGCAATCTTGTTCCTTGTTCAATTGGACATCTTACATTACTGTGGAGGGCTCCCCCTCGGATGCTCGCCTCTCATCTGGGGAACTGTGAGTGGTGTTTGAGCCTTTTATGGTGACCATTGGGGAAAACTGACCAGCGGGATTAATTCGTTGCCCATGCAAGGCGTAGAGGCGCTGCTTCTGAGATTGCCACTGGGCCCATGCAAGTCACTGGGGATTGCCATCGAGCCTACTCGTACATTACGTACATTCGTATATACTCTTGATGGCTGCAGCAAGCATTGCAGAATAGATGGTACGCTAATTGTTCTCTGTTCGATGCACTTGGCGGCTTCCTCTCTACTTGCCGATAAAAGCCTGCTAGAAGCCAGTCGGGTTAGGTCCCGAGGTAGGATTGGCGTTGAAGTCTAACTTGTAGTCTCGGGCTCCCCGAACAATATTATTCTATCAAGTGTGGTGCGCGGCGAACCCCCACATGTATGGTAACATCCCTTGAAATATGGTTCTTGTACTATGGTTCCTTCCATGCCAGTCTCCACGTGGTAGAGAACGGCCTCTGACTTCCACATGGCAGTGGCCGACGAGACATTCTTGGGCTTGCCGTCACGGATAGCGAGGGTGCAAGTCATACACGGCAACTCCAGAGTAGAACAAAACCGACTGTCAAATCTACAGAAAGACCAAGATAGGGAGGAAAAAATAAAATAAAATGAAATAGATATATCTACACTCATTAACGCCGTAATCCCCAAGATGAAGATGCAGGGACGAGACACTTTTGTGGATCCAACTCATACACATCAAATGACCATGATAATGGCAAACAAGAACGAGAATGACAATGACACCAACACCTCGCATATTGCATGCAAGACTTCCCGAGTCTAGTCATCGTGCTTCCGCTTGAACTTCAAGCCTTTGCCCCCCTTGGGCTGGCTACCGTACGTCCGGCGGCCCTGCTGCTCTTGCTTCTTGTCCCGGCTCAGGCTGGCGCCCAGCGAGATGTCAATCCGGGGTGGAGCGGAGAATCCGAAGCCCTTGGCCACCTTGACGAGGTCCAACTTGTGCACGTCGAAGACGGAACGGAGGGAGTGCGAGGCATAGGCCTGGAGGTACGAGCGGTAACCTTCCTTGGCGGACTATGAGACAAAGTTAGTATATGGCATGGTCTAAAGGTAAAGCGACAAAAATCGTAGCGGAGTCGTACCTTGTTGAGGTAGTAGTTTTGGCCGATGAGCTTCTCCAGCTGAGACTGAACGTTGACAATCTTAGAGCTCGGGAACTCAAACTCAACCACGGGCACACGGGCCTCCTTGAGGTGCTTCAAGAAGCCAACCTCGGAGGGCTGCAGGAACATCAGACTGCGGCCCTTGCCGTTGGCACCACGGGCGGTACGACCGACACGGTGGATGTAGTCGCGGGGGTCATCTGGGGGATCGAACTGGATGATCCAGTCGACAGCGGGGATCTAGAAAAGGGACGGTCAGTTTGAAGTTCAACTTGAGCGAATGGTTGAGGGAAAGACAAACATCAAGGCCACGAGCAGCAACGTCAGTACAGATCAGGGTACCCTGCTTGGCATTGCAGAACTCGAAGAAAGTGTTGGTCCGTTTTTGCTGCTTTTGCTTGCCGTGCAGCTCCAGCACGGGCAGGTCGATGTAGTTGAGGAGCTCCGCATGGTACTTGACACAGTTGCAGCTAGAGAAGAACACAATGATCTTCTTCTTGAGGTTGCGCTTGAGGAACGAGAACAGAAGCAAGAAACGCTTATCAGCTTCACAGAGCACATAGCCCTGCTCCAAACCCTCGACGGTAGAGTGCTCCTTTCGGTGATCGACGTTGATGTAGAGGGGGCCAGGGCGCAGGGAAATACGGGCCAAATCCTCGACCTTGGTAGTTTGCGTGGCAGAGAATAGCATAGTCTGGCGCTCCTCGGTAGGGAGGATCTTCACAATCTGGCGCATCTCGTCCTCGAAACCAACTTCGAGAATACGGTCCGCCTCATCGATGACCAGGGTCTTCAGGTTCTTGAAAACGAAGCCCTGGGTGTTCTGGAGGTGATCGAGCAATCGACCGGGGGTGGCGATCAGCAGGTTGACACCCTTGACTAGCTTCTCGGCCTCGGCACGGCGGTTGGCACCACCGATGACGATACCGTAGGTTTGGGAGTGGTGCGCCATCAACTCACGGGCAACACCGAAGATCTGCAGAGCCAGCTCTCGAGTCGGAGAGACAACGAGAACACCGGTACCGTTTCGAGGCTTGAAGCGCAAAGCGCTGAGCATCTCCACCGCAGGAATCAAGAAGGACAGAGTCTTGCCGGAGCCAGTCTTTGCAGCACCCAAAACATCGCGACCAGCCAGCAGAGGCGGGATAGTACGCTGTTGAATCTCGGTCATTGTCTCGAAGCCCATATCTTGAATACCCTTCATGGTCTTCTCGGAAAGGTTCAACTCGGTGAACTTTTGCAGCTCGCCCTCGGTCTGCGGCAGGCGGACTTGGTCCATGGCAGGGAGATCTTCATCCTTGCCATTGACCTCCTCCACATCGTCCTTGTCGTCATCATTAATATCCTCCTGCTCCTCATTGTCCTCGACATCCTCGGCCTCGTCCGCGCTTTCCTCGTCGTCACTGGGCGAATGGCTCACTTTGCGCTTCTTGGTCGATTTGTCTTTAGCAGGCTTGGCAGGAGAAGCGGCCTTCTTCGCTTTCATTGCAGGGCTCGACTGAGTCTCGACGGGCTTGGAAACCTCCTCATCGTCGGCTCCGGTGCGAGCGCCGTGCTTTCTCTTCCGCTTCTTGGCGATGGAATTTGCGGTGTCCACGGGGCCGGGCATCTTGCACTCGTTGCACAGACAAGCTGTGGATATCAAGTGGAAGGTATAAGATCGGCTCGTGAAATGCTTGGTCAAGTAGGGACCGATCGTAGGTTATGTTTTGATCTCCGTGGGGATATCCTATCACTGCGGAAAATCGGGTTGCTACTTTTTTTTTCTGGCCGGTGAGGCTGGGCAGAATCTCCACATCACGTGTTGATAGCGGGTTTGTCTGTCTTTGGCGGGAAGGCACGAGGGCACCAAGGCATCAAACTATTAAGGCATCAAGGTATTAAGGCATCAAGGGGTGCTTTTGCAGGCCCAAGGTCCAGCCACAGCAAACAGGTATTAACACGATTGTAATGACAGCTCCGCGGGTCTTGATACCTCTGCTCTTGAGCCCTTGCCAAAGTGGGGACTGTGCTATATCACAAGTATCAAAACCCACCTCACAGCCCCAATCGTGTCAGAAATGCTGCAAGAGCTTCTCAGTGGAACACGCACAACCGCTGTCAGCTGCACTGCAAGAGCTTCCAATCTTGAAACAGATGCTGCCTAGATATCGAATCTTGGCTTTTAATATGGGTGGATATTACTGTAGTGAAGCGTCCCTGTAAAACCTAGTACTGCCATACAGAAAATTAGTTCTCGCCAAAAAGCCTATAATGCACATGTACGGGTTTTAACACATCCCAAGGGCTTAGGAGCCCTATTAGCTCATTGAGTATAAATAACAGACTCTGGTACGAAGTACTGTACAAATTGCACTGCATCTGTACTGTATTCGATATAGGTTATAGCGAATACGAATACGCGAAAGATTGGCATTGAATTCCTATCTTCTATTATAGTGATTAATGTTCCAGTTGACCCTGACTAGCTCAAGCGTCGCGGCAATTCATCTAAGCCAACTAAGTCCATGGAAGAATCCGACCTACCTAAGCAGAACATAAGCAGCCCTATTCGACTCCATATTGAATTCATTGTATTTTAAGTCGATGCTTGTTGGGGCCTAAGAGCAACAACGGCCGCCATAAATGATCACCCGTTCATTATCCAATAACAACGGGAGAGTACGAAGGGGCAGTCAACCCAAAAGCAGAAATTTCAAAAGCAGCTCCTAAGTGACGAATCAGAAGGGGATTTGGGCGGGTGTGAAATTAAAGCTGAGTCCCTTGACCAGTCAAAAGCCACCAAAAAAACCCTGATCCAATAATAGCGCGACAGGGCTCCCGAGGTGACACCTCAGGCGTTCTGATTCAGTATCCACGAGTCATGAGGAGCTGGATGATTTCACAGTCGCCCCTCGAGGTTGATCATACATATTCCAGGATATGGCGTGCTGTCTGGACGGGATAACGAGCGGGTTGGTTCACCTCAGAATGCGTACTCAAGCGCGGTGATCTACCCATCGATCAGTGCTCCGCATGATGATCACCAACACACGGGTTATACAGCACTGTTCATCATTGTCATAGACTACTCTGTACACTGTTTGTAAAACATGAAGTACTGCGTTAAAGTCTAAAACAAAGAAATGTGTGTATAAGGCACAAAGCAACCGTGTGCACAAGTGGACTGGAGATCATTCAGCCTCCCGGCGCAAGAATGGAAGCAGCGATATCTGAAACATGGCCGCAGCTTCGGTTCACGCGATATCAAATCTAGCCTCGGACCCACAGCTTTGGTTGAAACATAGAAGAGTAAAACTGCGATATGAGCATTAATATGGAGTATGTACGGAGTACTTTGAAGTATTAAGAACTACAGTTGTAGGAGGAGGATGGAGGCCTGGAATAAGGGTAAGGGTTAGGTGGATCCGGTCGGGAGGCTGTGCAGCGCTAAAGCCCCTGATCTTGATTATGCCCCCCTTCGTCGATCAGCTGCTGCTCCATGCTTGAGACGTTCTGATTCTCATGAAGATTATTAAGTTTTGCCAAAACGTAGTCAAGGGTTTCATGGTCGGATGAGCATTACTGGTCATGCCCCCGTCACTTGGATGCTTTTATATAGGCGACTGGTCATAGGTCATATGTACCGTAGGTCATGAGGTATATCAACACTTTGAAATTTAAGAGAATCATCTGATATGGCTTACACAAGAAGAGGCTCAGTGAAGTATTGAAAATGTACATGATTGTAACGAGAGTCCTCATATTTTTAAATTATACCATGTAGCACTCAACAGAGCATTGTGGCCCCCCTTGCACGGTTCAGGGGTGCGTATACTCTATGTCCTTTTCACAGCAAGAGGGAAAGGCTCGGCATAGCCAGGCAGAAGAGATACAGGTATGTATCTCTGTTGTATGTCAAAATTGGCGCCCACTAGTCATACTAGTTTAGCATACGATAGGGCCACCACTTGACGACCCTGAGCTCCTTAGTACGGAGTACTTTCTTCAAGCCTTACAACCCTTGAAACCTTCTGCCCTTGACCTGGGAACGGTACTGGTCCTCTCTAAGGTTACGATGTGCAAAGAGACTCTCCACCCAACCCTTAGACACCAGTCAACCGTGCGATGCTTCAGACACAACTCCACATCTGGGGGCGACAGTTCCTTTGGTACGAGGGATGAGGTAATCCGGCCTTTGCAGACCCGCTCGAGCCCGCCACGATCCATCAACCGCTTTCGGGGGGGCCCAGAACCTTTCCCGAGGACGCGTGTTCAGGAACGAAAAAGACTGGGCAAAAGGCAGTGATGGGGGGATGAGAAAGGCTGAGCTACACGGCTGACTTATTGGCCTTAGTTCATAGCACATACAGAAACTTTCTTGTGTCTTGTAGATCTCCTTCAAATTTGACGCCGTAGACATCATCGATCACAGGCATCTTTCCCCTTGGGCCCGAGCATCTGTACGTAAGGTTGGTAACCTCGTTACTGTAACTTAGTCAGTCAGCCCTCGAAATAACTCACTACAGTCGACTAGGGAGGACGTGGGCTTGGCTAAACAATGACCGAACGAGAGGTAATATTCAGAGGAAAGTCCTGATTGGACTATATACCGCCGCCCAGGCGTGCCAAGCAAAGCATTCATAAAAAAATGACAATACCATACGCACCTCCCGTTCTCCCAAGACCTCAAAGACCAGACGAACCCAAGGTTGTCCTGGAAGTTTGCTCAGTTTCCAAAAATACCGGTACCACATTCCCATGCCCATTCCCACTTTTGTATTCGACCCGCCCTGTCCCTGAGACACCCACTCGCTCCTCTTCTGACTGGCAGATGCGACTGACTGAACTCCAAAGAGGCAAAACGCTAGCGCCCATCCCCCATTTCTCTACTCCTTCCATCCCCTCGTTCTCCCCTTCGCCTTCATGTTCCTTTCCCTCAGGGAATCAAACCTCCTCACCTAACAATCAACTCCGCTTCTTCTCGGCCATACTGTGTATCGCCATTCCGCTCGCTCTATCCGCCCCTTTAGGCTCGACTAGTACAAGCTACGTACTCCTGCCTCCCGTTTCAACCGTATGCCCGCTTCTCTTTCTTCAACTCCCAACGACCCTTAACTTCTCGAACTCTGGCACGAATTTGCTGCGTCGCCTGTTTCATTGGACTCGTGTCCACCGACTTTCATTCACATTCTCCTTTTCGCAAATCAATACTCCCCGGGCTCTCCTTGAGTACTTGACCCGCTCCGCAACAAACTCCAATGACGCTGCAGTGACCAGCCTCCCCTCGAATCTACGACCACTGTACCAACTCACTCAACAAGCATTGATCGCCGCGACATCCGGCGTCATCTGGAATTCACCGCCGGTCCCACCGTTTCCGCCGAACTATCTCGGCCGTTGACAGGCTGTCCGCATCCGGCGACTGCCAACGTTGTACTCTGGAGTACCGCTCTAAGACTCGTCGTCATACTCTGTCTCTTTCCCAATACTCCTCTTTCCCGGTCGGCTGATCGCTTCATCCGACCTCCTTTCTCTCCGTCAACCTTGACAGCCTATTCGCCAGGATGAGGTTGTTATCACTTCTCACGTTTTTTGTCGCTTTTTTGGCGCCGCTGGCGTCCGCTGTCCAGCTCCTCGAATCCAACGCATTGAATGTGTGCATGGAAAGTAGTAATTTCACTGCGACATATTTCAACGTCGTCTTCTATCCTGGAAACAACTCGCTCACGATCGGTTTCGATGGTGTCTCCTATATCTCCGGCAAGGTCGTGGCCGACATGACCCTGACGGCTTACGGCTACAAGGCTTATTCGAGTACTATTGACCCCTGCTCAATTGAGGGCATGGGTATGTGCCCGATGGCCCCGGGTCCAATTGACTTGGGTCCTGTCTCGCTCTCCCTTCCCGATGGCACGTCTGATAAAGTTCCAGGTGAGTCGCATAGCCTAAAATACTGATAAGAGAATCGTGCTGATCAACCGGAAATCAAAGGCATCGCTTACACCGTTCCCGATCTCGATGCGAACGTGCAGATTGTGATCAAGAAGAAGGACACCGGTGAGAAGATTGCTTGTGTGGAAGCTTCGCTCTCCAATGGCAAGAGTGTGTACCAGTTGGGTGTGGCTTGGGTGACTGCGATCATCTCTGGTTTGGGTCTGGCAGCATCTGCCATCACCTCCGGTCTCGGCCATTCTAACACGGCCGCCCACGTTGCGGCGAACGCGCTCTCTCTTTTCGGCTTCATGCAAGGCCAGGCCATGATTGGCATGATCTCAGTTCACATGCCTCCAATCGTCGAATCGTGGACCCAAAACTTCCAGTGGAGTATGGGTATCATTCACGTTTCTTTCTTGCAAACGATTTGTACCTGGTATCAGCGCGCAACGGGCGGTACTCCCTCGACTGTTCTTTCGCAGCTGGGTGACACCTCCGTGGAAGTTCTCAAGCGTCGCAAGCGTGATTTGATCGACCCTGCGATTAACCTGATGAGGCGAGCTTCAAGTCTCATCTTCAAACGTGATAGCTCGAGCCAAAAGCTCATTGTGGTGCGGGGTATCGAACGTGTCGGATTCCGAGCCAACATTGAAGAGACCAACATCTTCTTGACGGGTCTCATTTTCTTCGTCGTCTTCGTCTGCTTGGTGGTCATCATCGTTGCGTCTTTCAAGGGTATCTGCGAGTTGCTCGTCAAGCATGGCAAGATGAAGAGTGACAAGTTCCAGGACTTCCGGAATGGCTGGAAGGTTGTCACTCGTGGCATTCTCTTCCGTCTCACATTGATCGGTTTCCCCCAAATGACCGTCCTCTGCCTCTGGGAGTTCACTCAGCGTGACTCGGCCGCCGAGGTTGTCCTGGCCGTGGTTATGCTTCTGTCCCTGCTTGTTGCCCTTGGATGGGCCGCTCAAAAGGTTATTCGCCTCGCCAAGCGCTCCGTCACCATGCACAAAAACCCGGCCTACATCTTGTACTCCGATCCTGCGGCCCTGAACAAGTGGGGCTTCTTGTATGTGCAGTACCGCGCCACGGCATACTACTTTGTCGTCCCCTACTTGGCCTACATCTTTGTCAAGGGTATGTTCATCGGTCTCAGCCAGCCTGCCCCGGTTGTTCAGACCGTCGCTTTGGTGATCCTCGAGGCCGCCATGCTGGTCGCTGTATGTGTGATGCGCCCATGGATGGACAAGAAGACCAACGTCTACAATATCTCGATCGCCAGTGTCAACTTCCTCAATTCCATCTTCCTTCTGGTCTTCTCGGATGTTTTCAACCCTCCTGGTATGATGATCGGTGTAATGGGTGTCGTCTTCTTCGTTTACAACGCCGTTTTCGCCCTGGTCCTGCTCGTTCTCGTCCTGATCGCCTCGGTCTACGCCGTTGTGTCCAAGAACCCAGATACCCGCTACCAGCCCATGCGCGACGATCGTGGCTCTTTCATCAAGTCTCAGACCCAGCTGACCACTGAGCTGGACGCTCTCGGTGCTACCGCTCGTGGTGATGTTAAGAATGGCAACGGTTATAACCAAAACCCATTCGATGACGATACCGCCTCCATCTCTAGCGGAACCGGTGTCACCGGTCACCACAACAACAACCTCAATGCTGCCAACAGCGCGCAAAACCTAAATCGTCACCAGGCTCCTCCCTCTCCTGTCGATCCGTCAGTGCCGCTGTTCCCCAGCAATGCCTCGACCCACTCGGCCAGCCGGGGGCCACCCCCTGGCTACGATCAGTACGGCCGATCCGCGTCGCCCGCGCCGCGGAACTACGACAACGCCCCCGTGGGTGCGTCTGCGCTAGCAACAAACTACAGAGCCCAAAACAACGCCAGTCCCTGGCAAAGGGGTGCTGGTTACGACCATTAGACTGGGTGACTTGCCTGCATTGGTTCCTTGATTTTATTTTCCACCTGAGATGAAGATATGTGATTTTTTAGCGTGGGACAGCGATGGTCTATGATCCTTTACCATCCGCCATCCTTTTGGGTCCGGTATCTATTTGAATTTTGAATCTCTGTCTAACTGCGCTTTATATCGTCGCCCATCCGTGGCCCGCCCCCTGTTTTCGACTACACCATTTCTCCTTGTTTCTCTCTTCTGTTCTCCGGTCCATTGTCTACCGGCAGTGTGATTGTCTTTTTTTTACCTACTCTACCCTTATCCCTTCCCTGCAACTTTTTTGTCTCCTCTGTCTCAAAACTACTCGATTCCTTCATCCTCCTCTTGACACGGGGCGTAACCTCGCGAGATCTACGCGTACCCAACCTTTGTTTTTCTCCTTTCGTCTTTGCTCAACCTGGCGTTCTGATGCATCTTGGTTATGGAGATCTGGCCTTGGGTTTCTCGTGGGCTTCGGGACATATATTACTTTCCTCGTTTTTCCTTTCGTCCCGTTTTTCTGATTCTCGAAATATCTGGATTTATCGCGTGACATGTACGCTACGTACTCGGGGAAAACAAAGTAGTCCTAGTGTCTAAAAGACGAGACGTATCTGTCTCGCATCTCGCGCAATCTAAAGTTTTCCTCACGTTTTACTAGCTATTTCATACTCGCAGATAAGTAAGATAGATTTGCAGAAGGATTGATTGTAAGTAGAATGGCATGTTCGCCCGAACGCCGTGTTTTATTCGTTTACGCATTCTGTCCTTGAACCAGATGGCTGCCCAAAGAAACATCATTTCTAAGCAGCCATCTCAAGAAGATCTGGACTTGAGATCGAGAAAAACCAGAAGACGCTATTATACAGAACTAGTGCAGAAAGACCCCCCTGCAAGCTGGAAAAGGAGTATTTGGCTTTTTGGCGAATACTTCTAACCCTCAGCTGGCGAGGAGTATCACAGCATCTTCCCGAAAACACAACGTGATCATGACTGAGACCAGGTATTCAACCGACGAAAAAGGAAATGAAAATGAAAACAGCAAAACACCTTAGAATGAATTTACCACCGATCTCCCCGGCCAGGAGGAGGATAGGCATCCGAGCCTCGCGGTCCACTAGGAATAGACGGATCCGGCGCACCATGCTGTAAAGGCATTGGAGGGGGGAACCCACCTGCAGCACCTGGCGGGGGGATAGGGAAATTCGGGAATCCACCTGGCGGGGGTGGAGGCAGGTTGCCCGCGCCGGGGGGCATGTTGGGCATGTTAGGGAGTGGTGGAGGGAAACCGCCTTGGGGCGGGGTGCCGGAGGCGTTAGGCGGGAAGGGCGGGAAGGGCATGCCACGGCCACCGGGGAGGACTGTCCAGAGGTATAGTGGGTTAGCAGATGGTGAATTGGGAGAGGGATATGCAGGTGGAGGTGGGTGTGGACGTTGATCCTGGGGTAGTCCTTGGGGGTACGTACGAGGCGGCATTCCGGGGGCGCCTGGGGCTCCGGGGGGTGGGATACCGAAAGGTGGAGGGGGGACTTGGCCTGGATGTCCTAGGCAGACGAAATTGTTAGATTTTGATGTTTGTGGTACGGATATCGGGGAAGTGCGAAGTACCTGGGAACCCGAATGGAGGCGGGAATGCGCCGGGAGGGACCATTGCGGGATTGGGAACGGCCTTGCCCTCTGCGGCGTAGGAGGAGGTGATGGAGTCAATGACTGATTGAGCCTTCTCTTGACCGATCTCTGGACAGGTTATCAGCGTTGTTCGCAAGGTCTGGAAGGGGCCTGGGGTGTTGAAGAGGGCGGACATACGCTGATAGTATTCCACCACATTGCGGAGGTGGTTGCGGCCGGAGTTATGCGCCTTGCGCACGCTCATGGAGTCGTGCGTGAGGTACACATCGCAGTAGTCGCCTATCATAGTATTCAAATGTCAGCTGGCAAGTCGTAAATTTGGCAATCGGTGTGGTGGTCGTCGATATCAAAGGTGCTTTATCGCAATGCCGCGTTCGGGTCGAAATCGCGAGTCATGCACGGGGGTAACCGCGGGAGTTGGGGCCTATGATGAACCTACAGAAGAGTTCACGGAAGATCAGCAATTGGATCAGAGTTGTATAGAGGCAGAGAGGACTTATATTTCGGCATCTTGCCAGCTTCTGCAAGCGCTCAGCTGCAGTCGCGAAATGGACGAAAATTCCCGTTCGGGGTCTTTGTCTCTCCGCAAAGGACTTGGAGAATGTTCTTGATCGAAACCCTGCTCTCGGATGGGATAATATTCGTAATGGTCCCTGCAACAGCCCGAGACGTGGTGAGTCAGGATTAAATCGAAGAAGTTGTGTTCCAAGGTCGTCTCCAAGCTTCAACGGCGAGGGTCTCCTAGGCGGTGTGTGGGTGCAGAATGCGGCTTATCGCGCCCGCTCGGAAGGTTGATCGCAAACTATTCGTTAAACTTGTGCGGGCAAAGGTTGCTTCGATCAGTTCTCATTCTAGCAAACTTTAATAAAGTCTACCTGTGTATTCCATAAGAAGTCGGGTTTTGTGCCCTGCTTGCTCCATATTGCCTATCGTGTTGCCTGTTCTGTCAAATTGTCATCTCACACCTACGACTTTGGCGCATATCACCCCGAAATATATCGTCAGGGGTGCTGGAAGTGTCCTGAACAAGGTTCTGAAGTTAAAGCTAAACCAGATTGGTAATTGCTGGCTTAAGAGCATTGGAATATGTAGTGTAACGCCGAATCGAGGGACGTTGTCGCTCATAAGGGGAAGCGAAGACGGCCACCTGAGCTATTCAGTACATCTTCTTGCAAAGGCGAGCTAGGGAATAGAAGCATCATTATGATGATTGAGACTGGGGTGATTTCGCTTTTCAGCTTTACATATGGACGATGATCCGGACGTGGCTGATAGAAAGCTGGGGTCATATTCCTAACATACTGCCACCGACTCCATAACCTCCCTATCGCGCAGGGAGCATAACAATTCAAGTAATGGACTCATCCATGGGGCAGAGCGATCGGGAGGTTGAGAGGGGAGTCTACTTCCGATCACTTCCTATAAATCCCTGGATCTGCAGACATACCTTATTAGCTTTGACAACTGTTGTTTCTTACTATAATCACATCGCCATACTCCTAGATCGCTGTGGCCTTCTTCACATTCCAGTCGATGCTCGCTCCAGGAGTTCCAAGTATGACACTTGTAAGTGGTCGGTCCTCAAAATGACATATCCCAATTCACCGCGTGACCGAGTGACCAGTAACCAGTCGCAGCGCCGAAGATCCCTGTCGAATCTTGCGGTGAGACGTGAACCTGTGCCAATATGCTGCGCCCCGATTGAGCCTCACCCTTCTAAGCCCCGTGGCTGATTAGCTCGAGGGCACCCAACGCGCTGGGACTCCTGGACCTAGAAAATCTCATCAAGTCTCGCAGTCCGATCCGAATCAAATACACTGGGAGCTCACTTGACAATGGATCCGTTACCGGGCCATAGTGAGACGCATCTGGCAAAACGAGTTTGGGAACAGCTCAATACTCCCCCTGCCACTGTGCACTCAGATCTCAATCCCAAGCGACGGTGTACAGAGAACCCATGGATGACCCCTGGGATTTCTCCGTCAAGTAATCAGCTTTGGAATGATAATTGGCCCTTGACTGCAGACGATGGCGGAGATACGCATGAAAGCCTGCAGCCCATTGGAGAAGTTGAGTCTATGTTTTCTACTGGGTTCCTCGCGAGTGCATTGCGAGACACGCCTTCACTGAACCCCGTCGAACAGTCCACCACACTCTGGCATCCATTGCCAGGCACCGGGGACAATGAACACGACTTGTTCACGCCCAATTCGGAGTACAATGACTCATGTCTACAAGTCGAGCAGACTGCCACTCCAACAGTCTCTATAGAAGAGGATTCACAACTATCTCAGACCAATTCCAACCGTTCCTACATGTTTGCTTTGGGATGGTGAGTCGTCTTTCCGTTTTTCAAGAAAACAGAATTGCCATTAAATCTCACACATTCGTGCAGGTGATACTCCAAGCATCTTGTCACAGTCTACCGAAGGGATCTGACGACTCTATCCCTGTGGACGTGCATGTTGGAGGGGATCTCTTGAAGCTTTCCGGTGGTTCTCCAAAACACAATGTCGGTCTTTTGCATTCGGAAGCCCTGGGAAAGCTTGCTCGTGATTGTAAAGTCACATTGTCTGCCAGATGCGAGAGGCCAAAAGAGGAGAAAGGGTTGAGGGTGACACTTGGCTATAAAGATACGGCAGTCAAGATCGTGATTTATGGTCTCTTGAGTGAGATTGACCTGGTGAACGGCATTCTTTCCGATGGCGATCTATTTCTCCAGCATCCAACGCAAGGCGATGCATCTGTCCCGTATCAAAACCCTCAGTTCTTGGTGGCCCCAGGAGGAGAAATGCCTTTGATTGAAGAAGTAAACGCTGGAAACGTGTCACAACAAGCAGAGCTAGATCAAGTTTTGGATGAACCATGGCCTAGTGAAGTCTTCCAGGCCTTTGATAATGTTGATGGCCCTGTCACCTTCGCGGCGGTTGAGCAAAGTCCGCGTTTACAGACGAAGCTTAAAGAGTAGGTGTATTGCCTTCTAAAAGCTCTATGTGCTAACATATTGATAGGTATCAAATCAAAGCACTTTCAATGATGACCGAAAGAGAGCGTGGCGTTTTTGAAGGGGCACATTTTCCTCTTCTCTGGGAGGTTTCACGAGCTCCTGCCGGTAATGTTGAGTATGATTCCCACATGTATATCTTCGGCTCTGGATAACATCCCACTGACTTTCTTCTGCAGGTACCGTCACATTATTACTCGGATGACATCAGACGTTCCACCCCAGCCTCTTCTTGGAGGCATATTGGCTGATGTAAGTTATCAGCACAAATTTCTCAATTAATCAATAGCCTTTGCTTACCAAGAAAAGGCGATGGGCCTTGGCAAAACACTGAGTGTACTCGCCCTCATCGCTTGGTACCTTGACAGCCCATCTCGAGGCAGCTTTTCGCCTCGCACAACTCTTGTTATTACCACTACTTCAAGTGAGCATCCTGCATTGCTTTGTGTAATTTTCTCTAACACGTTAACAGCTATTCCCGGATGGGAGCAACAAATCTCGAAGTAAAACAGTAAGATCTAAGTGGCTTTTCGATCGAGAACTAATGCAGACATCAGGCATTTTCGGCCGGGACAGATCAGAACGGCTGTTTTCCATGGACCAACCAGGCATAAATTGGCGTCAAACTTAACGAGTAACGACATCGTTTTGACGACATATGAAACTTTGCGCAGTGAATGGTCAGCATCTCGATTAAACAGCATTTTGTATCAAAACCACGGCGGCTGGGCACGTATAGTTCTTGACGAAGGTATTCTCCGCTCAATGAGAGAGCAAATGTTTGGGTTAACTTGCTCACGTTTTTCGAAATAGCCCATCACATTCGGAATCGGTCCTCACAGATCTTCCAAGCGACATGTGACCCTCGGGCGAGAAATCGTTGGTGTCTTACTGGAACTCCAATTCACAACACAGTGGACGACTACGCAGCTTTGCTAGCATTCATCAAAGTGTTTCCATTTACCGGCTCCAGTGGAAAATTGGCGTTTGCGCATTGGATCGATTACCCACTACGCTCCCATGATAAGCATGAAATTGGAATTCGCCGTCTAAGAAAACTCATCGCTGCAACTTGTTTAAGACGTACTAAGGACCATGTGCAAGATCAGCTGCAGTTACCATCACGCATTGAAAAGGTGCATCACATTGATTTGTCACATGAGGAGCGCAAAGTGTATGACTTCTTCAAGTTTCGAGCGTCTTTTCTCGTGGGAAAGTTAGGCCAGAAATCGCAGATGGATAAAACATCCTGGAAAACTATGTTGTCTATCATTGGATTTCTGAGGTCAATTTGCAACCACGGAAGACAGCTTTTACCACAAACTGCGCTAGAAATGTACGACAAGCAAAATACCCTCACGGTCGACCCAGTTTCAAAACCTACGACGCCGTCCGAAGTATCGCTATCCCCTCCCGGAATATCGATTGATCTTTTCACAAGCTCTCCAGAATCGCCCACAGGCTGTTATAAATGGGGATGGGTTGGTTATCAGCCTTCATCAAAAATCAACGCATTGATAGGGAACATTAAGAGCGAGCAACTAGGGAACAAGTCAACGTCTGATGAATTTCCCATAAAGAGGTAAATTCTTGACCATAAAAAATTAGATACTGTCTAACTGATATGTGAATACAGCGTCATATTCAGTGTCTGGACCAAAATGCTTGATCTCATTGAGATTGCCTTGAGAGAAAATGATATCTCTTTCCAACGAATTGATGGCAAAGCATCAGTTGGACATCGATCTCTTGCCCTAAAGAGGTTCAATGAAGATTTGACTTGTACAGTCATGCTTGCTAGCATCGGAGCGGTTGCAGAAGGGTGCGTTATCAACAAAAGATTCCGCTTGATGGCTCTGAAAGCTAACCGTACTGAGATTTTCAGTGTCGACCTCACCATCGCAAGCAGTGTTCATCTCGTTGAACCCCAGTGGAATCCTATGGTAGAAGCCCAAGCCGTCGACCGAGTACATCGCATTGGCCAATACCGAAATGTGACAATCACTCGCTATTTCGTTACAGAGTCTATTGAAAATGTGAGACACCAATTATTGCGCTTAGTCTATACTAATTCTTCATCTATCTGTATTAACATTCTTTCCTTTAGTACGTCAAAGATATTCAAGAAAGTAAGCTGAGATTGGTCCAACAATCATTCGGTGATGCCAATTCAGATCAGGAGAAGCTTAAAGAGGCAAGTCTACAGGTGAGTATCCTGATCAGAATGTTACTGAAGTGATACCCAGGTAAGGGGATACTGACTGCTTTCAAGAAATTGTCTCTACTGCTAGCATGAATTCATTTAATGAATGTTACAACAGGCGTGAGCTGGAAGAAAGTTAAATAGTCGCTTTGTGAAACCGATAGTGGTTGCGAGACATTAAGCAATGCAAGGAAGTTAGACTCCAATTCAGCTTCAATGCGGTCAATTACGAGTCGACAGGACGGTTGTCATCGGCTTGTAAATTCTTTGATCGCTTCGCCGCTGCCCATTCAACAAGCTCGGTCCAGCTGATCTGTAGCCATTTCGAAATTTGCCTGGCTCCGACCTCCATGCCCACAAATGTAGGTTCACTGTGCTTCGTTCGTCGATGATAAAATGCTTTCTGCGTTCGTTGATAATAAGATGCATTCGGATCTGCACCTACAAGAAGCAGAATTTTCATCAGCTCGGCTGCGTCTTTTGTGGTCTTGCTCGCTGCTGCTAACAGTGGGGTCTTTATAAGTTCCCTTCCTGAGAATTTCCTGGTCCTGTAATCTACATCCGCTCCATGTTTGAGCAATATGCGTGCTATTGAAGGAGCGCAAGTCGTTGAGGCTATAATTTTCAACACAGCGCTTAGCTGAAACGGTGAGAAACGGCCGCGAGAAGCTTCTGCTTCCAATAGATCTGCAAAGCGCTCTTGAATAGTAGGCTTCGTCAAAAATCTAACAAGCCATTCTTTAATAAGCCAGTCAGAGTTCCATTCACGTGCTTGCTTTTTCCATATATTGAAGATACGCGAAGAGTCTGAACTCGCACCGAGTCGCATGTAGGTCCTCAGATCATTACTGTTATCTTTATCGGTCACAGCGATTCTTGGAGCGAGGTACTCTAGCACTTCGATATTTTTGCCCATAATTGCCTCAGAAGCATATGAGCGAATAAAGGATTGTTGATCCACGCCCATGTATTGAAAATTGCGTTGCTCCCAGGGATATCGAAAAATCTCCAATTTTCCGCAGAATTCTGATTCTCTCGCAAGCGTAGACAACATGGGATCTGAAATTAGGTTCAAGCATCGTGGCAGGAGTGCCTTCAATTCGGCCGTCATTCCCATCGCGATGATATCCGAGATCAGAGGCACGATCTCATCCTGTTCTGGAGATTGCACCATCTGGATAGCCTTCAGAGGGGCATTCAGATGACAAACGCTCTTGTGATTTTGAAGTTGACTCCGGGATGCGAACCCCATTGTTGAAAAATCACAAGATGGATGAGGACACTTATACACCCGGGTGTGATATCGACAATGTGTATCACGATCCACTCTAGACACGAACGGCATTTGAAGAGGCTGACAGATTGCATAATGGCATCTGAAGAGGCGTTCACCATACAGCTTCTTCAATTTGGTGCAATTGCAGCTTGCCTTATGGGGTCCCTTCGGACAGAGGAGGCCTTCGAAAGTCTCATGTATGAGCATTGAGACGAATGACAGGTAGAAAGGATCCAAATTGGTCCACGAGTTAACTTTCCGAGTATGGGTGGTTAGTGATATCCACTTGAATCTCTAGATGTGTGGATCAATTCATTCAAAGTACCTTCATTGTTATCCTCCAACTTCCAGTCACCCACATCCATCCGCTGAAAATGAAGCTCTTGGATGAGAAGTTCGTGTATTGCCGGTTCCGTGTGTTTCAAGGCGGATAATTCTGATTGAGTTGTCAGATCCACTTTACGCTCAAAATTTCCGTTTTCACATTCGTGGGCAAATCGTCTCAGCGCAAGGAGTAGGGACTCTGGGAAATCGCAGCTGCCCAGCAGTCTTTCGCACTCTTGAAGCAATACTATCCATTGAGTTGTCGCGAACCAGTGTAATCAATATCACCCGGTCAATATATTTCTCTCGATCATTTCAGGCTCGATTTCAACGTCAAAAATGTCGGATGATAAGTAGTGAAGACAAGCCTTGGTCATCTCAATTTTCGGTTCCAATGCGGTAAGAAATGCTTCCTTCTTCTTTTCAAAGAGGTACCTGAGTGACTCCGAGCTTAGTAATATCCTTCTATGTAATAGCGACGTACGGGCTTACTCCTTGACTGTGAAGTGTACAAAGTTGACATAACCGTTTCAAACTTCAACAATAGGCCCGCAGAGCCCAACAACGTTTAGAACGCCCTCTGATCGGGGCAGGCCTCTCTTGCCATCGGGATCGAGGCTTAGGGCAAAGCTAAGCTCTTCCACAGTGAGTGAGACTGGTGTGCACCCTATCCATCCTAAGGCGCGTCGACAGATTGCGCCCGATGACGGTGATAAATTGTTCAGGCGGTCAAGAACCCTAGAATATCTTTGATCAAGACTAAGACTGCAGTTCGATAGTCTGTCTAGAGACAAGAGACGTACGCTTCGTCTAGATTCTCCGGGAGAACCGTGAGCTCATCTTTGACCATGTCGAAAGTGTAACACATCTGAACCACATTGTCCATGACGACTCTCGCGTAGAGAAACATGCCTGAGCGTGTTAGCCCGCAATCGCAAATATGACTAGTGTTGATGCTCAGCAATACCTCTGGCTTTAGTTGAAAGGGGACTCAGTAAGGTTCTAATCTCGTCACAAGCCTTTTGGTCAAATTGTGACTGGCTAAGCCATTTATCACTTGTGACCGTAACGTATGCGTGGATACATCCGCTGTTCTTCTCGTCGACGCGAATCTCTTTGACAGATGCTTTCTTAAGAGTCCCGCCAATTTCTTCTTGTGCTCTGCTGCTGATGAAGAGTTTCACTTCAGTGGAGTCCTCTAGTACCTTCAAAAGCTCATTCAGAATATCCACCATGTATTCACTTTTGGAGACTTCATCTAGCCCGTCGAGAACAATGAAGACCGGCCCGACACATTTGAGTAACTCCGTTAAGGTTTCGCGGGCAAATTGAGTGTTACTCTTCAAATTCCGCTGACTCGAGCGAAATTTGTGGGAGATTTTAGCACGTAGATCTCTTTTGAGCGAGTCATCAATCTGGTCATCTCCAATGGCAAGTTGGAACATGAGGGAATGTATGATCGAGACCGGTGTCGCCTCATTCTGTTTGTAGTTCAAAAATGCAAAGAGCACAGTCTTGGAGGATTGTCTTAGCTTTTCCACCATCATAGAGGCGATGTGAGTTTTCCCCGCACCAGGGATACCTTGCATCCAGAGAACTCTTGTGGCGGCATTACTCGCATCCATCCACTCTTTCAGGGCTTCTTCTCGTTGAAGCCACCGGCCGGTTCTCTCGCATATTCTTCTTTGAAGCTTATCAAGCTCATCATCGTACAGAATTGGTGAAATGTAGGTATACACACCGTTGAAGTCTTGCATCTCCTGAAATTCGAAGGTCCGTTGCCAATTATTCATATCGGCAACTCGAGCCGCATGCGCTTCGGTGATGTTTGCCAAAGTGACCTCCTCCGTCATTAATAGTGAATGTCGTTCGATGCTGCTGACGACAAGGTTGATCTTTGCTTTGTACCTTGGCCATACCGAATCGAAAACGATGGTCCAACCTAGAGAAACTTAGTAACACGAAGCAATTACGGGGGAGGAATCCAGACGTTTTGCTGAAAAGAAATTCAACATGATCTCGTAAAAGTCCAAAATGTCTTTGTAAAATAACGACAGTATATCAAGAACCCGATCGCTCGCCTCGAAAATATTGGTATAGGCCTCGAAAAGAGGCAGCTTGTTACCGATACCAGTCATCGCTTCCACGATAGCATCAAAAGACTGCGTCAAGTTATCCGCCATCTGTAGAAGGAGCTTGATGGGCCCCCATATGAGTGCCAGAATATCGGGCTTGGCTTGAATGAATACTTCGATGACGCCGGCATATTGCTTCAGTCGTTCTAAGTATGGCTCGATCTTGCGAAGATGCCGCAAACCTTGGCGTTTACTCTGGTCATTCTGGAGCTGAGCAGTGAAAGCGTAAATTTCATCGATTGACTTGACGTTGGATATACTGTTGAAAAGGGATGGGTCTTTGAGAGAAGCCAAAAATTCTTGCTTCGCGTTTTGGAACGCACCAGCCAGACGGGGTGCGGCTTGAGAAGTCATAGTACGTATCAGAGACAGTCTCTCATGAGAAGAGGGTTATCAGCTTCGTGCTGAGATGCTTGGAGCCTCCGTTCTTAATAAAGTCACTGAGCGCTTAATGACTAGGCACCATTGCATATACTCCTAAAAAATGATTGGTGCGGGCAGGCCAGTGATTCCCTCAAGGCTGACATGTCTGCGAACCGTCAGTCCTGATCAGCCTTGGGCAAGTAAGAGTTTTACAAGGCCAGATAAGACAGGAAAATTTCTCTATCACAAAAGCATATCATAGCCGGGATAAGATCAAACAAGCCAATCGGTCTATGTAATAAAGTAAGCGATCAGCTTGCTGAACTTACCGCTCCTTGAGCCGCATCCCCAGGGCGGCCGGCTGACTAAGTCACACTATGGGCCTGGAGCACATCTCTTAGCTTCGAGGCAGCCATCACCAGGATACTACAGGCCTGCACAGATATCAGTCGTTCCATCTACAACGACTTTTATATCCATACGGGCTTTATGCTAACTGTATTGCGGCTCGCTCTGCCCGACATGTGTCACCATGAATGCCCTTCCTACGGGCTGATGGGACCACCTCGGGCCAGCCAAGAGTGTCTGTTGAAGTAACCGAGCTTGGCAAATGTGACAGAGAGAAAATAGTATGAACTCGTATCTAAAAAGGACAGCAGTTACAAGGTTGGAAAAGGGTGGAAGTCTGTAAGAGTGCGGGCGGCGCGTAAGTCACCATGAATGACTTCGCTGTATCAAACCGTTACTGCTTTCAAAAGTGATTGGTGACAGTGATGATGATCACTCTCCCAGCCTAAAAACAGCCTAGCTAGTTGGTTTTGACTTGATGGTGATCTGTAAGCCCCCAAGATCTTCGATAAAGTCAGCAAATAGTGGCAAAGTTCATATTTGTACACGGAGACAGTAACTTGCCTTCTAATCCACAACGAATGTCACAAAGTATCAAGGCATTAGGAATTTTTAGGAGGTCGATGTTTCCAACAGGTCTGTCTCATCGATCACAGAAGTATCGGAACGTGGAAGGACAACTGAAGTAGGACAGAAGTGAGCCGAGCATAACGACAGATCTTACATTCTAGCAGGCCTGAGCGTTCTGGCTTAGGCCCTCATAGCTATTAGGCCTCCAGCAGGAAAGGAACAAAACAATAGATCCAATATACTGCTCGAAGATATCGAAATACCTGAGTGGCATGCTTGATAAATTTGGAATCTTCCAAAATCACGACCTGATGTCCTAATCCAACCCCGAACTAACTATAGTCAACTAAAATAATGAGTCAATTAGTCAATCCCAAGATATCCCTCAAAAAGTAGTGTACCCCCCAGCCCCATTCCCAACAATGAACGACACCCTTGCACAGAGTCCGATAGATTGGAAATTCACAGAGCTTGGCCCCAAACTCGAGCCATGAGCCATGTCCCACGACAGACAGCACCTGCAGCGCAACGGAGCTGCAAAAGCAAGAATACTGGTATCTACATATCTGCTCAATAGACCAGAGTACATCAGTCTACAACGAGGTCTAAAAATCACGCAAGAGTACCAGCAATGTCAAAGCTGAATGCAATCGAGCACATCATTGTACCCAAAGTAATATTTACAGCTTCTCCCTATCCCATCATCTTGCGTCATCGGTATCGACTCTACCCGGCAGGTAGCCGGTCCAGCGTCATCGGCAGGTCTACCGGCGGTCTCGACCTGCATACGAGGGATTTTGATGTGTCATGATGCTTCGGTATTAGATAATAACGTGGGAGGTGCGTTGGCCTTGGTTCCTGGCATGGACCCACTGCATGGCTCTCGATTGGAATCTGGATGAGGCGAGGATTGGGGAATTCTGATGTGCTGTGTGGGATGGAGGGTTGGGGAATGTCATTACGAGATAGGTATACTGCATTAGAGAGTACGTGTTAGATGTGGAGGGTGATGTTTGCGGTTCATTCCGCACTTCAATTTTGGGGAGGAGGTCCCGAGGTATAGGGTGCATATAGCGGATAGTAGTAGTGACTGAGGGGAGCGTTGGGGTAGAGTCTAATTTATTCTTCAAGATTCTAAAATCTAAAATAACGTTGGGAATGCTCCCCTCTAGTCTCAAACCTGCGCTAGAGAGTTGACCAGGGGGGGGGGGGGGAAATAGAATCCTGGATCTGGGATCTGGAATCTGGGGAATCTGGAGATGGAGGTGAAACTCTTTAGAACGTTGCCAACATTCAAGTTCTAGAAAACAAGCCACCTGACTCAAAGTGTCATTCACTAGTCAGTCAGTCAGCCATTTTTCGCAAACCATAGTTCAATTATGGTGGGAATCATTTCCTCGGCTGCGGGGACCGACAAAATTGGAGACGGCGGCCGCGCGCGGGGAACTCCGAGGCAAAACTGCTGGTGCCACCGCAAGTTGCAACACGCCGCCTCTGCGAAATGAATGAAAAACCTGTCTTTGATGGGCATCACGGGGCCTGCAAGCGGCCTAGTTTAGGCGCAAGCGTGATCAATGTTCAAGGGAGAAGGACAAATAATCCGCAGGGCGATCATTGTATAATCTCTCTCTAGATTGGGTTGGGTTTCCCTTTACAGAGTAAGCATATCGAGACCCAACGAACACAGCAAGTCCTGTCGGAGTCTGGGGAAAGAGGAAAATCTGGGGAAAAAGGCCATAGGCAAAGCAAAGAAGCCATGCACGGCCTGCCATCGAGTGGTGATTGGTTCAAAGGACCGGCCTCGGATCTGTCGGCCATTCAGCAGGTCCAAGTCCCATGAGCTAGCAAATTTTTTTCTTCTGTTGCTTTTTACGGGTGCGTTCCGTCATGTTTTCCCCACTAGAGGACTTGATCTGGGGAGCGCCATCCCCCTTTAGGGTAATTCGATCCAGAGTTTTACTTTTCTTCTGGTCCAGGGGTGATTGCGGAGCCACAGCTATTACGGTAGGATCTCCTGCCGGTATTTGCAATTATTGGGAATTGCAAGGAGGCAACAGGAGAATGGCTCGGCGTTTCTGGGCACTGATCTCGGCACAGGGCTAGGGAATGGAATATTGAACTGCCAAGTCACGATGTACAAAGTAGACACTAGACAAGGGGGTCAGGAGGGGTGCGTGAATTTGCGACGCGGATGATCTCCTTGGCCTCTCAGGTACCGGCGTGAACTAATGCTGTAGGCCCTAGACCCGATCGACCGAGTGGTGCGAGGGGGAGGAAATATCCCGCAGCGTGTTCAGGGCTGATCCAGTGCGATGGGGTCATCGTGCTTTGGAGAGTGGATCCTCTGAAAATACAATCGACCCACTTCTTTTTGTATAGGGCCTTGTATACTATACAATTGGCGACGATAGTTTGGGGTACACCGTAGGAATCCATGGAATGTACGGAGAACAGGGAATTGCGATGCGACAGAAACCATGCGGACGGATGGAATTGCCTCATTGCTTGTGTCGTAGCACGACAGAGAGACCACGTACGTCCTCGATTATGTGCTCAGATGTCGCAAGACAACGCGGTTGAGCATCTCCATGAAACTTAGTGGATGACTGGATTGTCCGCGGCCGGCCCGGGATGATGCAATATGGCCGGTAGCACTCTCAACCAGTCATTTGAGGGGTCACACGGGGTCCTCAGGGCTGCTGTATATGGCGACATTACCATCATCGTGGCCTGTGTCTTGGGGGGGGGCCAATAATGGGGGCATGGGGCATAAACTATTGTCGAATGCCGGGAAGCGCTTCAGCACACCTGACGTGAGAGAGCGCCAGAGTGTCGAGCTGAGCCACGAGGGCGCGAGGGATGCGGTGAACGGTGTTTGTACTGTAATACGGCCAGCGTGGTGAACGAGTCTGGACACGATGTGCGTGGTTTTTTGAGGGTTTCTTGGGGGTAATGAAAACCTCGTTAGCGGCCACGAACCCGCCGGCCATCCCTGTTTTTAGACGCCGTACACGATGATTGGCGGGCCCGCCCATTTCCATTACGTGAAGACGGGGCCTTAATGGGGGGGGAGCGGAGTCAGATGACCACGCCCATGACGGCGTTGCTGGGTTGGGAAATTTGGGAAGATTAAAGCAGCGAGGGAGAGCGGGTAGAGAATTGCACAGAAGCGGACGATTGTGGAGTCGGAGATTCAACCAGTCAGGGTCAGGTGGGCGCCCACACGGCCACTCGCCGCCTCTGATTTTCTGGCAGCTTCGACGGACACCCCGTTGCTGAGGCACCCAGCTAGCTGACTCATCACCTGTCCTTCCCAAAACGGCCGGAAGCTCTTGCCATTTTACTCGCATGACGCCAGCCGTGAAAATTCTTTTGGTAGAGAAAAAAATAGAAAAGAAAAAAAAAAAAAAAAAAAACTCGAAAAAAACCCCACAGCCAGGCGAGCCCCACCAGAAAGCAGCGTGTGACCCGTGGCTGTCGTGCCTGGCCACAACTCACAATGGCCTGCGAGACCTGAATGACTCCATGGCCCCTCTCATCTATAAAACTGTAGTCTCCCCGCCATGATCCACGATAGGCTCCATAATCTGAATCTGCAAATTTTTTCTCGCTTCACTCGAGTGTACTTCACTACACCTGCTCTGCAATTCCAATCTTGCTTCCTGCATATGGACTTGATCTCGCTATAGTTGCGCCGCAGCTACATACTTCCCAGATACAGATCGCTCAGAACTGAAACAACCAACACACACACAACCATCATCATGCCTTCCGCAAGGACATCAAGTTACTGCGTGATCGAGCCGCACCCCTCGGTGCCTCACACCACTCGCCCTGCTGTTTACACTGGCCGTGGAGGCAGTGGCAACGTCATCAGCCTCAAGAATACCAAGACTACCGATTCTCGAACTGCCACCGGTCCAGCTTCGTTGACGCGCCTCGACTCGCGCACGCCCACCACTTTCACCTCCGGCCGTGGCGGTGCCGGCAACGTTCACAGCAGCAGCGAGCGTGCCATCTTCAGCTTCGATGAGGAACTCGAACGTGACCTCCGTCGCGCAGCTCCCGTCTACCACGTTGGCCGTGGCGGTGCTGGCAACATGATCTACCGCGACGACGCCTCCAATTGCAGCCTCAGCCGCAAGTACTCTTCCACCAGCACCAACACCGCCAGCAGCACGGGGTCCGTGGCTGATCGTGCGCGCGACATGGCTCGCCGTGGCCTCGAGAAGGGCTGGGGCAAGCTCAAGGGTACCGCCTAGATGGAGGGACCGCGCCTTGATCATTCTTGACGATTACACGATATTCATGACCAACAACCAAAAAAAGTTTTTGCTTTCGCCGCATTCGGCCTTTTTTCTTTCAATCAACCTATCGCCTTCGTTTTTAATCACGCGGATCGGACAGTTCTTTCAAAGAACTGGCAACTTCGGGGACGATTTGGGATAATGGCTCTTCAACAAAGACCATATCGGCGGATTCTATTTTCAACAACCCGTTTCTCTATTTCTCAACGTCTACCTTTTTTTGCCCATCACATGTCGCCCGATACCCCTGTTCCCGCGACGGTTCAAGCCGCATGTTCTGTTTCTTTTCTTATTGTGCACTTCCTTCCAAGGAAGTTTTTTTATGTCCTGTTCTGCAAATCTTGATTTGCGCGAAAGACTCCTCACTCTCCATGCAAACATTCTTCCCGAACCACTCATAGGATCGGCGTTTTTTCTTGGCTGCTATCTCCCTAATTCCCCGGGCTTGTCACTGCTAAACTGGTAGAGGCTTGCTTTGATTACATCCTTGCATATGCTAGGTTGCGGGCACTTTTTCTTTTGTTTCCTTGCCGGATTGCGCGATTTGAGGGCATTTGCTTTTCCTAGTTTACACCTCATTCGCTTTTGGCATTGGTCTACTGGAGTCCAAATGTGTATTAGCCTTTCGAGTGCTTTGCGTGTTTTCAAGCGAACCGCATTCTTATCTCCTACTCTTTGTTTCAACAATATTCCCCCCAATCGCGTCACAGCTACTACTTCCTAGCTCTGGACTCAACAATGAATATCCAAGCCCTCTTGAGGCTATTGTTCTTTGACATCGAAAATTTGTTTCAATTCTTTGTTCTAGTACATTCTAGTAGATGAGTCGAGATTCATCGTAGGTTCGTGCTTACCACTGTACAGGAGTGTGTCGCGACACGTTCTTTGTTGGGTGGATCCACCCGATGGCGACATTGACAGTCGGCCCGGACGGATGTGGTGGCACTGGGCCAGCGTCACCGTCACAGCCGGGGATAGGCGAGGACAACCGTTTGTCGCCTCTTTTTGACTCACGTTTAGGATCATGCGTGGACTTGAAAATTTTTTTTCCTAATCCCCATTCACTTTGACCGATGCCTCTAGAGGCAAGGCTCGGCGTTCTGAAATCTTGAATGGCTTTCCAGGGTATGATGTAGTTTGGTTTTGTCGCAATTGAATAGGGATGTGCCTGAAAAAGTGGCTTTGTATTGTGTTCGTTGGATCTTGCTTTCTGGTAGGTATATCATATGACTTGAAGAATCATGTTCATTCTGGGCTCTAGCCACACCCGTTGGCAGTCTACTGCATAGTTTCATTTAGCCCCGTGTCGAGCTTCCAGTTCCTGCCTCGGCTACTTCAACCACTTATCCTTGATCACTTAGATTTCTACAGGAATCAGTACATCCTAGATTCCTGACCCGTGAACTCGAAAGTTTTCAATTTGAATCTACCTCGATTCTACCCCGAACATGCTGATTTTGACGATCGGTGAATTTCTACAACATCACGTGATCGACACACGTGGCTAAACCTACGTCACGCAAAGTTGATGCCTGACAAGCCAGGCATAAAATGATGCCTCAACTTTACTCCAAAACTACTACTTCAATCTACGTGAAATCTTGCTATGAACCTCTCAATTCTTTTATATTTACTCTATACTCTTCTGTTATCTCTTGCTTTGATATTTTTTGGCCCTCTGTAGATCCACATCCGCTGTAGGGTGTAGCAGAATCTCGCCATTCCTCTTGTCGAACATGCTGCACTCATGTCGATATAGTATAGGTGTATGAGGTGGGGGGCCGTCATCTGGTATAATCAGAAGTATTTCTGTACTCGAGGTGGATTCGAGGCATGCTTGAATTATCCTTGTGTGCCAATACTTGGTGGTTTTAACACCGACGCTGACAAGATGATGTGAGTTCCCGGATAACCAGTGGCTTGGTAGTGACAGGCTACCATTCGTCCATGCGCTGTATTCACGTACAATGATCAACACCATCAGCAAGGATTTCAATATCCATGCTTGTCAACTCCATTCTCCTGATAGACCTGCAAGCTATGCTTAGCAAACTTGCTAAGACCTCGAATCCGTCTTCCATGCCTGTTAAACAGCGGCGGAACGATACAGAAAAAAGTTGCGAGAGCAGCCAAAATCGACGACGCCACATTCGCACCTAATGAATCGAACATATCTATCGCAAATAAGGGAAAAGCAGCCGACATCGAGGAGCGGAGGAGTTGAACTGCAGCGAAGCCACTGGCTGCGTAGCCCAAATAGCTATCGGCTAGATAACCCGCCAAGACAGAATCGAATTCGTTGACGGCGTACCCAATGAGAATGAGTGCGGCTGTGGAGATAAGCCAGTGGACGTGCACTGTCGGTGGAATGGTCCATGAAAACCACCATAGACCTAGGGCGAGAATGGGTGCGCCAACGGAAAACCCGAGGAGTTTGTGTTCTGGCTCGAGCGGAATGCCCTGTTCTTGATATCTTACGATGATCCGGTGGTCTACTATCCGGGTAAGTAGCCCAAACAATATCCCGATGCAGATCGCCAGAAAGGGTAGATAGGAGGATGTCGTTGAGAACCCCATTGACATGTAAATCGGTGGTAACGCTTCCGTAAACAGGTATATCAATGCAAATGCCACTGCGCTCATGGTTGCGACAACGAAAACTATGGGCTCCGTGAAAAAGAGGTGAATCGGACGGAAGAGACTAAGGCGGACAAAGGTCTTCAGATCCGGGGTGTGGTCTGGGTTCAATGCTTTGAGGTTCGGGATGCCACTTTCTCGGCGTAATTTTGCAACCTGCTTTTCCAGAACCGAAGATGGGCGCGATTCGCGGATCCCGAAGAGGAGCAGCGTGATGATGGCGGTAACAATTGCGGAGATCCGGAATACCCATCGCCTGAGAAAGTTAGCCACGCGTAGCGGAATGCAAATGAAGTGTTCTTACCAGCTCAGGTGGGCTATAATATAGATGCTCATTATGGGTCCTAATGCGAGGCCCATATTTGCAACAACGGCCCACAGAAAAATGAACCACACCCGATCTTTGGCATTGTACATATCTTCAATGCTGCCGGCGACAACGACTGCTGGTATCGCGGAAAGGAAGCCGGAGAAGAAACGACCGATCGCGACAGCGGCAATTGAAGGGACGACGCCTCCGATTAGGCAAAAGAGGCTGAATAGGCCGGTGCTGACAATGTAAAGCTTCTTTCGACCGAATGCTTCGGAACAAGCAGGAAAAATACTACCACCGATCATTTGGCCGAGTAGAGAACTATCAAGGAGGAAATAGGATTAACATGGGAACATTGATGGAGAGGAGGCAAAACTGACAGGGAGACAAAAAGGAAGACAGCCAGTGTCTTACTGAGTCCAAATTCATCACGAGCATGATCTGCCGCCGCACTCTCCAATCCGTGTTAGATCGACCATGAGTGAACCAAAGTGATCTTCCTTACCCCAGCAGTGCTAACAGATGTCCTAAGTGCTCATCTCTTGTCAGTTGACTGGCCGATCGAGCAGAATGTGGATTGAAAACGAGTCTTTGTAAGCTCGTTCCTGAGATACGTACGTGAAGAGATCCAAGAAAATGATTAACCCGGTATCGTAGATCTTGCGTGACGCCGGCCAATTTCGAGGGTGCTCTTTGTTCAAACATGACCAGCGGATGAACTGTCCGTCCGGGGTGTATTCCAAGCCATATTCGTCTAGGAAAGGTTGGACATCGCATTGGTCTCCCGTGGGAGGGAGCTCTTGTGTGACGGATGCTCCCTCAAGGTCCATAGCTAAAAGCAAATTGGAGGAGGACAAAAAATAACTCGACGTCGTGCCCCAGGGAGTTCTAGAAGGTAGAAGACAAGGCAAGGATTTCCCCCTGGGGCTGAATATGTAAGACTGATCACTTCTCGGTACAATTGCCATTCACAGAGATGGGATAGAGATCCACCAGATCAGTGGTTCATCTACCTACGGATACGCCACGCTTGTACATGATCGATGAAGTAAAAATTGTCGATCGGAAGTCTTCCCAGTGCGAACCAGCATTCATTGCACCAATGGAAGTGCGTACTTGTGGAATTCCTGCAGGCTAAAGTTCCAGTCATTAAGCCCATGAAAGATTCAACCTGACCATTGGGCCTTCAGCCTGTGGCTTCTGACATGTTTTTTTTTTCAGCTGAGTTCCGTTTACATACCTGCTTAGAATACGAGCTCGCCTCGCCTTGCCCAATTCTTTCCTCGGCGGCCAGGTCTTACCGACCCACACATTGGGATTTACATAGAAAAAAAAGTCAGCACATTCAGCGTAGGAAGTCGAATTTCTCGCAAAAATGGAAAAGGTGCCGAGTTCTCATCTTGTGTGTAAATGGTTCGACGGCGAGATGGGAAGCTCGAACCAGAATCGGCCCACTGAGGCTCTCAGTAAGTGGGGCTAACTAGCTTATCAGTTCACTAAGTTAGTTAACTAATAAGCATTCTTAGTCAAATTCTCGCGGCAGCTTCCATTCACGGCTTTTGTGGCTTGTAAGGCCTGTGGCTCATACTTCTCACATTCATAGGATGCCCCACGAAGACGGTAGCTAGCTAACGCATCGCGACAAGGAGTCGAGCATAGGGAAAGACGGGAGAATTGACGTCCGCGGTCCCAATCCAAACATCCTGCATCTCTTTGCCTCGTTCGGTCTATCATGTCAAGGACTCCTTTCCAATGCCTCGAAGCCTCGAGAATCCCGGAAGCCTCCCAGTCCTTGATGCTCTTTAGGACTTAGAAGACTGAAAAATGGACGATGAATGGATTATCTTAAATTCATTGAGAGATAGCTCATCTTGAAAGCATGTAGAAACCACCGTATACAACCCACTCCAAATGAACACAGAAAGAAGAGGAAAGTTGTATGTGCACAGATCGGTAGGCTCACCGACAAGGGAGCCAAAATGGCATATCACATAAACAGAATATGGGCCAAGGAGATTGGAGAGATATGATTGGGGCTAGGGGTATCAAAAGTCGCACGCACGACTCGAACTCAATAAGGAATGAAGTGAACACTGATCACTTGGGTCCCACTCTGTGCTGCCAGCTTCCAGAATGAAGCCATGGATACACAGTCATCGAGTTAGTCTGAAAAAGATTTCCCCATTCTCATTGACGGGTACAGGGTTGGATGCAGATTTTCGTAGATTGCCACGGTTGCAATGGCATCAAGGTCGCCTGGGCACAGTGGGAGTCTGGCACCAGGAAAAAAGCATACGAAGGAGGGGTTGTTGCCTCCTTTCTTCGGTAGTTCAAAAATATGCTAATTTATGCGAATCGCTTGAAGATGATCTCGGGGTCCTCGTGCCACTCGTCCGCGCTCACCCACATCTGTAAAGGTATGAGATTAGCGGAACTGTTACAAGGTGACGTTGTTTCTCTGGAATTCGACGTACCTTTCTGAACGTGCTGAGACCAGCAAGAATGCTACCACCAATCCAGGTCGTGTACTTGCGCTCCGCAGGCGCAGAGATCCGGATCTTCATATCCTCGACGGCAAGTCGTTTGATTTCACGCATGAGACGGTCGGGGAAGTTCTTGCACAGCGTTGAGCCACCCGAGAGAACAATGTTGAGGTATAAGGATTTGCGAAGGTCAAGGTCGGTACGAGTGATGGCATCTTGGACGATCTGGTGCACACCAGGATATTCAAGGCCGATCAGTTCGGGATCGAAGAGGATTTCAGGGGCACGATAACGTTCTTGGCCAATCTGTACACGAAAGAAACCACCTCGGTCAGTAAAGGGGTATCCTCACATGTTACACGAGTTGCGTGGTCAAGACTCACCTTAATCTTGTGACCGTCGGGTAGCGTATAGTCAATCGCCTTAGCATCCGACTTGTGATAGCTATTCATCCACTCCTTCTCTTCGCGCTTCGGGTCCAGCGACACGTAGCAGACCTTCTCCTTGATCATCCGAACGACCTCCTTCTCGGCGCTGGTGTGAAGGACGTGGCCAGCTTTTCGCAGGAGCAGTTGCATCTGTTCCGTAACATCGCGACCGGCCACGTCAATCCTCCGAATACTGTTAGGGATTGCGAAGCCTTCGAAAACTGGCACGGCGTGGGAGACACCATCTCCGGAGTCCAGGACCACACCAGTCGTGCGCCCAGACGCGTACAGCGACAGCACAGCCTGGATGGACATGTAAAGTGCCGGTACATTGAAAGCCTCAAACATAAGTTGGGCGGCCATATCGCGGTTGGCGCGAGGGTTCAACGGCGGTTCGGTGAGCAGCACGGGGTGCTCCTCGGGGAGGGTCTTGAGCTCATTCTCGTAGACGTAGTGCCAAATCGACTCCATATCCTCCCAATTTGTGACAATTCCATGCTCGAGTGGATATCTGATCTTCAGCAGACCGCGGAGGTCCTGCGCGCGCTGGCCGATGAATGAATCGCCTTCCAGACCACCAGCCATGACCCGCGGGTGTTTGGGGCGACCGACAAACGACGGGAAATAACATGACGGGATTTCCTCACCTGCGAAGCCGGCTCGAATGGTACCGCTGCCATTGTCAATGACAATCGGTACGTTGTGAAGGGTAGCCTCTGCCATTGCGGGGAGAGGGTGCGAAAGAGGGAGTTCGGGGGTCGGGAGGTCGAGGCGCAAGGTAATTGAGACGGCCCCACGGCCTGGGATCAACGACTCAGGATATCAGGGGTGTGATCGAAGACAAAGAAACATGTACCGTTTCAATGCTGGGCGACAATGTTCATGTATGATGAGGGCGTCAGGAGCGGAGAGGACTCTGCGGCTTCGCGTCGGGAGTTGTCAACAAGAAGCTTGGGCCAATGATGGTTCCCGATGAGGTCGGGTCCATCTCTGAGTGGCCCATCTGGAAGGCCGACGGGCCGTATTGCTAGTACATGTACATTTTGCTCAATATTTAATGCCTGTAATGGGATGGAATTTTGGTGCTAATTTTTTTTAATCTCATGAGGAGGATCCTCATATGTCTAATTGTGGTTCGCCTACGAGAAGTCCTTCCTCAGCTAGCGAGGTCCCCTAACCCGAGCCTAGCAAACATGCATGGATAATCTAGTGGGCCTATGAGCAGATAGTATGAATAACCTTGAGGGGTTTTAATCAATGAGATTGGCATTAATGATGCTATTCGAAGGGGGTATATCGTGAATCCTCATTACATCTTCGTGTGTACTCGTAGGGTCATTTGCCCCAGATTTCATCAGCATAGTACGAGTAATCAAACGAGCCTCTATCCCAAAATCCTGCCATTGACTGAGCAGGAAGGTGAGATATAGCTGTATTGAAAGTGACTAGAATCTGGCACTTAAGCAAACAGGATGAAGGGCCATGTGGGGAAGAAGGGGAGGGGGATCGTGCAAGCATTTACTGGACATGCTGTTTGTTCTGGTGTTGTGGATGGGGCTCCGATGGCGCGTGATGTCTTCCCATTGTGCTGCAGGGGCAAGGGGAACGCCAGATCCTGCAATGGGTTGATGGAAAAGACAAAACGCACTGTTCATAATTGGAGTATCAGCAACATTCGCTGCGATGTCATATCTCATCATTCTTCTGAAGCGGAGAGTAACTTACCTCATCGAGTGGATAGATCTTGCCATGCAAGTCCTTGTGATTGCATGCACTCAACACAGACACAGCATGCTCAGTCCACCCATGACAGTTCATCTGAGATGGCCATGATCGAGCGATCACCATTGTCTCGCCGGAAATAGGGCACCTGATCACCCCGCTGTGCTGCTTGGCCAACAACACTAGGCATATCACTAAATGGGTTGTTAGATACCGTGATGCTTTCAGACAAAGGCTAGAAGAGAATTCTTACTCGAGTTTGCCAACGATCGCATATCCCTCTTTGGCTAGATGGTCGGCCAGCTCCTGTTGGTGGTTGTTGGCGAGATCAGGGTTTGGAACAATGACGAGTGGCAAGCCCGCACGAAGGGCGTCCAAGATCGAGCCAGTACCTATCGGGTCATCAATATTCAAAGTTTTGAAATTGAACTTTACAGAAATAGAATGAACTACTCACCGGCATGGCTGATCATCATCCCAAGCTCCTGGGCCATGGACGGGTCCTCTCGGGCCATGCACACATATGGGGTCATGTTGGGGCGAAGGTCAAAGCCACCAATTTGAATATCATGAATGATGTCGCCCTTCTCATACTCTGCACGATAGGCATCGAAGATGGGCTGACCACCTTTGCCATACTGGATCAAGAGACGGGTAAAGTCGTATTTCTCCAGCTCCGCGATGAACGACTCATGGAGGACCGCTTGGATGAGCTTCTCGAACGGAGCTGTAGCCCCCACGGTGACCAAACAGAGCTTGTGAACCATCTTGGAAGTTAAAAATGTATTTCTGAACGATGAGAAAGACGTCGAGGAAGAGATGAAGTTTGATCTAATGTTGGTGTCACTGTCGCTGCTGTTGATGAAGCAAATCACGTGCTATGCTACAATGGGGCTAGCGTGGATCGGACTTTGGACATCGGAAAACATCGAAAAAGGTGCTTCCGCCAACCTATCCGCGCAGATCCAGATCCACGCCCGCAACAATGGCTTGTGTTGCTCGGTCATTGACTCGCTCGGCTCGAGTCCTGGCTCATCGGGGGCCAGGGTTCGTTCCTACACGGTTCTTTTCAGTCTCGCCATTCCGATTCGTGACAGAGGACCCCGTCATCCCTCCACCCCCGAAGGACCTTAAAGCGGAGGACTACCCACCAGTCCCTGAATATTCGCCCGACCTTCTGACCAAGGAGGAGAGATCTATGTATGATATGCTGTCACCGGAAGAGCGGGCGGCCTTTGACGCCGAAAACCAACGGCTCGTGGCCGATTTCAACAATCTCGAGAAGCGCGCCGCGGCTTTCGCGGAGATCCAAAAGAGCGTTGACCAGATCGACAAACAAGAGGACATTCGTTTCGAGGATGTCCGAGGTAAGGTCCGGGGCTTCTGGGCTGAGGATGACGGAGACGAGATGGCCCAGGTTGAAGACGGCGACGAAGACATTCAAGACGATGAAATTACTTCAATGGCCCATGCCGAGATGGAGTTGCACCGGGAGATGAGAGAGTACGCCCGCATTGCGGCATGGGACATGCCAATGCTGAGCAGTAAGATATCTTTGTATTGCTTTTTGGCTTCCTGAATTCGCTGACCGCGACTGCCGTTGCAGAGCTTGCCAAACCCTTCACGCTACCTCCTCAGACGCACATCCTCCGCTTCCGCTACACTACATACATGGGTGAGCAGCACCCGGCTGAACCGAAGGTCGTTGTGGAGCTTGCATCGCGTGACCTGACTCCCAAATACCTCACGGAGGCCCAGCGCCAGACTTTCCTGAAGTTGGTCGGTCCCCGGTACAACCCCCAGACCGACGTCGTCAAGATGTCTGCCGAGCAATTCGGATCTCGCGCGCAGAACAAGCGGTACCTGGCCGACGTGGTCAACACACTGATACAAGAAGCCAAGAAGGGCGACGCGTTCGCGGACATCCCTCTTGACTTGCGCCACCACAAGCCCAAGTTCCGCCCTCAATTCCCCGAGTCGTGGAATATGACCAATGAGCGCCGGCAACAATTGGCTGCCCGCCGCAAGGAGCGCCTGACCGCTCAGTCGTCACGGGAAGCTATCGTGGACGGCAACCAGGTTGTGTCCGAAGCCGTTCTGGCCCTCCCTGAGCTGAACCCGGCCTTGAAGGCCCGTGCTGCGGAAGAGCGGGAGAAGGTTGCTGTCAAGGTCGGAGCGCGTCAACCAAAGAGGCCGGTTCGTCGGTAAGGGACGTTGATTGGCAATGTATAGTTATGCTTTGCATGGTCACTTTCTTTGGGTGTAAGACAAAACTGCGATCAGACATTTGCGAGGCGCGGGCGCATATTCTAGGAGGTCTAATCGGCCCCATTTGTTTTTCTCAATGTACTATAGCCACTTCACTTTTATTGTTCCAAGTACCGGCGCCTCGCTGCCAAGCCCAATGATCGAAGATAATCATAGTATGATCTGTAGCGATTACAGTTTGTAGGAGGGCTTGGCCCTCTGTGGACATAGCCAATCATTTTTCACGGTGTCACGGGACCACAACAGCACGTCATGCACAAGGATGCTGAGCTTAAATCAACCTACGTTTACACGATACTGATCAATTGGAAAGGAGAAATGATAAAAAATAAAAATATTTCATAGATCCTGCAATGGCGACTATCAGAAAGAATGGGGCAAGGCGAATCCTATCGGCTACCTCCTAAAGAAAGGAGGTCTCCAATGGCACCACGCAGCTCGCCCACCAACTAACTTCCAGCACGCTTCCCGATTGTTCGAGCTCGGCGTGACAAGCACATCTTGCGACCCCGAAGGATACAAGACCAGATTCTCATCATACCAAATTAAGAACAACGAGTGCGAAAGCCCACACAGAGAAAGCAAAGCAAAATACAAAAGCAAGAAGGCGAAAAACACACAACCGATCATAACCCAACGAAGGCCATTGTATCGCACATCGTTCATATCCGTCGGGTAGGTCGTGAAATCATAAACTCTCATCGATGTCGTTCGTGTTCATCCCTCAACTAGTGCCGCACAAGAGGAAACAGTGCCAGCGAGGATTCGGTTGTCGTGAATGTTCAAGTTGCCAGTTAACATAAGGTATATCATATCAGACATGTAACCTTGGGTGGCAGTGTAGGCATATCTCAGATTGGAAAACATGGCAATGCCCAGGCTGAACAGAATAATGGTAAGAGCCCGCGTCATAAATCAAGATCAAGTTGCTCATTCATATGGTCACAGTATGCAGTATGGTCAAAAATGACAAGTATCCAGAGACTCAGGATATGATCTGTGCAAATCTAGTGACGACCCATGTAGGGATAGGTGAACTGAGCATTGTGACCATTCACACCCTGGTTGTTGGGGTGAGTCACGGTGTAAGCATTGGCGGCATACATAACAGGGCGCTGAACAGGCCTGCCAATAGGTCCCCAGTAGAACAGGGGCTCGTTGGGATTAATCGGCTCGGAAGTAGCCACGAGCTGACCAATCATGGAAGTTGAGGCAGAAGGAGTAGCCTCCTTACCAGTCTCAGCCTTGGCCGCCTTGGCCTTCAGGTCACCGTCAGCGCCAAAGTTGAAGCGTGACTTGGTGCGGTAGAGATTCTTCAGGGGGTCTGCCGCCGGGACTGCCGCCGGGACTGAGCCACCATAAGTGTCTTCGGTAGACAGCGCACGAAGACGAGCAACCAGGGATTGCTGGGCGGCCATACTATCTCTGTCAAGGGTTTGATTGCCCTGAGTCAGGGGACGGTCAATCGGGGTAGCCATGGGCAACTGCCCTCCGCGGGGGCTAACGCTCCAAGTCGAAGAGTTGCTCATGTTCGGAGATGCACTAGCAGGGGTGCCATTGGCATTGTTGACAACTGGTGCAGCCACACCGCTGTTGTGACCATTCTTGCCTGCGTTGGGGTTGTTACGGCCCTTGATGCTTCCACGGGGCTGAGCATGGCCATGGTGATTACCATTGGCATTGGCGTTGGTCTTTTCGTCAGCGGCGTTGATGTTGCCCGACGGGCCGGCGCTGCGGGAGGCTCCAGCGTTGCGAGAAGGCACGGCATTGGGGGAGGGCCCAGCGTGAGCAGAGGCGCCAACATTGGCGGATGGGCCAGTATGAGCGGACGAGCCAGCGTTAGCAGCAGGGCCAGCGTTAGCAGATCGGCCAGGGTTGGTCAAATTGTTAGCGGCGGGGCGGTACTGAATAGCCCGCTGCTGAGGCTGGTCGATGGCAGCTTGCTGCTGCTGTCCACGCTGCTGATTACCCTGACCGGCTTGCAGCAGACTCGGGACGTCGTACTTCTCGCGGTACCAGCGAGGAATGTCGCGAAGACCAAGCTTTTCCAGCATGAAGATGTCAGTCGGCATCTCATGCTTGTACATACAACCTGCAATTTGATTGATCAGTATCAAAGCCACGGCAGAGGAACGGTTCAGATATAACATACCCTGCTGCTGGTAGTCGCACTCGCCGTGGCGGATCCAGTAAGAGCAGAACTCCTTCTTTGCGCCGAAACCCTGTGTGGATGTAATCAGCAAAAGCTATTGCAGAAGTGATCGCTCATTCACTTACATGCTTGCCACCGCTGGCATGGTTGTGACCGGAGTGGCCGCCGAAGCCGTGATAACCTGGCGAGGTCGATTGACGACCAGTAACAGCCTTGGTGGGGATTGAGCCACCAACGTACGAAGCATCAAGGCCGCGATACAGGATTCCCTTGATGGCCATCCGGAGCTCAGTGGAGACATTGTCATCGGCCATGATTTTAAAAAGGACGCTCTGCAGCGCAGCGAGGTCCTCTTTGCTGGCGATGGTGCCACGGCTTCCAGGAACAGATCCCTCAAGGTCCCACGGCTCGGAGCGAGGCTCGGCAGAGCCACAGCTGATCATGCCCTGGGTATCACCGGGAGTAAGGGTACGAGAGACACCACGAACGTTGACACCAACGGGGAAGTCATCAAGGGCAATGAGGGGAGTCAGCGACCCGTTGGGGCGGCTGCAGAAAAACGACGGACGCATCTGAGAGCTCATCGTGGATGCTGCTCAGGTGGTCTGTCGTTGTGAAAGCTTGAGTGTGAAGGTGTATGGAACAGCAGGGTAGAAGGGATGGTTAGGAGATGGGAGAGGTGGGTGAAAAAGAAAAAAAATGGGGGAGGGCGAGGGATGAGAAGAAGCGACGGACGAGGAGGACGAGAAGGAGTTTAAAAGGAAACGAGGAGGGGAGTAGAAGAAGACGGAGGTTCGAAGATTTTGGAGGAGAGGGAACTTCCCAGACGAAAAGCTCCAGGCAAAAAATCAAGAGCGTTGCCTGGTGTCTCTTGAGGGTAAACAACGCGATATCCAGCAAAGTTTGGTAAACATCAAAGAGTTTTGACGTCCACACCACCACCTTTCAGACTGAACACACCAACAAGACAATGGGTACAACTTGGAAAAAGATTGTAGTTACGACACGGATTTCTACAAAACAATACAGCTATTCGTAGAGACCAGTAAGATTTTGCTTTTGTAAATCGTGTGTACGATATACAATAATGAGGATGTTCAATTAAGCTTATTTTGGCTTTGACGAACTCGGCCGAGCTTTGCCTATCAGCGGGGACAGGCAAACATCCAACATCTCCGGAATTTACCATCAGAGGTCATGGCTTGGCGTGTCATTCTCATCATAGCCTAGCCAGTCAATGCTGCCTTGATATTGTCATCTACGTGTTCTCAAAGGCTGATACTTGGGCGATTTGACGGCCAGCACCGGACAACTCTGCATCAGTGGGCTGCAGCAAGTCTTGGCCCATATTACAATGCTATTATCTACAGATTTTCTTTGCAACAAAGCGGACTTTCTTCAAGATGGACTCTTTCAACTCCCATTGGGGCTCATTGTCCGAATCTCAAGCGCACTTTGAAAGCCATTGTCCTTTGCAATTCATTGGTTTGGCTCAAGGGCAGGAGGGTTCTATTGATGTTGTGGACCTGCTCAGAGAGACCAATGTCTCGCTTCCTCCGATACTTTTGTAATGCTGAAGGAGCCCCTGGTTACCCCCCCTTGTTAATACCAATGAGAAAACTAATGTGACCGTTCCCATCAGATTAGAGAACGATACACTGATGATGACGACCACCATGGTCCCTCGCGTTGATACCATGCTGGACACGACACGTCATGTCGAAGACGATACTACCACGGTCACAGCCAGTCAATGATAGCGTAACACGCTACACGCTACACGCTACAGACACCCCTACACGTAGCCGGGGATGCAGATGATGAGGTGATATAGAGATGGAGCACTCATCGGCTGCCATATTGGCTTCTTGAGAGTTGTTGACGAGGCAACGCCGGCACTTTGATGGTCAATAATCCAAAGTTGGCTGCATGTGGGGTTCAACTATACAAAGGACGCGGAGCAGTGTATTGTGCACCGGCCCTGGGCCGAATCATGGCGCCCACAACGAATCTGACTTCCCATGGCTTTCTTCGCGTTTGCTTGCTCCTTATAAACTGCTTGTAGACTTGTGCGGACGATTCTACCTAGACTTAGGAGATAAAGCACATAAGACATTGAATATTGCATGCTTGAGCATACTGAATTTCTGATGCTATTCTAAATTAACAAGTGAGGGGGTATCTTCGATCATCGCTCATCAGAAAAGTTTAAGAAAAAAAAACTGAAGAAAACCAGGGGCGACTTTCCATGATATTGGCCTGTACGAGACAGCCTGAAACAAAAAGAACAAGGAACGGAAAGTATGTGCGCAGCACAAACTAAATGAAAAATGATCCGGGAAGTGGTAGAGCGCATAGGAGAAGCTGCCCAAATGCTCGATTGCGTCGACTAGAAAGATGCTTCGTTTTGAGTAGCCGTCAAATCAATGGGGACATGTTCAGTTCCGGAAATGGAAGTGAAGGGGCCATGGTAGGGCTGAGGCTTGGTGGTAGTGATATTAGATGGCGTGGGGTCACCAGTCGGGGCCTGCAATGTAACCTGCGATGTAATCGAAGATGTCGGGTCACTCATTGTGACATCTTCCATCATGGTTGACGCCTTCTTGCGGGCAGCTGGAAGGTGACAAAGAAGACCCTTCAAGTATTTTCTGGCAGCAGAAACAAGCTTCCGGTCTTCAGTACTCTGCTGCAGGGTCTCCATCATGCGACGAACTTGTGTCTCGGATTGGAAGTGCGAACAAGCACGTCTTCCACCAAAGTGCGCTAGACCGCACAAGGGGCAATGTTCAAACCCAGCCTTCTTCAGCCGGCAGCGGCCTAGCAAGTGGTACTGATTGCATGCAATGCACCGAGGAGGAGGATCGAAGGCGCCATCCATCCCGAAACTGAATCCGGGTGCTGGGGGCGGGTGCGGGGGCGGTGATTGGACACGCTGGAAAGGTGCAGTCTTCAATTGTGTCGGAGGCGCCATGTCTTGAATGTCAGGTACATCCTCAGCAAAGTCACTTTCGTCGGGTTCATCGACCCCTTGGAACTCGACATCACTGTCGCCAGATTTGCGCGCTTTGACAGGCGAAGACATCATCACGTCAGGATCATGGGCATCCTCCTCCTCCCGAACAGTTTGGTAATTAACCGCGGCTCGCTTGCGCTTGCCACGTCCTAGTCCCTCTGCCTTTCGGAATTCTTCTTCTTGAGCATCACGTTCACGCTCGCGAAGGATTTCCTCCCAGACGGTGGCATCAACCAGACTGTCTTCTGTTTCAATGACTTCCTCGAGAGTGCCACGATCATTCTGCCACACACGCGCAAAGCTGAATTGTGGCTGATCTGTGGAAGAACCTGGGGTGTTTGCAGCGACTTCCTCGGCTTGTTCGGCCTGGCTGCGGTCAAGCAGCTTGTTGATAGATTCCACATCGTAATGAATGTCTGGCGAATTATCGTCATTGAACAAAGATCGAGCACCGTGTCTGAGAATGGTCTCTAAATCCTCCTCCTCCTCTTCGCCAGCTTCCATGCGCTCAATCAGGACATGATCAAGAGCCAGCTTTTTCTTGCCCTTTTGCATGATCTTCTCTTCCACCGAGGCTCGGGTGGTTAAGTGGAAGACCAACACTGTGTTCTTTTGACCAATTCGGTGTGCGCGGGACAGAGCTTGCATATCCTGCTTCGGATTGAAGTCCGGATCCATGATGATGACCGTGTCAGCAGTGGCAAGGTTGATGCCCACGCCACCAGATCGAGTGGACAGCAAGAAAGCGAAGAAAGGTGAGTCGGGGTCATTGAAAGAATCAATTTGCTGCTGTTTCTGACGAGCAGTCAACCTTCCATCCAGTCGGCAGTATCGAAGTTCGAGACCTGTAAGGAAATCTTCGACGATGTCAAGATTCTCCAGGAACTGACTGAAAATTAGAACCCTATGTCCACGCTCTTGAAGTTTTGGTAGCATGATATTGAGCAACTTGAGCTTGCCTGAAGCCTCGACCAAGCGCTGGAAAGCCAAGTTTGGATCATTTGTCTGTTCTTCGATCGCCTTGTTGTAGATGAAAGGATGGCAAAGGCACTTCCGAAGTTGTACGAGAATGTTGTTCAAGTTGTGCCTTTCAGTCTTCTTCAGTTGGCCCGTTTCTTTCTTGCAAATGGCCTGAATCAACTGCGGGTTCTTTCCAAGAATGGACTTGTACAGTTTCTTTTGCACGACAGACATCGAGACTGGGATGATGATCTGCACCATAGGTGGAAGGAAAGGCAGAACTTCGGCTTTGGTACGACGAAGGAAGAACGGTCGGATCATGTCGTGAAGGGATCGAATGCTCTCCGCCGTCAGGTCGCCATATTGTTCCTCCAATTCGTCGGCATCCTTGACGGGATCAAGGAATTGAATCAGGTTGAATAATTCTCGGATGTTATTTTGGAGAGGGGTTCCCGTTAGAAGCGCCTTGAAGTCAAACTTCATACGACAAAGCCGTTCATACAGCTGTGACTTGTCATTCTTGAGGCGCTGTCCTTCATCAACAATCAGTCCTGCCCAGTGGATCTTGTTCAAGACTCTCTTGGCCTCTTCATCGACCATGCTCTCATACGAGGCTATCACAACATGACATCGGAGAGCTTTGGCACGCTCTGGAAACATCTCATAATCATTGGCCATCTGACGTGCAAATGCCGAGCCAAAGTAAGTGACAACCCGAATTTCGGGGGCCCAGGTTTTGATCTCACGACGCCAGTTGGGAACGGTCGAGTTGGGAGCAACAACAAGGAATGGCCAACACTGGTGCCTCTCAATCAAGGTTGCTATTAGCGATATCACCTGAACCGTCTTGCCAAGACCCATATCATCAGCTAGGATGGCGTTTTGCTGCTTCATGAACATATAGTACAGCCAATTCACACCGTCCAGCTGATAATCCATAAGTTGGCCCCCAGTAATCAGTGCGGGCTGCGTGTTGAGAACCAGATCTTGTTCAAAGTTTAGGCGCCTGATATTGGCGAGATGAGATTTGAGCGTATGTCGATCTGGCGGATTAATGGTGTCGCGCTGCAGCCAGTCCTTGAAAGCTAGCTTAAAGTCTTCCCAGCGAGCGGTTTCCTTGGGGGCCGGAGGCGATTCCCAGACCGAGTCCTCATAATTCAAGCCCTTGTATTTGACATAAGCCTCTTTGACTAGCTCGGGGTTGCTCTGATCATCAAGGTCGGTACCTGCAGGAAAGGTCACATCAAAAACAATGTCAACTCGTAGATTCTCTTCGGGGACCGCCTCCTCGGTGGTCCAAATCGGCTTGCGGGCCTTGGGAGATTTGAAGAAGGCACGGCGCATGGCGGCGTTGCTCATACCCCAAACCCAGTCTCCAGGCATCCAGGTATTGCGGAAATGCGACTTGAGCTTCCACTTGATGAGATACTCCTTTTCCACCTCTGGGATAAGCTCGACCATGGAGAGTTTCACGCCTTTGGCGGGCGGTTTTACCAGACGCCACGCAACTAAAGCTTCGATATCGCCAGGAGCAAGCGTACAGTCTTGGCACTGCCAATGAGTTGTGTAATGCGAGATGACCTCCGATATATCCTGAGAAGTTTCTGTAGCAAGATGTTCAAAATGGAAAGCCCGCTGGCAACCTGCGCATCGGAAGAGAACATCATCGATGTTGTTGATGCGAGACATGTCGACGTCAGTAATCGGATCGGTACCACCATTTGCCACACGTAGCTGTTGCTCTTCCTTGGACGTAAGGCGCTCTCTCAGCGGCTGCGACATTGCACCATCTTCCTTACAAACAGTACAGCGGCCCAGATGAGGGGATACATCATGTTTGGTATGTGCGACCCCGAGACAACGACGACATTGCAGAATGAAGTATTCCTCGTCAATTTTCGTGACAAGATGTTCTCGGCTGCTGCGCGGACCAAGACACTGTTGGTGGAACGATGAGCTACAGCCCTGACAGAATACAAGGGGTCCTTTGACCTCATCGTCTTCGTAGTAGTTGCACGAGGAACAGCAGGCGAAGTGTCGCAATCTAAACTCATCATCCCGTGGAAGTTCGGGAAATGCCTCCCGAGCCCCGGAATACTTTTGGCGTTTGGGCGCGTCACTCTCAGCTTCCGATAGATCATCTTCCAATCGCTCCCGCAGATTTTTCCGAACGGACTTCCGGGTACGAGTGGAAGCACGAGTTGGCGCTTCCTCAGCAGAGGAATCATCGTCCTCATCGGAAGAAATGATCACTCTTCTGCTATTTCTGGTCGAACGACGGCGTCTTTTGGGGAAGCGTCCATTAAGCTCGTCACTTGACTCATCCAGATCTTCATCGGAGCTGGAAGATTCAGGAATTTCATAAAAGGCGGTATAATCACCACGTGCAGAGGATGCATGACGACGCAGTCGAGTATTTCGTCCGCCGGCGCGAGCTCGCTTCCCGTGTCCTGTACCATCCCCACCAAACTCGAAGCGTGGGTGAGACCCGTATCCCACCGTTACGAGTTCATCATCTGATTCGGACTCCGGAACGAAATCGTCCAGAGCTTGGGCGCTATTGTCGAAACTCATGAAGGTATCGCGCAACATCTGCAAAGGAAGAAGATCAATGTTAGATATATATTCAACATCCATTTGGCGGGGGGTTGCTCTTACAGTTGAACGCTCGCCACTAGCCAGACGAACGGTGTACAAGGGCCTCTCAGGATTACTCGAGTCGACCCTCAGGATACGTCGGACCTTGAAGTGGCCCGGAAGATATTCATAGTCGCTGGGATTGTCGACTATGGGGACACGGATCTCAATATCCAGGAACTTCATGGGTTCAGGCTCTCGAGGCTGCTGGACCTCTTCGAATTGCTGCTGAGATTCGGGTTCAATGGCTGGTACTGCTGGACCGGAAGTCTGGCTCTCCAGCTGGCTCGGGAGATGGGCAACCATGGCATCTGGATCGTCAGACTTAGGCAAATCCAAGTTTTCGAGGTGAGACATGTTGTTGAAGGGTTTGGTGGTGTGCGATAAGCCAGAACGCCCAGGCAATGCACCGCACACACAGTCACCAGACGCAAGGGAAGTGATCACCGATTTGAGAGCTTCATGAATGAATGTATGAGAGGTCGTAAGGTTGTTGAATGATAGTAGATAGAGCAGTTTCTGGTCGGAGTGTTCAGGCTGTATCCGAACCAAAGCAGTCGGTCTATCGAGTTTGGAGAGTGAAGGAAAGGCGAAGGTAATAGTTCTTGATACACGCGGAGATCTAAAGACGCGTTTATTAGAAAGGCAGTGGTTATCGATAAGGGGCCGGATTTACTTTGTTCCGTGGTAATTCACTCGGCAGATTCCGCGAAGCTCTAAAAAGGTTACCTTTCAGCATCTAGGTGAGGATGCTTTCAAATATTGCGAAGTCGAGCTTTGGTGCGCGAAACTCTATATTTGGACGACTGTCTTCCACAGGGAGCTCTGTCCGCTATGCTTCATTGAATTCCGCCATTGGCCGCGGTATTCGCAGGTCTCAACATGTGAGGTCGCCCACTGCTGAGGGTGGCCAGGGGAGGTCACGTCGGGAGGATTCCAGGATACCGTCAGATGGCCGCGGTATTCGCAGGTCTGAATATATGAGACCGCCCACTGCTGAGGGTGGCCAGGGGAGGTCACGTCGGGAGGATTACAAGATATCGTCAGATGGGCGTGCAGCTAAGGACGGTAGACGCCCATTGAGGAATGACTTTGACAGAGACGAGTTCGTTCGAAGTGGAAAGTTTCGAGGAATTCCACGAGACCTACAAGATCGTGGGCCACGGAAACCCAGAGAACGAGAGACAAGATCGAACGCACCCTCGGCATCTTCTGGAGAAACCATTCCTCCGAAGACGAAGTCTAGCGCCCATCGTGTGACGGACAGCATGCCGGAACGAATCAAGGATAACGTCAAAGTCCCCGAATCGATCCCCTATTCCAGCCCAGCATCCGAATTCATCTACGGTACTAGCGCCGTGGAAGCAGCATTGCGATGTGGCAAGCGCAAGCTGTACAAACTATACCTCTATCAACGAGCTGGAGAAGACCTGGGTCCCGCCAAGATCGCACTTCGAAAGCTGGCTCTCTCGAAGAACATTGAGATCAAATTGGCCTTTGCGGGCTGGGACAGGCTGTTAGACAAGATGTCTGCTGGTCGTCCACACAATGGGTGTGTCCTTGAGGCCTCGCCTCTGCCCAGACTTCCCGTGCGCAGCTTCCATGCCGTTCCCGGGATTTCGGAGAGCCACTTTCGGGTAGAACTGGCACCTCAGTCGCGGGAGGAAGCTGCAGTGAACGGCACGAACGACCAAATCCCGATTTTACACCCTTCCGATCCTTCTTCGAGTCAACACACCCACCGATACCCTGTGGCTTTGCTTTTGGACGGAGTCGTGGATTCCGGCAATATCGGCGCCATTATACGGTCTGCTTATTATCTAGGCATCGATGCAATCATCTTTGCTGGGCGCCAATCTGCTCCTCTATCACCCGTGACGATCAAGGCCTCTGCCGGCGCCGCGGAGAACATGACATTGTTGCATGCTCAGAACGAGGTGGACTTCATCAAGCGCTCCAAGGAGAATGGATGGCGGTTCTATGCTGCTGATGCACCTGGTCCTGGTGCCACCTATCTTGACCGTGTTATGGCTGATGGCGAGACCGTACTTCCCACGGTGCACTCACCCAGTGTGATCATGATGGGAAGCGAAGCAACCGGACTGAACTCACACATAAAATCACATGCTGATTCAATCGTCAGCATTCCGGGTGCTCGTCACAGTGCTCATTTGGGTGTGGAATCCGACCCCGCCCGGATTGATAGTTTGAACGTGAGCGTTGCGGCGGCACTTTTGATGGAGATGTTTTTGCGAACCCCTCTCGCGATGTCCGAGCCAGTCAAGAAAAGCAAGGACCGAGTGTGGTGAAGCATGTTGTATGATATTTTCTGCGGCATTTACAAAAGATACCTTATTGTATATTAATTTTGATGGACCAAATTCATGAAATTGTACTACTACCAAATTTCGATTGCCAGTGACATCGCTCGTGGTCGTAGTAGCATTGCAATCGATCTCGGATGTAAGCCACATCCATCATGGGCTGATTGCCATCTCAAAAATGAGACAAAGATCTCCGTGCATGGCACAAACGCTTTGGCTGCTTTGCATATTTTAGAGAGAGTCACCTTTGCCGGATTTCGATCCCGAAGTCGCGTTGATGCGGGGAAACCCGACAATTGATCGGCTTTGCGGGGACCAGACCCGCAAACGCGCCTCCCAGGTTTTAGGCGATTGAAGATCTCATAATCGAGACTCAACTTTATAAATGGCACCCACAATGCCCCTATTCCCCTACCATAGACCGTTGTGAATTCAAATTCATCGATATCATCTTTTTCCCCCTGTCCAAGGCCCTCCCTCTACAGTGTTCCCTTCGGCAGTCGCAGCAGAAGCCAGTAACTGGGTGTCTTCAAACCTACTTCAATGATGATACCACAGAAACACATTCTCACCAAGGCATTCGTGGTTGAATCGCCAAAGGCTCCATTTGTTTTACAAGATGTTGTTTTGGACGAAGTCCGGGATAGCGAAGTCTTGGTCGAGATGAAGTATACTGGAATATGCCACACGGTAAGCACTCTCATCACATTCCTTTTCAACAAGGAAGAAAACATACTGCCCTGAGTTATTATTTCCAAATTCTCATCCTTTGACGATAGGATCTTGTGGTTCAAAATGGAGCGATTCCTGTGGGTGATTACCCTGCTGTGCTTGGCCATGAGGGCGCAGGCATCGTGCGCCGGGTCGGTAGCGGAGTCAAAGATAAGAGTCTGAGCGAAGGCGACCGAGTCTTCCTCAGCTTTACAACCTGTCACAACTGCACACCGTGCCGTGAAGGGCGACATGGGTTCTGCAGTCGCTTTACTGAAATCAACTTTGGTGGAGTCCGAGGTATATCCGCTGCAGACTCACCTATTTCCTCTACCGACGGAAAAGCTATCCGCGGACAATTCTTTGGACAATCGTCGATGAGCAAGCTTGCAATTGTCCCGGAAACCTCGATTGTGAAGAGTCCTGCGGCTTCGGGGGTCACGGATGCGGACATGGCGCCGCTGGCCCCGCTAGGATGTGGGTATCTTACGGGTGCAGGCACAGTGTTGAACGTTCTGAAGCCAAAGCCAGCTTCTCGATTCGCCGTACTGGGTATGGGAGCAGTCGGTCTGGCGGCTTTGATGGCTGCGCGGGCTCAGGGAGTCGAGACCGTCATTGCGGTGGATATCGTCGATGCGAAGCTTGAACTAGCTGCTTCCTTGGGGGCATCGCACACTCTGAATACAAAGAAGGTAACCGATCTTGCCCAAGGTCTACTTGAGTTGTTCCCCGATGGGGTAGACCACATACTCGATACCACCGGAGTGGTCCCTTTGCTTCAATCTTCGATCAAGGCATTGGGCCACGAGGGTACGTTGGCTATCGTGGGCGTTGCTCCATCTGGAGCATCGCTGAACATAGATCCTCTAGAGTTCATGGTTAATTGTAAACGTGTTGTCGGTGCTATCGAGGGATCTGCTAACCCTGCCAAAGTAAGTCGTTTTTTTTGCAACATGTGATCTTATGCTGAGCTGATGATTCTTGTTTTTCTCTCTAGCTCCTTCCTCAATTATTTGCCTGGTATAAAGAGGGCAAGTTCCCAGTTGACAGATTGGCCAAGGTTTATGATGCAGAAAATCTAGAGCAAGCATTGGAAGATCTTCACTCGGGAAAGGTCATCAAGCCAGTGCTGAAGTGGGCAGACCTTTGATCAAATTTGAAAATAAATCGCCACGGATATAGAGTCAAGCTTCCAAGTAAATTCGAATACAGTTCCCATGGTTCATTAGACAATGAGCCATTCACACTAGAGACCGAGGCTGAATACGTAAAGGTATCGCCGATGTTTTCCCCGATTTTCTCCTCTAGTTAAACTTAAGCTATGCCGGGATGTAAACTCAGTAATCTTTGTTATGAGTGTTGTGGGAGTGCGTCAAGACCTCGGACGTGAAAAGCACTTCAGACCAACTTTACAGTACCGGACAGATGTTGAAGGTAGCAATCTCAGCCGTCAAATTGGGTATATCCTCCCAGTTTACCCCTATGAGGCTGCTATCCCCGCGCATACATACGCACTCCCCCGCAAAACAACCCCTCCGCTTGGCGAATCTCGTTTTCGGATGTGGGGAAGGAGCCTTTTCGGAAGCTTAATTTTTAGCAGGCCAGAGGATCATCACAATTGGTCGATCGATCGGGGCGCGAACCTTCCTCATCGGAAGCTTTACTCTATCTGAATTTGTCGCTCATCACATATCCGAATTGCTCAAAGATCCTAGCCGATATTTATTTAGCCTCGTGCACTAGATAAACTAACTAATCTTGCGGCATGTATAAGTACCAGGGCCGTCCACAAACATCCCCTTTATAGAGACAATTATATTCGAGCAAAATGACTTTATCTAAGACTACCATCCTTTTCATTCCGGGAGCGTGGCATCTCCCCGATGTCTTCGATGACACTCGGGCTGCCCTGACTGTTCGGGGTATTCCCAGTGCGGCCGTGGCACTCCCTTCTATTGGGGAAGAGCCTCCAAACAAGGGGCTCGCGGATGACACTATCGCCGTGCGTAATGAGATTGAAAGACTATCTGACGAGGGCAAGCAAGTTGTTGTTGTGGCTCATTCCTACGGTGGTATGGTCGGAGCCGGCGCTGTCAAGGGTCTTGGATACACAGAGAGGCAAAAAGGCGGCAAGACCGGTGGAGTTATCATGCTGGTTTATATGGCCGCCTTTGTTGCCAAATTGGGAACCAGTCTGTTAGATATGCTGGGAGGAAATTGGCTACCTTGGATGAAGCTCGACGTTAGTGGCTGTTGCTTCCTAACCCGAATGGCTTCAATCGATGCTAACAGCATGCAGGGCGACTATTGCCGCGCCGAAGAGGCAGCAGAGATTTGCTATAATGACCTGTCTTTGCGGGAGCAGGAGAAGTGGAGCTCGAGGATTGTGCATACCTCTCGCGCTGTGTTTGAGGAACGCGTCGCTCACGAGCCTTGGCATGATCTGCCCTGCATGTACCTCTTTTGCGAGGATGACAAGGCAATTCCCCTGGCTGTCCAGGAGTCTATGGCTAGTTTGCTCGGGGATTACAGTCAATTTAGATGTCCAAGCTCTCATTCTCCATTTTTGAGCATGCCTGATAAGGTGGCTGAGGCCTGTGAGCTGGCCGCAAAGATTGGCTGCGAAAAGTGCCATCGTGAGGAACTATAGGAACGAACTATGACGAATTTCAAATATCCAGCGCAAGGAAAGCAAGCCCTATCTACATTCTCTGCGGGAATAACGTCGATTTTGCGGATAAGTAATGAGTCTAAGAGATATGAATGTCATGTAATGTGTCTAAAGATTTCCCTCCAGATCAAAATACCTGAAAATTCTCAAGCAGGGTCCTGAGTAAATGTAGGATCGGTCCACACTTTTGGACTTCGAGACGTCAAGTCCTACATTATATGATTCGGCTTCCTCTCCCGAGAGATGTCTACTCCGTAATCTGTTAACCATGTTTGCCGTGTGAAGTATTGACCTTCTGATTATGTGGATTCGTTACTCGTTTTGTACGTTATAATGAAGCACGAGAGAACAATGATCTTGGGCATATTTTCAACGGCGAGACAGCGAAGTGGTGAGATTTTTGACTGGTTATATACAGAGTTGCAGTTCCGGTAGTACTGTAGACCTTCCCTAGTCTTAGTTAGGCACCCGGCGGGTGTCATAGCTGTGGCATTGGAGATTGTCCTAGCACGAATGCCCCATCCCGGCTTTATGGACACCATTCCCATCCTTGCTGTTATCACAATTAGCACCTAAAAATATCTGGAGGGCAAGGTAGTACTTACACCTGAATAAGTAGCACAAACGCTTTGAGGCCAATCGGCATAACACGAGCCGGTATCAGTCCGAAGGCATCCTTGTGAACATGTCGCACATGTAGCTTGCGCTTGTTGCTGAACTGGGCTAGTAAGACCCAACCTAGCCAGGGAAAGAACACAAATAGTGGTGAGGAACCTCATGTTGGATGGTCGGTAGCTTAATCAGTGTGAGATTTGAGAGTAGCTAGATTGATGGAATAGACAGATGAATCAAATTATTTTGATCTCAAAGGGAGGAAAGCTGATCGCTTAAATACCAGAGAGTTTGGTGAAATCAAAGGAATTATGTTCTTCTAGATTAAAGGTGGGGCTGAAGAATTTAAGCCTATCTTGGTGTCTAGTTACCCGATCATTGGGATGCGTGAGCTACCGATCGATCGACAGATCGACCGACCGACCGCCACCTCAATGCCACTATCAGGAAGGGCTTCTTATAGCTTGTCCAATTTTGTAACTCTTGAGTAAATGGCACCCGTCTGGGATTTTGGTTTGCACTCACTATTTGCATACTGTCGGCAGGGTAATATCAATAGTTGAATGCGCGTGGGAGAAGTTCATCCAAGACTGTTGGAATCTAGATTCGCTAGCGTATCCTTCCGGCATCCGCGCGTGGAGGCTCGACCAAGGTGGTCATAGCACATAGCCTAGTGCCAGTTCTGAACTTAAGTCAGCATCGGGAGGGAGAATGCGTTTACATTCTCCCTCGTCAGAATCATTTCACCCCTTAGTTGAGAAAAGGCGCAGCTAATTGGTGAAAATGGTGCCACACATGCGTGGTTTGTTTGGCTATTGTATAAACAAAAATGAACCTATATAGCTATGTACGATGTATGACTTACGATTACCTGCCTCACATTCTGGTCTCACCATCATTCGACCTATGTATCAAGTCCTCAAGAATATCGTAGGATAAGAACACCAAAATACCGAAACTGGACCACCCGGCAGCCGACCACCCACCCAGCCTCATCTTTGAATGAAGCCCGTGGTAGCAACGGATAGGCTGCTGTGCGCTCCTATAACACGAATACCACTATGATCAAGATCCAAACAATGAGCAGCGCATAAGTGTAAGGAACTTCCCATTCCACGACTGCGACCTGATTCCACGCAAAATTGATCAATATCAGCCCGCTAACTCCTGTGGTAGCATCTCGTACGTCCAATCGTTCATATGTCGAGGGTCAGGGCGCGGCTTCTCTCGTTGGACGGAATGACGAGCAATCCAAGTACAGCAAAGATTACACAGGCGATTCCCATGATCCAGTATGCCCAAGGCCACCATAGTCGTTCAGCTGTCAAGGAGGAAAATGTCGCACCCAAGGTAAATCCACCTAGCGCTTCAGCTCCAAAGAGGCAAGATATCATTCTCTTCCAACGTCCAGGTGGACATGACCTGCCTAGAATTGAAACTGCAATTGGTAGAAGGAGAGCAGGCCCGATTCCCTGGAAAGCACGGCAGCAGTCGAAGAAGACTGGGTTGAACCACACGGAAAACCCAACCAGGATAGACCAAACGCCAACCCACATGAAGCCGATTGTGAACAATAGCCGGTGGTCATATGTATCGCCCAAGCTACCTGATACTAATTTCAATGTCCCGATTGTCAGGCTGTACGCGGCGAAAACCCATGTCAAGTTCCTCGGGGTACTATTGAGACTCGCGCTATCTATATGGAGAGGTGTGATTGCGAAAGCAAGACCAGCCTGGGTTATCTGCAGCTTCATGAATGGCTTCGGCTTGCCGAGGTCCGGGGTTTCATCTTTGGCTTCTAGATCTGCAGAGGGCGATCCCATTGAGCGCATGGGATGCTCGAGCTCCACTTCTGGTGGGGAAGGTATCTGGTGAATCTATTTCAGCCATTGTATCAGCTTCACTGCAAGCTTACGCGAGAAGCGTATAGAAGTCACCTCAGTCATGGTTCATAGCCTGTGGTTCTGTTTCTCTCGTCGTGGGGTCTGTCGCCATGTCTGCTTCAAGAAAGAGCACCCAAGAACGTGAATTTGTAAGGAACCATCGTAGTACAGTGGGGAATCATGATTCTCCGAACTGGATTTTCATTCGGCACCAGCGATTTTAGCTCAAGACTCGAAGATCGTAGGTTTCTTCCGACTTATCTTCTCGTTTGATTACCGTTGCTGATTGATAGACCGGCCTGGAGCCCAAATGCCCCGCGCGGGCCGTGCGAGCCAGTCGCCTTCGTCGGGAACAAAACACCACCAATGGAATTAGTTCAACCAATTATTTGCTTACCCTTAGCATAGCATTTGACAGCAATGAATAAGCTTTTGAAATCTATTAGAAACAACAAACAGATAATCTTGCGACTTGATATAAATCGCTGGGTATATCCACCACAATGGCCATGCACATCTCCTTCTGGTTCAATACTGTACTTCACCTAGACGAAATCCGACACCATGAAAGCCCTCCAGCTCACACGTCCTTCGGCAAGCGACCCTCCTGAATTGAGAACCGCAGATCTGCCCACTCCACAGCTGAAACCTGGCTATGCACTCGTGCAAATTCACTATGCCTCCATCCAACCATCCGACAGACTCAACGCCCAAGGCGGTTTCCCAGATACCACGTTCCCGCGTATTATCGGACGCGACTACTCCGGTACTGTGATTGATATCATGAGCGATAATGTGGATGCAAAGTCATGGGTCGGTAAACACGTCTACGGAACCAGCGGGTCAAATCTCGGTTTCGATATGGACGGTACACATGCTCAGTACTGCTTGATTCCGGAGAATGCGCTTGTCGAAAAGCCGGCTCAGCTGACGTCGATCCAAGCTGCAAGCGTTGGAGTCCTATTCACTACTGCAATGCTTTGTTTGCGGCGCGCACAAGTGAAGGCCGACGACGTTGTCCTCGTACTTGGCTCGAGCGGTGCCGTGGGGTCTGCCGCGGTGCAGATGACCAAGGCAATGGGATGCAAAAAGGTTTTGACGGCGGCACGTCGTGGAGATCCGAAGCCCGACGTGTCCCTGGCATCGAATGCTACCATTGAAGAGACTATCTCAGCCTTGACTGATGGAAAGGGCGTGGACGTTGTGATCGACACTGTGGGGGATTTGACATTGATGGCCACCGTCGTGGATCAGTTGGCTCTTCAGGGACGCTATACATGGATCACGGCTCCTCGGGGGAATGCTAGTAAGGAACTAGCATTTGACGTTCTCAAGGCATATCGCAAGGAGATTTCACTCGTGGGGTGCAATTCTGTTGCTCGGACACTTGAACAGACGGCGGAATACCTACGGTCAATGAACGGATGGATCGAGGCGGGTCTTTTAAAGGCGCCAAATGAAGCTCAGTTCGAAGTAGTGAAGATTGAAGATGCTATTGTTTCTGGTTATGGCAAGCCTACCCAGAAATCGGTCATTGACATGTCTTGAGGAGATTTCTTAGTTGTGGTTTCCTTCTATTCTGGATTTTGCTGAGCCAGAAAATAGCATTTACAGGTAGATCATCAATAAATGGGCACAGAATGTATTGGAACAACATTTAAACCCCTTGTAGAAACTTTACAGATCTACTGAGGAGGCGTGGAGATGTTCTGGTGAAGCTCCTTTCGCTGCACAGCACCAAAGCGCGTGTTGCCAACATCGAACACCTAACATTATTAGTTCACGTCTATCAGTCAACAACAGAGGCAGGATCACTCACAGCATAAATCCCCTTCAAGAAGGTATCACCCAGGATATCCATGTCCATCGAGCCTCGACTCTGAATGCCACCATAAATATACCCCGATTTGGCCACCGCAAAGCCCAAGTCCTCCTTTTGCACGACGAATTGTTTATCGCCAACCGCAAAGGACACAACCGGGAGATTTTCCAAAGCGGTGTTCTCCGGGTAGATATAGCCCTGGCTGTCATTGTCATAGTACGCGCCTTCAATCGCATCGTAGATCGCTTTGCACGTGCTATCATCAATGAGGGCCAAAGTGGTACCAGTATCAGCGATAGCCTTATTGCCCGCACGAGCGATCGATTTGCCATTCACGGTTGCCGATGTTGAGTCGAACAACCAAAAGCCCTGGCTTTTGTCAATGGGTGTGTAGTAGATATCCTCGCCCGAGGCTTTCACGGTATCCTGGTCGATGTATCCAAATGTGTAGAAGGACTCGCCCTTGTCAGGCTCATCCTGGTCACGCCAAGAGCCTAGCTTTGCCGTGAATAGCTCTGCACTCTTTGGAATATCCTCTTGCGAGATCATGTTCTCGACGGGTGTTTTGACGGCGGTGGGCTGGACTGTGTTGATGTTGCCGAACGCCAAGCCAAGTAGACCGTCACCAGCACCACTGGCAAACTGTGCAGACAGAGTGTCTGCTAGTTCGATGGCCTGGCCCTTGACTACGACGCCGCCGATATTGACATCGTCGTTGCCAACCGTGCCAGAGGCGGAAGATCCGTCTCCATAAGAAATCTTCCATGTGGAACCATTTTTGTTCTTGAATGAGGTCGACTTGCTGGGGTCAAAAACTGTATGATTCTTATTCGCGGATAGCGTGGCAGATGGCAACTTTGTTGACCAGACCTGTACACCATATCAATATTCATTCAATCTCCAACGATGCTCATCTCTTACCCAAAGGTCCGCAGAGCCGGTGTCAAAGTCAAGGTTCAGATTCTGTGCAGGGGTGCCAATACCGATCTGAGCCAGATACATGGAATCATTCTGCACATCGTCGGCGCCAACCTCTCCAGTCTGGTTGGTATCGGCGCTCTTCTTCTGCAGGACTTGACGAGCATGAACGCGGCCCCCAATAGGTTTATCGGTGTACTGACGGCCGGTCTGTTGCATGACCGTGCCGATAGTGTAAGGGCCTTCCTTAGTTGGATGGAAGCCATACTTTCGTATCAAATGCACGTACGACTTGGTCCCTGATGGCTTGTAGTGCGGGTTGGGAATAATCTTGATCTTAGTAGCAGCCATGGCGGGAGGTTTGCGGCAAAGTTTGGATTTGAGAAACTGGATGATTGACATGACTGGAACTACTCTCAATTGTACGGAATATATATACTCAGTATAGATCTGATTATGGCGTGAGCCAACTATGACGGGGCTGGCTGAAATTGTGCGTCCATCGCCGTTTTATCTTGAGTGGGACTGCCTGGAGACAGGTTATTTGCCTACTGCCCCTGTTTATTGTGCATATCCTGCCTCTTCTGTATGGTGACTTTCGTCATCGCAGGTGACAGGGCTTTTATTAGCGTGGAATCTAGTGCCTAGTGCCAATCGACGTAGCATTCCTCGGTGTCGGATCGGCAAAAGTGTATCAGGCGAGCCGGGGGGGGGGGGGGGGGGGGGGGGGGGGGGGGGGGGGGGGGGGGGGGGGGGGGCGCCGGCACTAGGCAAGAGGGGGATGCAGAAACACAAGATAAGCCTTGAATTACTTTCTAGTACTGTACTATCTTTAATTTGGCATGACACGGTTAATCATCTGAACGCCGATCCCTGATATCCGAACGCAGACCGTCCCCACCATCAAATAGCAACACAACCCGGGTAAATACAAGATACAGGAGAAGTCACTTCAGCGCTTTCGGCTCTTGGACTTGGGTGCGTTGGCAACGCTGCCCGCCCGAGAATTCGTCGTGGAAGCGTTCTTGCTGCCCTTGGTGGGCTTAGCTTGTTTAGCCTAGAAGAATCGGGTTAGATGATGTGATCGGCTACCATCGCCACGATGCGAGTACTTACTGTGGCGCCATTCTTAGCCTTCTTCTTTGCAGGTGCCGCGTCATCGTTTTCTTCTTCCTCGTCACGGGCGCGACCGCGGCCTTTGCCCTCACCATTGGCTTTGGTGTCCTTGACGTCTTTGGTGTCGGGCTCGAACTCCTTAGCAACGGTGTTGAGCAGCGTCGTGCAGCGGCGACTGATTTCAACCGGGGTACGGCTGAGGAAGAACCAGTCAAAGCGGAACAGTGGAGATTCGCGAACCTCGTCCCGGATCTTCTCGAACAAGCCGTCACCCTCGACACCGTATTTGTCAAGCATGACCAGTAGGAAGCGGTCCTCTTCTTCGGTATAGACCTTCTTGTTGGTTGTAGACACGGTGTAGTTGATCTTGAGCTGCTGGAGAGGCACGCGGTACATTTCCATCTTCTTGCGCAACATCTTGCGCTGATGGTTCATCTTCCGCAACTTCTCCTCTCCTTGATCAATCACTCGTAGGTACTTGGGGTAATCTTCGATCTCGGTGTAGCGTTCCCAGAAGACTGCGGCGTATTCCTCGATCTCATCGGGCTCCTTGCTATCAATTTCGGTGGCAATGCCCTCGTAGTCGGTGCGCCCAAACTTGGCTGATCCGTTGACGAACTGTTGGAAGTCACGGCGGTTCCAGTTTGAGAAGCCTTCTTCTGTCATGGCGTTCTTCTTGGCCTGCTCTTCCTCCGTCAGAGGCTGGGCATTATCGATGGTGTATTGTGCCAGCTCTCGATCTGCCTCCCGCTCACTCAGAGTTTCCTCTGGGCCCTCTGGTAGCTCAGCCTTGTGGCCGATCTGCTTCTGGTGCCAGGCAGTCTCCTGCGCCTGAAGCTCCTGCAGTTCGGGTGGGAAGAACTGCCAGTCGTGAATGGTAATCTGCTTTGGTGGGCGAGGTACCTTTGGCTTGGTGTCGGCAGTGCGGCCACCGGTGGCCAACGCCTGACGATAGTACTTGTCGATGGAGTAGAACTGCTCCTTGCGCTCACGCTTGGCAGGGTTGATCCAAGTCATACCGATGTCCTTTTTGCGGTCGGTAAAATCCTTGCCATTCCACTCGTATGCGCTCTCGGAGCTGAATTTCTGCAGGTCATCGATACCCAGTGTTTCATACTTCTTATTCAACTCGGCCGTCCTTTCTTCACCCTTTCGAAGGATAGAGTCAAAGTCGTCTTCAGTAAAGTCCGTTGAGCTGCCGTCGGCAGCGTCTTTGTTGCTGAAGACATTGGCGGCGCCGTGCTGAATCATACCGAGCAGCTCATCCTTTGAGGCGGCCTTGTTAGAGCCCTGCTGAGCCCGGCCCTGTTGGATGACAAGTTGGTCCAAGCGCAGTTTTTGGGCCGCCCGCTCCAGAACCTTCTCCTCAATCGCGTTTTCAGTAACAAACCGGAAGACCTTCACCTGCTTGGTCTGACCGATACGGTGGGCACGATCCATGGCCTGCAGATCAGCTTGGGGATTCCAATCGCTGTCAAACAGCACCACGATGTCGGCTGTAGTCAAATTGATACCCAAACCACCAGCACGCGTGGTCAGAAGGAAAATGAACTTCTCTGACCCGGGTTTGTTGTAGTCGTCGATAGCGGCAATACGGTCCTCGTGAGCTGTGGTACCGTCAATGCGACAGTACTTGTACTCGCGGAACACACAGTAATCTTCCAGGATATCGAGCACACGGCTCATCTGCGAGAAAATAAGCACACGACTGCCATCCGCCTTCATGCGCTTCAGAAGCTTGTCAAGGATCGCCATCTTGCCGGAATTGTACACGAGATGTTCATCAGTGGTGTATGGAGGGCCAGGCTCCGCACCTTCGAACAGGTAGGGGTGATTGCAGCACTTGCGCAACTGCATGACAATGTTCAACAGACGGGTCTTAGACTCGCGCTTGCCACCAGCTCCATTCACTGCATCAATGTCCTTCTCGAGAATCTTCTGGTACCATTTCCGCTGCATTTCAGCCATAGGAACGTACAGGTTCATTTCCTGCTTCGGCAAGAGACTCTTTTCGACGTCACTCTTCACACGTCGAAGCAAGAATGGCCGCAAGACACGGTGCAGTTGTTGCACCACGGTATCTTGGTCAGAGTCTTGGCCAGAGAACCACTGGTCGAAGGCCTCGGAATCTCCAAAAACATCTGGGAGCAGGAAATTGAGCAGAGCCCAAAGCTCGTGCAAATTGTTCTGCAGCGGAGTTCCAGTGATCAACAGTCGGTTGCGCGAGTTGAAGAGGCGAATGATCTGTGATAGGGAGGACTCCTCATTCTTAATACGATGGGCCTCGTCAATGATGATGTACTCCCAGGGAAGCTTTTTCAGGGCAGATTTCTCTCGAAGAATCATCTCGTAGCTGGTAATGCAAACATCGAAATTCTCGTCCGCCAAACGTTCGTTGATCAAGCGCTGTCTCTCATCTTTGTCACCTTGAAGAACAAGGACATCGATGTCGGGAATCCACTTGGCAAATTCACGCTTCCAATTATCGAGGGTGGACTTCGGTACGGCAACCAAGTGCGGTCCGGTAATGTCACAGATAAATCGCAGGTAGCCCAAAAACGAGATGGTCTGCAGTGTCTTTCCGAGACCCATCTCATCGGCCAAAATTCCGGAAATACCGTTCTCATGGAGAGATACGAGCCAGTTCAGACCAGCAACTTGGTAGTCGCGAAGTTGGCCGTGGATGAATGCGGGTGATTCGCGGAACACAGTGGTATGGTCTCCGCCCCGCTTCTCATCTTGCAGAAGTTCAGCGTCCTCTTCTTGTTCGGTCCGACGGCGTCGTTCACCACTCGCACCACCAGAGCGCGAAGTGCCCTTGCGAGCCTTTCCAGCCTGCTCTTCATTCTGACGGTCAATCTCGGCCATGATCTCCTTAATACGGGGATTGGGGTTGGTCTCGATAAAGTGGCGAAACAGGTCAGTGAGACCGAGAAGGTAGCGGAATCGGCGAATCGAGTCATCTTCCTACGCGCAGATTTCAGGATTAGCTGGCTGAAAAAGGATGCGGAATCATCTCACTGCGTACCTTAGACTCGTCCAAACGGCCGTGCTTCTTCCCCAGAATGCTTTTCCTCAGCTGTATAGCCTCCGATCTGCGACGGCGGCCATCTGCTTGGAGGTCGCCTGCGACGCTGCTAGCAGTTGTGTTGGGGTTTGTGTCGGAATCCTATAAGAAAAATATGCTATCAGTCACCCATCTATGTGTCGATGTATTGAGGAAAGAGTCAATCATTACCGTGTAGTCGGGGGTGTCTTGGTAGCTCTAGAAACGGCTCAAAATTAGTGAATGTTCCAGGAAACAGATATCGAGTCAAACTGATGCCGCGGAGAATCAACTCCCGCCACCCGATGTGAAACTTCCAAGATCCGGAGGAGCATCTCATACCTGAGGCGCGTCAGCACTGTCGACAGGAATCGACGGAATAACGTCATCATATGCGTCTGTCATGGGAGTATCTGCCTGCGATGGCGAGTCGGTCGGGGCTGGCGCCATCGTTACGTTCGGTGCGCGGAGCGCAAAGGTCAATGCAATGAAGGCACAGGCACGTCCTGTTTAATATCCAGTCGCGCACTTCGATAAAATTTGCAGTTTCCAGTCCTTGGAAACAATTCGAAGCAAAGACACAATACTTCCAAAAAGATCGACTGGGTCCAAGGAATCGAAAGGAATTGAGAGTCTGGCTCGGTTGGAGAGGGGAAGATGGACAGATGAGAGCGCAAGAGAAACGCCAGGCGCGCCGAAGAATACTTGGAGAGCGCGGCGAGTGGACACGCGCTGATTGGCCCCAGGCAGCCTCCCGTGCGGAGCTGACTCAGCCGGTTACCAGCACTTCGGAAAATAAGTTTCCCCGCAAGGTGGGGTCACGTTACCGGGTCAGTGCAAAAAGCGCAGAAGATCATCTGCAGCAACAGGTACTTGCTAGTGTGAGCCCCCTCCTCCGGCCCTCTAACGACACTCTACGATTATACGAGTTGAGCATTTGATCTGGCTCCTTCCCAGCTTCATTCCAACTTGGGGCCAGCACCTTCTTCCTTTATATACTCTATTTTCCTTTGTTGAACCGATTTGGGGCAACTTCGCCTTTGAAGCACGGCCCGCTACATCAGACCACGCCGGTGTCAACATCGCTTGCCTCCTGCTCTACACACACCTTCCTTAGTGCTTTGCACCAACCTTCATCCACCATGGACTCCATGCGATCCTTGAACACATCTTTACCGAAATCAACACCGCGCCCGCAGCCGTCCGAGCAACTGCTCCAGTCTTTCAAAGCGGCAGCCCTCTCTGTCACCAATTTATACAAGAATGCTGTATGCGAACAAGCCCAGGCGAGGTCTGCGGGCTACCAGGAAGCTATTGAAGATTTGCTCCACTTCTTGGACCGCGAGAATTTAGGCCTTGATGACGGTGAGGGGTGGAAAGTCAGGCAATGGGCAACGGAGAAATGTGATGGCACGGCATCCCTGACGAGTGATGAGGATGAGCGAGTGGACTCGGAGAAGCTGGATCGAAGTTCTACGCCAGTTACCACCCGCAAGGAAACACCAACACAAGAACCTCCATCTCGCCCGCAACCCGCTTCCATCCCTGCCGCCGTGCCTCGACCTGAGACTACCGCCCCCGCACCGCAACCACAAGGCACCAATGCTGCATCGCCAACGGTGTTTACATTCACCGCAGGACCGACCTTCCCCCAGTGCCAGGAACTCGATATGGATATGCAATCATCGGACAATTCTACCTCGCCATCGCAGGATGGTGCGCCCGTCAGCGTCTCCTTGATGCCTCGAACCCCCCGCCAATCCCATCGCCACAGCCACAGCCACAACCACAACCACTCCTGTCCCAACGTGCGGCCTCCTCCACGAGAGACTTCAGCCAGCCTAGGATCCAAGAGGAAATTCACCTTTCCAGACTTCTTTGATCTGTCCAGCCTACCGAACGGAAGAGACAACACGCTTGGAGGAGGGAAACGCAGCCGGTTTACCTAGGAACACTCATACCTAGTCTCAACGAACTCGACGAAATGACGAATATTTTCTTCTGATTGTCACGCAGCAGCTGGGTGGCCACTTTGGGGTGTTTTTTTTCGGGTGCATATTGGGGGAAGGTGAAATCTTGCATACATCTATGGCTTCTTTCTGCATCTTCCTGCTTCTTTTCTGGTTGCATCCTTTGGGTTTCTTTTTTTTCCCTATTCTTTGTTTCATTCACTTCCTTGTTTCCCTTCCCCTTTCTTTCTCTTATCCCTGCCATACAGCATATAGAGGAATCGTGTTACGGTGATACCCGGTGTGGCAGCTATCATTAATCGTGATGGTTCAACAAATATCATACATATAACCCCCAACCTTGTCCTTCCTTCAATATCGTACAGACCCTCGTAGAGAGTAGGCTGAGCGTATGCTTGCAGCACTTGTAGCGTAGATGCAGAGCTCCATATTGGAAACAATCAATTGAAAGCCCTCCAGACTCCCAGGCCAATAAGACTGGCCGAAATAGTGGCAATGCCGAGTCGTCGAGATCCCATCTTATACTTTGTAGGGCCTTGCATGATGGCCGTTTCTTGCTTGCGGAGGTTTTTCATGCCAGTGTAGTAGCTGTAGACTCCGAGACCGACGAATGCAGCAGAACCTGTAGATAAACGGTTTGTAAACAATTACATAACCCTGCGCGATCTTTGGGCATATTCAAACCTACCAGTGACTCTGCACGACATACAGTCGTCCCACTTATCATCGGCAATCGCCTGCTTGGCAGAGCGAATATCGGAAGGCGACGACATTTGGATTTAATAGGTTCCTGAGAGAGCTTCAAAGCTAAATCGAGCGACCGATGCACTCCTGAAACTTCGATATGTTCGATCTGGCGGTGACTTTATCGGGGGGATCCTCTCGCGCAGCCAAAAAGTAATCATGAGGCGGGACTCCGCGGCAGAATGCACAGCTTCATATCGAGCTATACGGCGCCAAGGCATCCTGACCCCAGACAACTGTCATCATGAGCGGCGAGATCGATGCCCTCTACATATTTGACGAGCACAAGTATGTTATTTGGCTTGCCATTTGTTTAATCATACTAACATCCCTCTTCAAGTGCCCCTCTCGTCGAGCATGTTTACCGATCCCGCCCGCCGTCGGCCGCGGCCATCCTGCCCCTCTACCTCGCTCATGCTGCCCCGCGACCTTCCTTGATATATCTCCCCGGAACTACACCTCCAGTGACGGTGTTTTCAACTGTTCAGTCGAATCTGCTGTTCCTCGCCATGTCTGAGGTAGATACGGAGCCGCTGTTGGTTCTGGAGTTCCTGCATCGCGTGGTCGATGTACTCGAGGAGTTCGTCGGCGCCCCATTGCTATCTACCAAGATACAAGCCAATTACGAGGTCGTAGCGCAGCTGCTTCATGAAATATGTGATGGTGGAGTGGTGTGTAATACCGAACCCAATGTCTTGCAAGAAGTTGTGGAGGTGCCGGGGTGGATGGGGAAGCTCCTTGGAGGTATTAGCGTGCCTGGGTAAGAACCGAACCTGGGTGATTCATGCTACGTGGACTGTCTTGCTGATCTTGTATTTATTTAGCGCATCGACGCCTACAACAACCAACCCTCTAAAGCAATCGCTGGCCGCGGCCAGCGCAGCCCAAGGCCCCGCAATTCCCTGGCGGCGCTCCGGGGTTCGACACACTTCCAATGAGCTATATGTCGATATCATCGAATCTTTATCTGTGACAATGGCTCCCTCTGGCAGGTTACTTTCCGCATTGGTCTCGGGGACTATTGCCTTTACCGCAAAGATATCTGGAGTGCCAGATTTACTTCTATCATTAACAGCGCCAGGCGGCCAACAGTCTCTCGCGCGCAAGATTGAACTACCCGTATTCCACCCCTGCGTTCGCCTGGCTCGTTGGCGGGATCGACCGGGCGAGCTCAGCTTTGTCCCCCCGGATGGACGGTTTATTCTAGCAGGCTATGAAGTGGATCTACTCCCCATAGACCCGAGTCTCGATCAACCGCCTAGCCACATGGAGAAGCTGTTCCTTCCTGCCATTGTGGATATTCGAAAGGGACTGGGACCTTCCGGTGCAGACTTTGAAGTTCGGCTCACTCTGAATACAAACTTCCCGGGACAGACTTCATCATCGCGGCCAGCTGCGTCGCGAGGTGGATCCGGAACATCAACACCCTCTTTCCTTGGTGGCGGTAGTGGAAACTCCTCTGGACCGGTTCTAGAGGAAGTGGTCGTGACCGTCCCCATTTCTAAATCTGTGCGGCACATCACGGACCTGCAGGCCAGTCGCGGCGATGCGCAGTTCACCCATGCCAGCGGTCTCATCGAATGGCGAGTTCCGACTGGCAAGGATGCCGGGACGATATCCGGGACCGCAACTCTTCGCTGCACTGTCTCCAGCTACCCATCTCCGGATGAAGATCTGGACGACAGTCTAGAAGATGAAGATGCCGATACCAACCTCCTTCAGGGCTACTACGAGGCCCCTGCTTCCTATGACCCATCCACCAGCACTACCAGGAAGAGCCGAGACCCTTCCAAACGAAAGAAGAAAAAGAAGAAGTCTAGCAAAAAATCCCGCGCGGCCGAAGAAACCGGGGAGACCCCTGCTGATGGTGCATTGGAAGACCGAACCAAAGCTAAAACACCCTCCCCCAGCCATTCTAAACCTCACACCCCGCAACCTCAAGCCCTCACCCACACTTCCTCCCAGCTTCCAGCCTTCTTTACGCCTTCTACGTCTTCAACTTCCCGCTCCACCCCCCGCAGAACCAAAGCCCAAATCAACGCCAGCCTGATGCCGAATTCGGCCTCGGTCTCTTTCTCCGTGCGCGGCTGGCTCCCATCCGGTATCAGGGTGGAGAGTCTGAACATTGATCAACGTCGAAGTCGCGGTCTAGGGGAGAGTGTCAAGCCATATAAGGGGGTGAAATACCTCTGTGTAAGCAAACGCGGAGTGGAGCGACGCTGTTAACCAGGATTTCTTGATTTCGGAAAATACAAATGTGCATTGAGGAGGCGATCATGAAGTCAAGAATCTCAACGTGACGGCATGAATAACGAATGATATACTATTCAAACACACATCGATCCAGGCCCGCGAATAAAATTGAGAATAAATCCATAATCCATAATCCATACCTTTTACCTTTTCCCCGGCCAAGACCCCTGCAAGACCCTGGTCCGAACCTAACTTACCCAAACTACCGTACATCCTATATAAGAGCGACGTAAGTCCGCCCAATCAGCCGCCAAGTTCGGTCCGTTCGTGGGGAAAGCTTGGATGAGAGCTTAAATGGACAGGGGGATCCAGGGAAGTCTGGTTGAGGCCTCCTAGGTACGTATTTCACGATGGCAAATGATGTCTCGCGCGCGGCTGAGGCCGGGTTGGGGATCTATGGGATGTGCATCTTCTTTCCATGTTAGAGGACTGGCTGTGAGGGTAATTCATTGTTGCGTAGACCTGAGCACGTTGTTGATTCTTGGCGGAAATAGGTACGTAATGCTAGAGATCGAACTACATCGACCAAGATATATATTCTGTTGAACGAAAGGAGCTCAACTCCGTACACCAACATATATATCTCCGAAACGCGGTTTCCATATTTCGATTCTCAAAGGTCAAGTTCGATCTCTCGATCATCGTCGTATAATTACTTGCATGTTGTGATCTCTCAGCTACTCAATTTCCCCAAAAGCCGCCCGACCCAAGCTTATTCCCCAAGCCGCGGCAACCTTATTAGCCAGTGAGTTCACTGCCCTTTCCTCGGGCCATCTTGCACGAAATTCTAAACTGCCCTATGCACAGCTTTCGATCTGACCGCAGACATCCAATCAGTACTGGGCAACTGCAGTCCAGTCCGGCCAGGCCGATAAGCCCACGCAGCTCGCACGGCACTAAACCCAACTGGTCCGCTGAATCGTCGATTCGCGATTTGCTTAATTATCACGCCATTGCAACTCCGCGACTGCCCCTGCCGTTCTCTGGACAGATTCTACTCGTTTTCCGCTTGAAATCCAGGCCTCTGGTCTCGGAGAGGATCCGTGGGACGCGAATAGGTATCCTACCAGCTGCCCTGATAGGTTTAGGTACGCCCGTAAGCCAGAACAGGTATCTCGTAGCATGGCGCAACTCGTCGCATAAAGGCAATAATGGCGCGAGGTAATCACGACCCTGTCATCCACGTGTAATTTTTTTTCTTTTTTTTTCTTTTCTGTTTTTCTCTCGTATTGCCGGGATCGACTTGCTTTAAATGCTGCAGGGTCTGTAGATCGAGAAAGGTTTTTTTGCTTCTTATCTGTTCACTGGTTTCTTCTTTCTACCCTTGTCACTCTTCTCCGCGCCCTCTTGACTAGCTTACCCTTTCCTCCCCTCCCTCATTCATCATGTCGAAGATCAAAGAAGTCGACGAGAAACAACAGCCAGGCTATCTGTCGAGCACGGAAGGTGACGAGGCGAGCTCGTTCGACACGATCACAGCCCTCGTGGCCGAAGGTATGGCAACGCCCCCCTACGAAGCGGGCTGATGTTGGATATCCTTGATTTTAACGATGCTTGTCTAGACCACGAACATGAAATCAAGCTGCGAACTATGTCATGGCAGAAAACCGCCGTTCTACTGGCGGGCGACCAGGTCTGCCTGGCAATCATGGCGCAGTCCTGGTCTCTCTCGTGAGTCAATGCCTGCGTCGCAAATCGTAAAGAAGACAAGGTCGCATGAACTAACACATGATTGCGCCTGCAGAGTCCTCGGATGGGTTCCCGGTATAATCACCATGGTCCTCGCTGGTGTTTTGTTCTGGATTACTTCTATTACCATGCACAAGTATATCATGAAGTACCCGCAAATCAAGGATATTTGTGAGCGCAAATCGAATCATTCAAGGGCACGATTAACGGACTCTATTCGCTCATACTGATAATACTTGACACTCAGGCGATTTCGGATACTACGTCTTTGGCCAAAGCAAGGGAGCCTACGTCTTTTCGGCCTTCATGCTTCTCGCCAACAATATCCTGTTGATCGGTTTCCACGTTCTCACTGGAGCCAAGGTCCTGAACACTCTGTCGGGCCACACTCTATGCACGGCTGTCTTCTCCGTCATTGCGACTATCATGGGCATTATCATGTCCGCTCCACGGACTCTGCACCATGTTAGCTTCATGTCGATGTTTTCCGGTCAGTACCGGCTCTTTTTTTTTTTTCGATATTTGTTGTATACTTTGCTAACACTCCCGCACTGTAGCTGCCTGCATGGGAATTGCCATCCTTCTCTTCCTCGTCTTCGCCGGAATTGAAAAGGCCCCGTTGTACGGGTACAATGGCGACTACCCCACCGACGGGCCTGTCAAGACCTACGCCTTTCCTCTACCCGGCACCACCTGGGTTGCCTGCATGAATGCCGTGCTGAACATCACCTTCCTCTGGGTGCCGCAGATCCTCTTCCCATCCTTCATCGCCGAGATGGAACGCCCGCAGGACTTCCCCAAGGCCCTCGCCGTTCTCGCAGCTATCTCGGCTATACTCTTCATCGTGCCCCCAGCCATTGGCTTCAGGTATCTGGGACAGTACTCCACGGCGCCTGCTTTCGGCAGTCTCGGTGTGACCGCGTATAAAAAGGCCTCGTTCGGATTCGTCATCGTGCCCACGCTCATCATCGGCGTGATCTACGCCAATGTCACGGCGAAATTCATCTACGGCCGAGTCCTGGGCAAATCCAGACACGCCCACAGCAATACCGTCATCGGATGGGGAGTCTGGGGCCTGATTATGATTGGTATCTGGTTGCTTGCATTCGTCTTCTCCGAGGTTGTCCCCAGCATGGGCGATTTCCTCTCGCTGCTCAGCGCGGCCTTTGATTCGTTCTTTGGATACATTTTCTTTGCTGTCGCTTATTGGCAGCTGAACCGAGGTCAATTGTTCAGCGGGTTGACCAGGACGACTATGACGCTTGTTAATATTTTTATAATGATCGTTGGCCTTTTTATTCTGGGACCGGGCCTGTATGCCGCGGTGGAGGCTATCATTGCCGATTACTCGGGCGCTACAACGCCTGCGTTTACATGTGCTAATATGGCTATTTGAAGGAGACATGGGGAAATGACGATGAATTCACGAGGAATGAAGAGTTAGAGAGTTGATAGCTTCATACTTTCATGTCACACTACTATGCTGAAGCACGGCTCACATAGGAGAGATGAAAATAATAACATGCTACTCGGCACAGTGACACTGCATTTCAATTGCAGTTCACATGACCGGTCCGGACAATTTGCTACATATAGATAATTACACAATAACGAGAAACCCGGTCAAAAAAGCTAATATCCAACCTAAATGGGTCTCCCAATTCCCCTTATTGGTCGGATTCTCTCCACACAGGGATGATCACAATTTCGACGATCGCTTTTCGAGGACTTGGAGCACGACGTAGGCAACTACAGAGCATGTTAGACATATGTTTCCAGAAGAAGGCCCCATTTTTTTTTGGAACAGAGTGGTACAGCAAGTGCGGAAACCAGACAAGACAAACAGGACGAGAAGAGGTAGATTCAATTAAGATTAAGACACTTAGGGTACGCGGTTTTTCCTCTAGGTATCCAGTTGCGGGGAAAGGAAAGATGGGAGGAAGGAAGAGGAGAAGAGTAGAGTGTAAAGGTAGGAGGAATGAAACGGCTATATCAACAGCCAGAGCAAGAGCAAAATCAAAGTGATGTTTCAAGGGGGGTATACGGGGTATCAAAAAGCCTCAAATGACTGATTAGGGCATTGGCATATCGACATGGAGGACACGCCGAAGGAACAGCCCAAATCAATAGATGGCGTCTCCTTTCATCGTGAAGAGGCAAGATTGGAGAGAGATATCAAAACAAAAAGTAGGAAAAGATGTCGTATGACAAGGTCACAAAAGCACAAGGGGATATGGAGATCGTGTAGATGACGGAACCAAGATCGGAGCAGGAAAAAGGCAAAAAGAATAAGGACGAAATGGGTATCTACTCACTGGCAGCAACAACAGCAGCACGGCCAGCTCCGGCCTTCGCACTTCCGCCACCCAGAGTCAAGATGAAGCGCAGCCAGCCGAGCGGCACCTTCTGGCCGCTACGGTCAAAGTCGGGCACCAGGGCGCTGGCGGCCTTGAATTTGCTCAGCTTGCCGGCATAGGGCGGGTAGCGGATAGAGAGGATAGACTCGAGCCAGCCAGGGCTGCTGGTAATGGGACGGCGGTGCACCCAGACATCGAAGCTGGAGCGGCCGCGGTAGGCACCGTGACCACTCTCACCGACACCGCCGAAGGGAAGAGTGGGGATATGCAAGGCAGCGTCGTTGCAAGAGACACCACCGGAGCGGGTGGAGGCGATGACTTCAGAAATTGTTAGATTCGGGATTGTTTGGCTGTGAGAACAATGGGAAAAGGTCTTACTCTTGGCAATATCGGCCTTGGAACCGAAGGGGTATAGGCCTAAGGGGGTGCTTTGAACGCCGTTGGCGAGGCTGATAGCCTCATCCAGGTTCTCGACGGGCAGTATAGTAATAAAAGGACCGAAGCTCTCCTGTGTGCACAATGAATCCTCAACGGAGTCGACCTGAATAACGGTGGGCTCGATGAAGAGCTCCTTCTCGTCCATAGTACCACCCAGCAAGATCTTGCCCTTGGTGTTATCGAGCATGGACTTGAGGCGCTGGAAGTGAGTCTCATTGATAATCCGCGAGTAATCGGGTGAGTTCTTAGCACCCTTAGGGTAGAACTCGGCATAAGCCTTCTTGAACTCCTCCACGACACGAGGCACAATCGTCTTATCAACGAGTAGGTAATTCTGCGATGTGCACAATTGACCCGCATTTAGGGTCTTACCCCAGAGCATACGGCGCGCAACCAGACGCGGATCGGCATTCTTGGTGACAATGGCCGGGTTGATACCGCCCAGCTCGAGGACGACAGGGGTCAAATGAGGGGCCGCGGCCTTGGCGATGATACGACCAACGTTGGCGCCACCAGTGAAGAAGATCTTATCCCAGCGCTCTGCCAAAAGAGCCTGTGTCTCGGAGACACCACCTTGAACAACGGAATAGCAGGAAGGGTCGAGGGAAGCCTCGCAGATCTTTTGCATAACGGCGGCGCTGCGGGGAGCGTTCTCGGAGGGCTTAATAACGACGGTGTTACCGGCGGCGATGGCTCCAATAACAGGGCCCATAGTGAGCTGGAAGGGGAAGTTGAAAGCACTATATCGAGTCGTAGAAAAGTAAGCAACAGATCAACTTGCCGTTGTACCACTGGAGTGTTTGTTAGGGGGAAAATAGATCACCTACCCAATGACCAACACGCAGCCGAGAGGATCCTTGCGAATCTTGGGGCTCATGAACTTGTAGGACAGTTCGATATCGGGAGCCTTCTCATCTTTCACCCACTTGTGCAGGTTGCGCGTGGTGAAGACGATATCGTTGAGTAGCCAACCGCTCTCGGCGATCTCTGACTCGAACCGCGGCTTGTTCAGGTCCTGGGCGCAAGCCTCGACGATCTCCTCCTCATGGTCCTTGATGCTGCGCGAAAAAGTCAATCCATCCACTCTCAATTGAAAGAAAGCCATATCCACCGGTTGCTGGGAAGGTACTCACGCCCAGTAGAGCTTGCGAAGCTGGACGAGACGGAACTCGACATCGCGGGTCTTGTTCTCCAAGAAGGACTTGCGGAGGGTGGAGATGCGCTCGGGGATGACCTCGAGCGAGGTAAATTTCAAGTCAGGAAGCTGAACACCCATCTTGATGTCAATATAGATAAAATAAAAGAATTCAACAAGGCCAGGGGGCAAAATGGTGTCAAGGCGGGAAAGGAGCTTTAGGCTCGAGGGGCGGGGCTTCTTAAGAGGGAAGAGGTAAGAGGTCTCCGCATGGCACATGCACTCCGCTCGGCTTATTTGGCTGATGCAGACTGTCGATCCCCGACTCCTTTTTTTTTTAGTCTGCAATCTTCCCTGCTCCACGGCTTTATGGTACGGTTCTTGCTGAACTTCAACATCCCAAGGCAAATTGATCGATTTGGGTGATATTGCCTCATGGTCTACTCTGCTTTTTTTTTTTTCTTTTTTGTTACTCTTGTTACAGCTCTCAAGACCATCCTCGATCTTGATGGCCCAGCCCGACCGTTGGCCAACTCCACCGGGCCCTTCAACCGCGGCTTCACACAGCCCCGCTTAGAATGGCGCCCGCCCGTATGGCCTCTCTGATTGGATGCGGCTCAGTGGCTCAAGAAGTGATGAGTTGATCTTCCCGGCGAGCTCACAATGACAACGCCGAATCCCGAACGATATACTCCGTAAAAAAGAGTGCCGGGGAAACCAACGCGATCGAGTAATTTGGCTCCGTACGAAGTGATGGGTGCCTAGATTGATTGAATAGCTCTAAGTTGCCTAAGGTATGGTGAAGTCAAGAGGTTAGGTCAAGATTACTCATGCATGAATTTTTCAAACTATGCAAAAAAATGACACTCGGCTCGTCTCCAAGGGTATGCCGATGGGGAATCAGGTCAAGTCGAGACTATATCACACATGACACGGAGATGGAAAGAAAACAGAAAAAGGAACAAAAAGGTTAATAGAAAACGCCGCAATGAATCCCAACAGATATACAACGACTCTTCATCACTTCTCTTAAACGCTCATGACGGAGCATACCTCTGCTCAGTTCTTGAACTGGTCCTCAGTCACACCCTTGCCCATAGCAGCAGTGCTGCTCACACCGCCAGAGACCATCTTGAGCAGGTTATCAACGTAGTTGGCACCACTCCACTTCTGGTGAGTGACGACGTCGACGCCCTGCTCCATCTCGGGCTCCTGGACCAACTCGCCGTAGGCACGCATACCGTTCTGCGCATAGGCCTTGGCGAACTGGTGCGAGATGAGCGCGGTCGTGTGCAGACCGGCCAGGGTGATGAACTGCCAGCAGTAACCCAGCTGGCCCAGGCGCTTGATGTAGGTCTCCTGCTCGTCGCGGGGCATGGCCTTCTTCCAGTTGAACGAGGGGGAGAGGTTGTAGGCGAGCCTGAAGAAAAAGAAGAAATATGTAAGTACAATGACAGATTGAAGTATAAGCTGGGACGAGAGGAATGACTCACTTCTGCTCGGGCCAGACGGCGTGAACACCATCAGCAAACTCCTTGGCCTGCTTGTAGTCGGGGAGCTTGCTCTCCATCCAAATCAGATCGGCGAAGGGCGCATAGGCGATGGCACGGTTCACGGCGCACTGAGTACCACCCTGGTAGCGATAGTAACCCTCACGGGTACGGGGAGCATCCCAGTTCCAGTAAATGTCAACACCGGTGATATCCTTGGCAATGGCGCGGGCCTCATTGTTGCCCTTGCCCTTGGCCGCCTTGAGGTACTTCTCAATCAGACCCTTCTTATCAGAGTGGGAGCCGGCATTGATAGTATCAACAACGGCCTCGTTGAAGAGCTTGAGACCAGCCTGGGCAGTCCACTGGTCCTCAATGGCCTGCAGCTCGGCGCCGTTCTTGCCGGCCTGTTCGGCAGCGACCATCAGATCGTTCAAGGCCTGGAGGTTAGGGTTGGTAGAGCCGACAATGAAGGCGTGGTCACGGTGGTCAATGGAGGAGGAGATGAGAGTGGCGGCCTCGGAGTCGGTACGGGCAATGGCGAGGAGATCGGTGCCCATGATATCGGCCTGGGCACGGATGGCAACCAGGCGGTTGATGTGCTCGCTGATGGGGACCAGGACCTTGCCAGCCATGTGGCCGCACTTCTTGGTGCCCGGAGCCTGGTCCTCGATGTGAATACCGGCTGCGCCACGCTCGACGAACAGCTTGGTGAGCTTCATGACGGCAGTCAGACCACCGTGACCGGTGTCGGCATCGGCAATGATGGGGCGGAGGTAGTCGACATTGGCGACCTTGGAACGCTGGTCCTTGGGGGTAGTAATGCGCTCCTCGCGCTGTTTCCGGTCATGGAAAAGCTGGGCCATGAACAGCTGGTTAACCTTGCGGGGGACAGTGTCCTAGTCGGATTGTTCGTCAGTTGCATTGTTCTGGATCTCGGTATTTCTAGTCCGGTTCCACCTACCATAGGGTAATCCGCAAGATCGGGAGACGGCTCATCGGTGGACGAGGCCGTGGAAGAGCTCTGCCAGCCGGAGACGTAGATTGTATCCAGGAACTTGCACATCTGGGTGATCATCGTAGGCTCGAGGCAGCCATAGGTGTAGCTAGCCTCCTTGTTCTATCCATGGTGAACCCAGTATTAGCAGATCTTCTGGTCATTTGCAGTTGCCACAATTCGTCCCATACCTGCCAGTTCTTCTCCAAGATACCCCACAGCTTCTTTGCCTGAACACCGGAGGGGTAGTCGATAGTCAGATTACCGCGCTTGGCGACAATCTGCTCGGCAGTGAAGGGACGCTTGGTGAAGCGCCACCGAGAGTCCTTCCACCAGTTCTTGACAGCCTGGACATCCTCCGCATACTTGCGGTCCTCGTCCTCGTGTAGACCCATAGTGTAATTTTTAGAGAGGGAAGTTTATAATATGCAGCAGAGAGGGGTCGATGAGAACCCTAAAAAGGTGAATATGGTATTATAGTCGGGCAGCGATGTATAGACGATGCGACAAGAGTGTCTGCAAAGCAAGAGAAGAAAAAGCGCGACGAGGAGGGGAGATTTGTCGCTCGAAAAGAAATACAATCACGAGTTCAAAGAACAAGAATTTTGAAAAAGTGCTCAATCACAAGCCAGAAGGGAAACCCGGGGTACTTATTTACTTTGCGAATACGTCGCCAGCAGGTCAATCAGAGTCAAACAGGTCGGTAAACGCTCGGCTCACCGGGACAGGCAATGGACGAAACCCTGGAATGCCTAGGCAATCCCGTTCAAAAACGTAGTCAGCTTGAGCAAATATCCAGTAGAATGTCAGGATTTACGGGCATCGCTCCGAAACGCGGAAAGCGGGTGCGGTGGTTCGGAAGAGAGGATCCAGACTCTGGAGATCCTCGGTCTAATGGGCCAGCTGCGCTCGGCGCTCTGGAGCATCCGCAACTTCTACCCGCCACCATGTTGTATTTGGCGGGTGTTTTCCCAGTGTGAGTCACATTTGGAGTGTCCAATATGCATCGGTATCTCTACAGTACAGTGTCAAAATTCAACTCCTATGCATCTGAACCCCTGATTTTCCTATTTGTAGCGCGCATGGAAGGAAGGGTGCGAAGAATTCGGGATCGCGAAGAGGGAAATGACGTCGTTGGACACATGCGAAACATACGTGGTAATACGTCGCAACTTTCACGTGCGGTTTGTGGTCGGAGTTTCATGATAGCACGAGATATGAATTAATAGACAACCTAGATGTCGTGTGATCAATCCGGTCGGACGTCCGATCGGTCTACCTCCTTCTTTTTAGAAGTAGCCTTACTGTGATCGGTACTCAAGTCCAACATGCCGAGATGTCCAAAGCAGCGTCTGTCTGAGTCATCAATACGGTACTGTTATGCCCCGGTATTCAGTGGCATCTCCACTCAACCATCCGAGCATCTTTGCGGTTGAGTATCTTCAGGCCAGACAAGCCCGAAGAAGACAAATTCTAAACTTTTCTAACACAATTATGGAGTGGCAAGTTTTGATCCACATTAGCCATGCCTCTCACCTCGTTGTAAATCATCCGACAACTACTGAACCACAGTTCAAGAGCATATTGCTGGTTCCCCTATAAATATTACCCTGGCCATCTTTTACTCATCTCGCCCCAATTGTTCGACTATAATTCCCTCACGAGGCCTAAAACCGCACGAACTTAAACCGGAACCAGCAACCACCGCCACACAAGAATTTTAATATTCCAAACCAATACTTTTTCCAGTAGATCCACCTGGTGCCAAAATGACTCAAAACTACGCCCTCTTCGCTGGACCTCGGCTCAATTCGTGCTGACTACGCAGAGGGTTTTGCTTGCAGTCGTACTGTACTTTGCAGTTCTCAATACTGTAGTTTTACAGATCGGTATTAGTACACTCATCCACCCCTCAAGTTCTTCCCTCGGCGATTCCCATAGGACCTCGACGCCGACATATCTTAAGGTTATTTGTACATCAATGATGGAGTATATAAAAGGCAACGATAGACACACCGACATTGACAGACTACCCCTGGTCGATATACAAAATTCAAAAAATATCGCATTACCATTTTTAGGGAATAACATATCGAAAAGAGACTATCACTCTTACAGCACCGTATCACCAGATACATCATACCGCTGACGAGAATTAACCTCGGGAAATCCAGGGTACCCTGACTTCTGCCCCTCCCGTAGAATTGTCGAACCTGGGGGCCCCTAAGTTTGTAGATATTGTGTACAGACAAACTATAGGTCACTAATTTAACTCGCTGCATCTCTCCTGCGGGGAGCCCGATGCTAGCGTCTACAATTCGGGATCCCTAACACCTATAGTTCGGAAGTTGACCGGGTCAGGTACCTTACCGAAAGGGAGCCGGGTTATTATCGCTGGTGCCGTGCTTGGTACCTACTCGAGGCGTCAACTTTTGAGCCTGGCTACTTTTGACTGGTTGTAAATTGCGGGGTTTACGTATGATGATGACCTATGCGGGAAGTGAATAAGGGTTTTTTAAGAGTGATTTTTGGATTTCGTTGATTGAAGTAAGATTGCATTGCGTCAGAGATAAACGTGGAGTAAACAGGAACTCGGTTCCGAATAACTTTGTACATCTTTCTCCCATATCCGAGTAACCGGTGCCACGATGAGTGATGACACTGGGATTATCTGACATGACACCTCGCCTTGCACCAATAAAAGACACAACCAAGTCTCTCCAAAACGTCCTATACTCACTTCTAAATGCATGAGTTTTTTTTTTCTGTTCCGTTCAACGTCTACCAGGATCATCATCTCCGAGATGGACGTAGTTTCCAACCAAGGCTGAATTAAAACGCATCCGACGCATCAACGGCCTTTTTCCACGTCTCGTACGGGGTGATAGCACCCAAAGAGCGTCTCATGTGTGCATTGAGAATCTCCAGGCCATACACGTAGCTAGCGTTAACCCAGCCGAATCTATGAGCAACAAAGATTAGCACGAGTTCCAGGAAAGGGCTTTAGGCTATAGTTAAAAGCCGAGAACAAAACTTACCCTTCACGTGGCGCCCCCTTGAAATCGGTACCCTGATTGCCGTACTCGGCATCCACTCGGTGCGGATCAATCGGGCGGGTTACATCATACTTCTCCACGACTACACCATTGAAATCGACAAAGGCCTTGGTGATCATGTACAACCATTTGTATGCCAACCGCTCAGCTTCCTCTTGGTAACCGTAGCGCAGGAAGCCCGTCCACGCGAGCATCTGCTGCGGCGCCCAGCCGTAAGGGAAGTCCCACTGCCGATTCGGGCGCTCCAAGCCCACCGGGCCACGCGACTCTTCCGTACCGGAGACCAGGCCACCGTAAGCTTCGAGCCGAGGCAAAGCCTTTTCCACCATCGTGGCGGCCTGTGCGGGCGTCGCCAGTCCAGCCCACAAAGCCCAGAAGGTAGTCGCGGATTCATAGCCGGTGCGTTGCTGCTTGACGGTGTCATAGTCGAAGAACATGCCCTTGTCAGCGTCCCAGAGGAGTTGGTCCATGCGCTGCTTGCGCTTGCGAGCGCGGCGGTCCCAGGTCGATGAAGACTCAAACGCAGTGTCTTTGGTTGCGGGGGTCCGGAATTCGACTGGAATTTCGAGCCTATCGTTGAAATGAATGCGGATAATGCGGGCAATGTCGACCTCGTATTTATACAGCAGGGAGTTGAGGTCGACAGTCGCCAGGTTGCCGCATACCCGCTCCAGACGATAACTGGTATCGTGACCGGACTCGCGGACGGCACGATCATGCAGGAAGTACTCGTCGAGTTCGGGCTCGATGATAGCGCGCGAGTTGTACGCCTCCACAAATTCCTCGAAGCTCATACCGTGCTTCTCGGCGTACGGCATGAGGAGGTGAATAAAGTGAGTCGGCTCCGTCTCTGGCGGCACACCCCAACCCTCCGGGCGATATCGTGAGAGACCGGTCACGGGGTCAAGTCGTGGCTCAGCAGCCCAGACACTGTAATACTCCTTGATAGCGGCAAAAACTGCGTTCCGCAAAAACTCTCTTGAATCAGGCTCGTTTTTGATGCGCTCGTAGACCCGCAGAGCCATATCGGTCAGGAATGGGGGCTGCGAGCGGGTGAGGTAGTATGACCGATTGGCGTTGAGAATCTTGCCGTAGTGCTTGATTTCGAAGCAGAAGTTGATGACCATTCCCTTAGCAAGATCAACGCGGTCGCTCACGAGAAGACCCAGAGACTCCATGTAGCTGTCCCAGCCATAGAGCTCGTTGAAACGACCTCCCGGCACCACAAACGGAACACCAGTGTATTCATCCTCCCCTGTCTCATCGTCGTGCTTCTTGGTCATTGCCAACGCCAACAATCCAGGCTTCTCCTTGAGCGACATGACATAGTCAGGGGTGATATTGGCATCAAGCATTATGACATCGAGACGTAGCTCCGGGTGTTTTTCGGCAATTTTGGAGTAGTATTCGAATTGTTCCGGGGCACCAGGGGGAATATAGATACGGGGTCGTGGGTCATCAGTCCAGTCCTTGGGGTCCTTGCCCGCTACCTCGATATTGGAGCCATCAATACGTCTTGTCAGGGCGTTCCAGAAGGAGTTCTTGATGAGTCGCGAAAGTCGGGCAACGGGGTTCTCGCTCAAACGGACTTCATCTAGAACAACGTGCTTGCGACCGTAGTCTTTGGCGATAGTAAGCTCCTGGAGGAGGTTGGAAAGCATGTAGGTACCGCGAACGTCGACGCGGTTGTATCCGGAGGATCCTGCAGTTCCGACAGAGAGTACCTAAACTAATCAGCGGCCAATACGGATCACTGGTGATCGGCGAGCAGCGCGTACCTTGGGTCCAACGTCTTCGATCGTGATCTGCATATTCTTATCGGTATCCTCCTGCTTCAGAAGCGCATCGAGCGTCTCATCGACATTGATGAGGAACTTGCGAGGCTGTCCGGAGTGCTCATCTGATCGGCGCTGTCAGTTAGGTGTGTCATCGTGTCGATTTCGAAAGCAATGAAGGTGATATGCATACCGTGACTACCCCGTCTTGACGGCAAAGTACCCAGATACTCAGAAATCTCTCCGCGACCGTAGTCCTTCACGCTCTAGAAGCACATAGAAGAAGTGTGAGCAGGGGTCGTCGATCCGCGGGGTCGCTGCACGGGCGTGGTGGCTGCTTACCGTCGAGAAAGCGCGCCGCCGGTCTCTGATCCTTGCAAGGGAATCTTCATCTCCGTAGTAGACATCAGGGTGCGAAAAGGGATCAATGGACGGAACCCGCTTGTGGTTCCCATTTGACGAGGTCATGGTATGTCGCGGGGGGCGGATGGGAGAGGAGGGGATTGGGAGCACAATCTAGACTAGGTCGTGCGTAACGCAAGGCGGGCTTGTGATGTGTACACCGACTTTTCGGGGGATCAGCCGGTCTGTCGTCAGAGTAGCAGCAACTGCTGGAATGATGGAAGATGAAAAGCAATAGAAGTAGTGTCGCGAGTGATGCGATATACGAGAAAAGGAAGAAGGTCGTTTTGTGTGGGCTGGACTTCGAGGGGCCGACCTGAAGGTATCGGTCAAGAGATAAGGGGGAAAACTTTGTTTCGTACAATGAGACAGAGGGTGTTGGACAATTCGGCAAACCGTCTGGGTGTACCGCAATATTGTAGAGGTGGTTTTGAACGATAAATCGAACAAGAAGTGGGTGTTGGTGGGATGGATGTTCTTGATTACAGCAATGATCTCATGTGCACGATGATGATGTCGCCGCTCCACTCCGCGTTGCCTCCGATAAGAGGACGATAAAACTCACAAAGTGGGACAAGGCCCCTCAATGGGCCGCGATAATCGAAAACTTCCGCCAGACGCGCTGCTTATATTTTCTTTTTAATGTTTGTAGACTGAATTAAGCTAGGCTTGGTCCCAAAGCAGGAAACAATGGTGCTCCTGAGGGACTACTGGCTGTGGCCGCCAGCCTTCGGTTGGCATGCCAGAGATCTCGGAAGCTCTATGGACTACCCATGGACTACAGTATGGAGTATACGGAAGACTCAACCCGGGTTCCGCAATCGGGGTCCGAAGTATAGCAACTCTTGTATCGACAGCTTCCTGTTCTACCCCATTGAATATCTAAGCAACGAAATATCTGACAGAAAGTATTTGACTTCTTGGCACATAGCTTAACTCCAACTAAATCTTGGCAGAAATGGAGCTACCACCATCGACCGAGATGGTGGCACCGTTGATATAGGCACCTGCTCGGCTGCTCAGGAACAAGCAAGTACCGGCAACATCCTGAGGGGTACCGATACGGCCCAGAGGGACTCCAGCCTTGATAGCATCGCCGAAGGACTTGAGGGTGGCGGCCATCATCTTGCTCTCGAAGGGACCGCAGGCCAGAGTGTTGGAACTGTAAACAACGTGTCGTGTCAGTCATCGTGGACCGGTACTTGGCACCCGAGGAGAAGTTAGATAGATATTTCTTACGTGATGTTTCGTTTGCCGAGGTGGTTGGCCAGTACTCGGCTAAGGTGGTGCAGACCGGCTTTGCTAGAGCTGTAGGCAAATGTCTCGAGCGAGGGAACCCGGAGACCGTCAATGCTGCCAATATTAATAATGCGCGCCGGATCATTCTCTGAGGATGCCTTCTCCAGGAGTGGAGTAACGAGCTGGGTAAGGTCGAAGACGCGGTGCAGGTTGAGGGTGAGCACGCGGGTGAAAGCCTCGGAAGGATACTCGTCGTAGGGGGCGCCCCAGTTCGAGCCCGAGTTGTTGACCAGGACGTGGAGCTCTAAGAAAGACGAGGTACATTAGCATCCTTCCTGGCATTTATGAAGCAATGGATATATGACTGACTGCTCTCGCGCTTGCCTAGCTCCTCGGCTAGCTTCTTCACATCCTCATACTTGTAGAAGTCGGCGGGAATGGCGTGAGCCTTGCCCTTGCCCAGCGCATTGAGCTCCTTGACAGCCTGGTCGCAGGCCTTAGCATCGCGCGACGAGATATAGACCGTAGCACCGTTCGTCACGTATCCCTCGGAGATCATGCGACCAATGCCCTTGGCGCCGCCGGTGACCAGCACCACTTTGCCCTGGCGTACTCGTTAGCAAGCAGGTTGCGGCAACCATATTATGACGTTCTCGCACCTTCACGTTGAAAAGAGTTTCAGAATCCATGACTTTGAATCTGAGGTTCAGGTTATGTGTCCAGAATCCTGGCGACGGCCCATACTTTATTCTTCCCCTTGTAGCTCCCTCTTTGTACTGCTTACCCGAAGACCGGGATGAGCCTCGGCTCGTCGGGCACCAGGTTTTTCCGAAGAAAGTGAAGCTAAGCCTCATTCGGGCGGAACTTAGGGCATCTCCGTCAGGGTTTCGCGGGGTCTGCATTTCCTGGGCTGATTGCTTCAGTGGTTGTTTACATTTACATTGGAGATTGCATTCACGTTTCTGGCAGGTCTTCAATATCAAAATTGTCTGTTTATATTATCTCTTCATCATGGATGAACTTTTGGCCAAGCACCGCAAAGAGCAAAAAGATTTGCAAGGGCGCATCACTCAAAAGAAAAAGTCCGCCACTAAGAAGACCCGCAAAGGTGTCAATGATGATTGCGAGCGGATGCAGCGCGAGCTCACCGAGCGACAACAGGCGGAGATTGCAGAGTTGACCGGAGACTCTACAGAACCGGTCGAGGATACTCTCGAGAACCTCAGCCTAGAAGACGGAACACCAGCAGATGGCGAATCGAACGAAGACAAGAATACGTCGACACCCCAAGCTCCCGAAAATACCGCGACTGCTCCCTCTGAAGAACCTACCACCAGAAACAAGAAGCCCAATCGTCAAAAAGCCCGCCTTGCCCGTCGTGCAGCCGAACAAGCCGCCCAGACTGCTGCGGCAGCCGAAGAAGCCGCCAACCAAACAAACTACAGAGGCGACGAGCAAGAAGTCATGGACGCGGTCTTTAAGAAACTCGGTCTGAGGGAAGTAGAAGTGACGCCCGATGGTCACTGTCTCTACTCGGCCGTGGCTAAGCAGCTGGATGAGTCCGGAGTCGGTTTGCGGCCAGACCCTAGCCGAATTGTGCTTTCACCGTCAACTCAGACGCGCATCGACACCGTTTCCTCACCACAACACGACGGATACCGTGCTGTCCGTGCCGTAACGGCGGAATTTATTACGGAAAACAAAGAGGACTTTGAAGCGTTCATGGAGGAGCCGCTCGATGTCTACACTCGGAAAATCAAGCTCACTGCTGAGTGGGGTGGTCAGCTCGAGCTGCAGGCTATTGCCCGGGCTTACGGAGTGAATATCCACGTGGTGCAGAAGGATGGGCGCTTGGAGAAGATTGAATGTGGCGATATGGACAGCTTCGATGAGGAGGAGCAACGCAGGCGCGTGGTCTGGCTGGCATACTACCGACACACCTACGGACTGGGCGAACACTACAATGCCCTTTTCAAGAAGGATTGAGCATATCTTTGCGAAATGTCCTCAAAACGCAGCCCTTTTCATTCCGAGCTTTGCTTTCGACTGCCAATTTAGCGTTTGAGGCTGGCTTCTGAATTTTGCTTGGCCCAGTCTTCAAAATCCATTAATATTGCACTTTCATCTTCTGTCTACTTTTTTGGGTCAAATCCAACGAGATGGGTCTAGTCACGTCGACGCCAAATAGAAACTCTATCGTGAATCACCCCATTCTCGCCTTGACCGACCGTGTGCGTGCGCTCAGGCTGCCAGTGCGCAACCCTCTCCAAGCCGGCCTTGCTGGGCTCCCGCAACGGATCCGCATTGACGAGACCTTTGGCGTTGTAGGAAATCTTTTCGCCCGGGTGGCTCAGGTGCTCCATATATGCCTCAGAGGGGGAGGCATACGGAGGGCCGGGGGCCAGGGGATCCTTGTGACGGGGAAATTCCAGACAGATCAGGTTTCCTGCTGGCGAGGGAGCTAGGAGCTCCGTATGTCGGAGGGCCCATTTAGGACGGAGGTCTGGGGTCAGAGCACAGAAGAACTAGACGATTGTTAGAATAGGAATAGCCATAGAAGATCTAGCGTGAATCGGATATTGAACATTATAGAGACCATCTTATAGGTCTTAATGAATCGTCAAAGTCCGAGTAAATAAGGAAATCCAGCAAAGATAAGGGAGAACCCGAATAGGCGCGAGGTGAGTATCCATACCGTATAATCATAAATAATATCAAATCCATTCCGAGGCACCTCAATCGTCTTCAACCAGGCATCATCAAAGAAATCGCCCTGGACAAAAGTGACCTTTCCCTTTCCGACACTCTGGTCTCGCACGCGATACCAGCTGTGGTTCTCCTTTTCCTCTTTCTTACACGCCTCAACAGCGGTGGCACTGTACTCAAGGCCGTAGGCGTCATACCCAAAGCTCGCCAGCAAGAGCACGTCCACACCACGACCACAGCCAGGGACTAGAGCCTTACGTCTATACGACTTGCCCTGCGCATCCTGGGCGAGAGGTCCGCCGATGGTGCCGGCACGCTGGACTAGAGTGTCTTCCAGGGCGGGGTTAGGGAAGCCTCTGTCCCAGGGTAAATCGTCGCCTTTGTCCCAGAGGGAGGCCCAGCCGTCGACGTAGTTGTCGCCCTTGTATTTGGCCAGGTGGGCTTGTATGCCTTTGGGATCACTGGTTGGAGTCGTCATTGTTGTGGGTTGGGTGGTGACGGAGTGCGGGGGAAAGTTGGAGGTCGATTGTTTAGATATGGTTCCTTGGAGGTGGATCTTGGCTTGGCGAGCCTGGACTACGGAGTCGAGAAGGTTCCAATTGTCTCCCTGGATAGGGTGAATGATATAGCGCAAAGAAACGATTCCACAATCCAAGATGAACAAAGACTGTGAAAGAAAATTGTCGTGTCTACCCCAAACTGTTGGATTCGTTTAACGATTATTCAGCACCTCCTTGCAGGACCTGCGGTGAGAGTTGAGGAGTTTGGACCTCATGATAAAATTATGCTAGAGTCTTGAGCGTATCTTCGTCTCATCTTTGCAATGCTCGAAAGAGAGAATTGCAAAGATGAGACGAAGATGGTCATTTATTTGCATGGAAGTCGTCATAGCCCGTGCGGGAGCAGTCTCGGTGGATTCGATTGTGGCTAAAGGAACAAGCCGAATCGAATCCACGGGGGCCTCGAAAGGTGTGAAACTGACAACTTCAACATGATGGACATGCTTTTTATGTATTAGCACGTTTCAGGTCATATCAACAATCCAAATCGCTGCGATACCCTCATCTAAACCTGTCATATCATCGTTCTTGTTGGGGGTTCCAACGCTCAGCGGAATCAACCGCCCAGTCCTTTGCCGACGGAAGAGCGGCACACCAACACTGCGCGATGACTGGCCCCCTCGCCCCACGAGAAAGCCGTCGAAGGCGAACCATTGGATCGCAGGTTTTTTTGGGGACTGACCCCTCTCTGGCATCGGATTATTATCCATGACGGAACTCCTATAAACAAAAAGATGGGGGCACACTCGGGGATCATCGGTGGTCGTCGGCTTTCCGAATGCAGTGAAGAACGGCCGGGTTGAACTCGCCCAATGCAACGAGAGATTGCCCACTCATTCAACCGCTCTCTAGGGGTGCAAGTAGCTTCGCAACGCCGCCTATTGTCTCCGAGGCGTCCAGAGAAATTTACCAGGCCGATTTCGCCCGCCGATCTGGGTTCTCCAGTCCCCCGTGGCTCCTGCCCGAGTCGAGGAGTCGATCCCGCAGCGAAGTAGTCACGACCAAGAATCCATAGGTATACGACTGCCTATTTTGACTGCTGGGAGGCTGTCGCGTGCCCGTTATCTTCTGTTTGGAGTCCCGCAGTCCTTTGGTGATCCTCTGCGGTAAAAGTCATCATTGCGCATGAGATATCCCCATTATCTCTGATTCGATATTCATAGATTTATGCACTAGCCTTGGCAAAGAGCTACCACCCTCTTGCTGCTGATCGCAGGCCTCTGGTTTTCATATCGTTCTTGATCTTCAGGGTTAGTGACCTTCCGCTGTATGCCCTACGCCGACGGTCTCCGTTTCGGGCATCATTGATCGCTTGCGATTCGAGCGTGTCCCATTTCTTGACCGGCATACAACAAGTCGCCGTCTCGCCCTACTTCGGCGCTCTTCCATTTCAATATGCCTGCAGGTATCGAGAAAGATGACGCTGTCATGTCGGGGCGTTCACCATCCAGTCCCAGCAATGACCATTCTCTTGCAACGATCGAGGGCCCTTTCGACATGGACAACGCCAACTCACGATCCCATGCCTCGAGCGTTGTGGCTGGAGATGAAGAAAAGAATATATCGGAGACGCCAATTCCACTGGCTCGACAAACCACCGAACTGGGCCCGGCTGTGAAAGTGCCGCGATTGAAACGCAGAGGGCTGTTCGGCCAGATGACCCTGGTGGCCGAGGTCGAGGATCCCAAAACCTATCCTCGAAAAATGAAATGGTTCATCACATTTATCGTGGCGGTAGCTGGTGCTACAGCGCCGATGGGATCATCCGTCTTCTTTCGTAAGTGATGCGCTCCGCCCATGACATCTGCAAGTGCATCTGGGACTAATGGGATGTCATCATCAGCTTCACTCTCTCAAGTCGCCCGGGAGTTACACACCACGGCCACGATCACTAACCTGTCAATCGCCTTGTATATGCTGAGCATGTCCATATTCCCGCTGTGGTGGTCTTCATTTAGCGAACGGCTTGGACGACGAACAATTTACCTGGTTTCATTCGTCCTTTTTGTGATGTTCAACTGTCTCTGCGCCGTCTCGAGCTCCATCGCCATGCTCATCGTGATGCGAATGCTGAGTGGTGGTGCCTCTGCCTCCGTCCAAGCGGTCGGTGCAGGAACCATTGCGGATCTATGGGAACCCCGCGAACGAGGCCGTGCCATGGGTATATTCTACCTCGGCCCTCTTTGTGGACCCTTGTTCGCACCCATTGTCGGCGGTCTACTGGCTGAACGATGGGGCTGGAGGAGTACCATGTGGTTTCTTGCGGCATATGGTGCGCTCACTGTCATTTTTATCTTCTTCGCCCTTCCAGAAACGCTCGTCGTGCGGAAACCGGTTCTGCCGGATGTACCAGAGAATGAGATGGCGCCTGTCACGCGCCCACTAAGCCGAGTGTCCTCGCGACAGGTGGTTGGATTTACGACGAGATGGCTGAAGATGCTGAAGATTATCTTCATTGATCCTTTGAAAATTGTCCTTTATCTGCAGTATATCCCCGTGCTACTGAGCGTGTACTACGCAAGCATTGCCTTCGGCTCGTTGTACGTGCTGAATGTCAGTGTTGAAGACTCATTCGGTAAAGCACCGTACAATTTCAGCACAATCATCATCGGCTTGCTTTACATCCCGAACTCGTTGGGGTACGTGGTGGCGAGTCTGTTCGGTGGTCGATGGATGGACAGCATTATGCAGCGTGAAGCGAAAAAGGCAAATCGGTATGACGAGAAGGGCAGGCCAATCTACCGTCCCGAGGATCGAATGCGTGAGAATGCTTGGTTGGGAGCTTTCCTCTACCCAGCAGCTCTCATTTGGTACGGCTGGACTGTGGACAAAGGGGTGTTCTGGCTGGTTCCGGTATGTTGACACGGCTCGTTAGAGATTGGAGGTACTGCGCGATTGCTAACCAGGTCATCGTATCACTAGATGATCGCAAACTTCTTCTTTGGCATAGGCTCAATGCTTATCTTCAGCATGGTGACCACCATGTTGACCGAGTTCATGCCCAAGAAATCCTCGGAAGGTGTTGCACTCAACAATTTTATGCGAAACATCTTCTCTTGTGTTGGCTCCCTTGTCACAGCGCCCATCATCAGTGGGATCGGCAATGGGTGGCTCTTCACCATACTTGGCCTGGTCAGCTTTGCAAGCAGCTCGGTCATATTCTTAATGAGGGTATTTGGTCCTCGCTGGAGAAAAACCATGGATGAGCGAATGCGGTAATGTCCCACTCAAACTTCGACTTTGCATTTTATACGTGGCGTTTTCCACATCCTCTCTCTTGTCAGGTGGCACTTTGGAGGCTCTTCCCATTTGCGCATATGTTTATACGCCATATTTATATCCTTGCCCCCGCGCTCCTTTACTCGTCATTGTCTTTTTTTGTTGAGTAATTGAGCGTTCCTGGCAGCACGCGCTTTCCCTTCTTGCTTATTGGTGCTGGTCTCTGTTCCGTACGCGGACATACGCCGAAGCCCACCCAAAATGCTGTGGATGATACCCATTATCAGATTATCATTATGACCATGAATATATGAAGTCATGATTTCATTGTGGCCTCCTTATTGAAAATCCCAGACGGTCATAACAAAATCATTGAATCAGTCACGAGAGCCAGCGTGCTTATGCCTTTGTATTTGAAGTTATCATAATTTTGATTATTAACGGGATCCGTCAAGCTGTTGTTGGAATCGTCGAAAGTGCATCTCATTTGGAAACCGTATCCAGAGTAAGCGTTGTTTGGGAGTTGGACTGTGACTCCGTTTCCCAAAGGTTACGGCAGGCACCTTATCCTTGGTACAGCTTCTTGAATGTGTGAATTACCCCGGAGCCTGTTTGTAGCACGCAAGTCGGTGTTGCTCTCAACGTGGCCACCCAAAGGCCCACACAGCAATCTTCGGTGAGATTCGCTGACAGAGAGGCATGTTTTCAATGTTTTGGGAAGACAGGCATCTCATAAGGCCAGCGAGGAAAGCTGAGATTCTGCTGAACCATGGCATCGGCAATTGGATCAAGGTTTGGACCCTGCCAAGCGTTTTTGCTACTCATAGCAGAAATGGTCTTGACGCGTGAGGTTCGCATTGACATAGTGGGGAATCTCAATTGCAAAGAAAAGACCGCTGGTCATGATCGATAAAAGTAAGGTTATGCATGCAGCAAGTGTGGAAGCTAGGACAGAAAATTGTCTTGCCCGGATCGAGTTCCAGATGACTGTCACGTCCAAGGAATCGAGAAAATTGACTGTTAGGAAGGCTTTCAAAGGCCGCGCCAGAGGGACATCTCAGGCAGGCAACTGCGCTCATACTCCCAAAGGGAAGACATCTCGTCACCATAATGAATAGAAGGGTATACTGGGGTATACCCGGCATTCGTCCAATGCTTTTCATAAGCATAGATATCATACCTATGAAACTCACACTGGGCATAGAGCCTGAGGACTTTGAGTCATTTGATGTTGTGCTTGGAGTCTTTTCGACTGTTTCTGATATATCAAAACCACCTGTATCTGGCGTGGCGCTCATTAGCGTTATAACAGCCAAAGGCTAAGGCTACTCTTGTATCACCTACATTGATGCTACAACTTTAACAATTCCTAGGGAGTAAATCCCTTGAGCTCAGACAAAGAAAAAATATACAAGCGCTTCGCCTACGAGTCGTAGGGTCTACGTGAAGTCAATGTGCTTCAAGCGAATAACACGGCCATAATGACCGGTTAATACACTCTGGAACCCTCTCACTTAACCTTCTTCCGTGCAAGGAGGGTTCTCTCAAAGTTCGAATGCAACCTATATTGCCTTTCCTAGTTCCTCGTATGAACAGCCACGCGCCATGCACCCTGTGCTTCGAATCACGCTGTAGTACATCCAGGCTTTTCTAAGGTCTACCAGTGATGGATCTATACTTGGTATGAGTGTCAATCGAACACAATTGTTTACTTGAATCACTCTCTCCCGGGTAGTTCGCTGCGTGTCATTGACGACTCCCCGAGCCATGGGCCACTTGCAATTGGCCAACAGTAAGCATGACAAGGATGATCGGCCCGCGGCAGGGATTTGGGCAGTCAGTTGACCCAATTTTGGAATGGGAAGGAAGCTTGAGGAGCACATAAAAAAAACAGGGCGTTCGGGGGCGCCCTCGGGTCGCGCCGTCGCGAGAAGCGTGGAAAATGGTCGACGATTAGCAGTTAGCAGTTAGCAACTAGTTGCAAGGCATGCATGCACCTCCTTTTGGACCCGGACTAGGCCACGACAAGGAGAAAGGCGATCACCAATTGCCCTCGAAGCCCAAGTTTCAAAATTGACTTGCGATCAGATTACCCAGTTTCCGAGGAGAGGGACGTGGTGGAATGACACTGGTTGGACTGGTGAGGCGTCACCTGATCCGGCCGAACTCAAGTCCCCTCCAGTCCTCGTTGCACCACTTCCTCCTCCTCTCTGTAGTGCTGCATGAGACTGATGCATCATTAGTCCGGCGGTATGGAGGACCATATCTCCATTCTGACTACGCCCTTACCGTGGACAGCATCATTGTGAAGCAATTCGGCCTTTCACGTCTCGCGGGAGGCTGGGAGATCAGCCTGATGAAGTGTCGGTGTCGGAGAGTGGAGTCAATAGCTCTCAAGCGACTCCATCCAAATCATTAGGGGGGCCTCTTGTTTGACACATTTGACTCACTAAGCCAAGAATTCCCTTGGAAAGTTCCAATCTCTCCACCACCGCGTTTCTTTGGAGGGGGACCCTCGCCTCCGCACTGGCGCCAGGCGTGCATCCTATTTGCCGCCGTTACCGGGGCCGATTGGGCACAAATGAGTCTGTCGACCGCATCACTTTTTTCGTTACTTGGCAGGCACCTCGACATTGTTCTCTCCTCCTCTATTATGGAAGCACTGCAGGACTTTCTTTGGACTGGACCTGGTAGAGACCATTCGAATTGTGTCTTTACCCACCCTAGTTCAATTACCCTCCCATCCCACGACTACGTTGGGTGTACCATACTATCCAGACAGAGACAACAGATAAAATTTTAAACCCAATTGTAGGGTGGCACCCACCCCCACCCAGCATACCCATCTTTCTCCATGAAGCTGCAGGAATACCTTTCCTATCTGGACTGTGTTCCTTCCCAACTCCCAATCCCATTCCGCCATGGGATGCTTGCTCCTGCAGCATCTGTTCCGAGCGGAGATTGTGCTGCCCTGACCCGGCCCTAATCGAGTACCGGTACTCATTCATCCACCCAATACTGGCGACCACTGCATGGAGACCGAGGCGACGTGGTCCAATGGCAAGCAATGCCGTCGGGCAGTTCACTGGTGACGTTCAAGGCCCAATACCGCAATGTAGCGGATTGTTGTCCTAACCCACCCGGATAGCGGACGAACTATTATACGCTGCCTCGCAATGACTGTCCAATACAATTATCTCGTCTCCAGAGAAACAAGCATATGCTCCTTTCCCGTTCTGTTTTCTAATACATCGTACCTTGCCCTGTCTCGAGGTCTTCCAAATCTCTCAATCTTTTGTCACTTTTGTCCCCCCTTGTGGTTCCATTCCGACCCCCTTTACCCTGCATCAAAAGCCTGACAGCGGCTTGTCACTTTCTCATTGTTCCGTTACTTCGGCGCATCACGCGCCAGTCAGCATCACCCACACCTCGATATATGATACGTCATTGATCCGAGGACATGGCCGGAAAAAACAAAAAGAAGAAGAATAAGAACAACAATACTAGCCGCCTTCCTGTCGGTGCAACCAACTCAAGTCCTGAGACTACAGACCTCCCAGAAGAGCCCGCCGCCCCGGAGTCGGTGGCCGTAGGCTCCGAAGATGAGCTCGCAAAACTTCCAGTATGCCCAGCTCCCTAAATATTCGTATCACTCCTTCGAAAAGCAATACCAAACTTTCGATCGGAGCACGTTACAATTTTCATATTATCCCGTCGTCTCGAAAACTAGTGGTCTGACGGGGGGCAAGGTCCAGGACAACAACGAGCCCAGTGCTACCGAACCAGCGAAAGAACCAGCCCCTGCTGCCGAAGTCAAGGCAGAGGAGCCCTCGAGCTCTCCGGATGAAAGCTCATCGATACCTGAGCCTGCAGGTAAGTACTTACATGGACCTTGACCTTGACTTGTATATCAATGGTTAAGAAAAATATTGTTTATGCTGTATAACATTCACTCACTTGGACTATACAGAATCCCCCGAGGCAACGACGCCCCCGGCAGACGAGCCACCTGCTGAAGCCACCAATGCATCAGGCGAGGATGCAAAAGTGGAAACTCAGGAAGCAGCCGCTACCGATGAAGCCGCTCCGAACCAAGAGGGTGAAGGCGCTCCAGACGGAGCCGCTACGGAGCCCCCTGCGGAAGCTGCAGAGCCCGAAAAGGCCGCTGAAAGCGAACCCTCCGCCGAAGACGATACTGGGGCAAAGCCCAGCAACGAGAATGGAGAGAATGGTAAGACCTCTCGATACCCCTTGTACATACTGTCGATTAACAATCTTGTAGACGAAGATTTTCCACCAGTTGACCCTGAGGATGGACAAGATGGAGTAGAATCGGAAAAGGAGGAAGCGGCAAAGCAAGCTGCTGAAGATGCCGAGGAAGCTCTTTCTCAAGTAGGCGGCGAGAAGAACGATGCTCCAGCCGAGGATGCCCCAGCGGAAGACGCTCCTTCTGAAGAAGCTCCAGCTGCAGAATGTCCGGCAGAGGATGCCCCAGCCGAAGATGCTGCAGCTCAAGCCGTTTCCGACGACGCTAAAGTGGAAGAGCCTGCATCGCAGGAAGCTACACCTGATGCTGCTGCTGCGGAAGAAACTCTTGCCGAAGAGCCCGCTGCCGAAGCAGGAGATAGTGCTGCCCAGACCGATGGGCCATCTGCAACCGAAGCTCCTCAGGCCGCGGAAGCCAGCCCCGAGGCTGAAGAGGCCGCTCCAGTCGAAGAAGCCGCACCAACGGAAACGCCGGAAGCTGACACCAAAGCGGTTGAGGAGCCACCTGCTGAACCGAGTCCCCCTCTCGAAGACTCAGTGGAGGAGTCCCCAGCTCAATTGTCGAAGGCGGCCAAGAAGGCGGCCAAGAAGAAGAAGAAAAAGGGTAAAGCTGGCAAAGCAGCTGAGCCGGAGGAGATACAGACCCCTGCTGCGGATCCAACTCCTGAGCCCGTGGCCGACAAACCCGCTTCTGATGACCCCCCAGCCGTGGAGGAGCCTCCTGAGCCTGAAGCTAAGCCAGACGATGCTGCGGCAGATTTCACCGAGGACCCTGCGACAGCTGAGCCTGCGGCAGGACCAAATACACAAATTGAGCCTGCGAATGAGCCTGGGACTACACCTGCAGAAGAGTCTGCCGCGTCTGAATCACCCAAGGACGAAACGCCAGAAGCTGCTGTGGCTGACACACCTCCCGAGCCAGCAAAGGAGGAAGCCACTGAGAAACCTGCCGTAGCAGAGCCAGAAGCACGAGAACAGCCCGAGCCTACTGTAGATGCACCCGCAGAAGAAACACCGAAGGAGAAACCACCTGCGGATGACGCAGCTGCTGAGCCACCTGCCGAAGAATCTGCACCAGAACTGACCTCGGACGAAACACCTGTGGCTAAAGCATCGGCCCCGGAGCCAACTGCAGAGGACGTTGTCGACGAAGCCGCTGATGCAGAAGCTGCCCCAACTCCGGCTGCAGAACCCGCCGAGGAGCCCGTCGAGGAGCCTGTCATCGAGAAGCAAGCTGAAGAAGCTCCAGTCGAGGCTGCTCATGTCGAGGAGCCGGCTCCTGCAGACGAACCTGCTGTTCCGGAGAAATCTGCTGTTGAAGAGACTCCCGTTGCTGAAGAGACCCCCGTTGAGGAGTCATCGATCAAAGAGCCCGCTGTCGAAGAGCCACCAGCCGATGACCTGAAGACCAACGAGTCCCCTAAGGAAGACTCTTTTGAGGAGCCTACCGCTGAGGCTGCTCCAAGTGAAGAAACGTCTGCCCCTGCCGACGAGCCTACCACTGAACAATCTGTCCCCACGACCGAGGACGCCCCAGAACCTCCTGCTGAGGAGGTTGCGGCCCCTCAAGACGAACCGGAATTGGTTAAAGAGGCTCCTACTACTGAACCTACCGCTGAGCCCGAGTCCGCTGCTGAACCCGCGCCCGCTGCTGAGCCTGAGCCTGCTGCTGAGCCTGAGCCTGCTGCTGAGCCTGAGCCTGCTGCTGAGCCTG